CAGGAGGGAATAAAGGGGAATTACCAGGAAACTTATTTTAGAGGCTTAAGCACAAGTTATCCACTGTGTAAGTTTAAGAGGGGAATATTACTCTGCTAAATTATAGAATTTGCTAACACAAGTTGAGAAGGATATTATTAAACAATATATCCTCTCCTGCCTCCCACATATATTTATTTCTAAAGCTTCCTCACAGTTCAAGAATGAGTGGCTCTATTTGCATAAAATGATACATATAGGAGTATTATACCCTTCCCTCTTAAAATTCTGATTGGGTAAAGAGTTAGCCCCTTTCAAAATGCGTGTGTGCACATGCCTGGATGTGCTTGCCTATCCCCAGAACTGGGATAGGAGCATGAGCCAGTACAGATACAAAAAGAACAGTCATCTCTGCTAGTTGCACAACACAAAACAGGGACAGCAATGGGCCGAAGAGCCTGTATAATGTACTTGCCAAGCATAGATCGCAGTAAACATTAATTCAAGCCACTCTGTGAATCACATCAGCTGGGCAGATTAAAGGAATCTGATATTATGCATTTTGGTTTCTTCACTGGACTAATGCTTTGCAGTTCTGTAAGGAATTACCTATATATTGGTACTCTGTTATCTAGGGTGCTCATTTACACATCACCAGAAATGAGGAAATGCATCAAACACAAAAAAGGCTAAAGAGGACAAATATGCCATTGCATAAGATTGACATATGTTGATTCATATGTATAGATGCAAACGTAGAAATGCATTACCCTTCAAATAGAGGTTGCCTTTGAACAGAGGGCTTTCCTCTGTAAAGTAGGACACATTAACAACTGTCATCAAGAAAAACCTTTTTTGCATGAAAAACTCAATCAGAAGTTTCTTTCTCTGCACAAGCATCAGGATAAATGCAACCTCATTGTTTATATACGGCCTATATATAGCTATATATATATAGGGGATGCGGGTGGCTAAGGGACATGGGTGGTGCTGTGGGTTAAACCACAGAGCCTAGGACTTGCCGATCAGAAGGTCGGCGGTTCGAATCCCCGCGACGGGGTGAGCTCCCGTTGCTCGGTCCCTGCTCCTGCCAACCTAGCAGTTCGAAAGCACGTCAAAATGCAAGTAGATAAATAGGTACCCCTCCGGCGGGAAGGTAAACGGCGTTTCCGTGCGCTGCTCTGGTTCGCCAGAAGCGGCTTAGTCATGCTGGCCACATGACCCGGAAGCTGTACACCGGCTCCCTCAGCCAGTAAAGCGAGATGAGGCCCAGAGTCGGCCACGACTGGACCTAATGGTCAGGGGTCCCTTTACCTTTATATATAGCTACTTTGGACATTTGTGCCCAAAGTTACTTGCCTGTTTTCTTATTTGCTGCTTTATTTGCTTTTTCATTTTGCGTGCATCCAGATCTTCTATAATGGCACTATATGATACTGTTAAGAATTACAGATCTAACAGCATCAATTAAGTATGCATAGAGTGTTCTCTTTCTTGAAATAAAATGATATAATGCGATTAACTCTCTTCCTTGAATGGATAATTTCCCTTCTCATCAATAGTGAAGCTGCCCGGAGACCTGTTGCTAGTCTCCCTGGAGCTAAAGAATTAAAAGTTTGCCACTGTAAAAACAAAATGCCACACCCAATGGACCACCAGTTTTCCCCAGCACAAACATGTTTTATGGTACTAAACATGGAGCTATCATTAATATAACCCTTTAAAAATGAGCTAAACCAAAACCATAGGGAACCCCCTCCAAAAAACAAAAGTGTTCTCGCTCTCCCTCTTTATTTGCTTTTCTGTTTTATCATGTCATCAATGCATTTATGTTACAGTCAAACACATGTTAGTAAGAAAGAGAAAAAGGAAAAGAAACATAAGTATAAGACATATATCTGTAAATAATAATAGTAACATAAATTATTCCTCCAATTTAATTGGATCTTATGAGCCTTAATTTTAACTCCCCTTACACTCTTTCTCTGCTTTCTTATCTGTTGTCTTTTTGACTGCATTTTCTTATTCTACTAAATTATTTTCATTACCTTACAACTATCCCAGTTTGTCACATCTACTACTGAGTTTTGTTTTTTCAGTCTATTACATTTATTTTCTTGTTATAATATTTTTCCATATATTTTTAAAATAATGTTCAGTCCTCTTTTAAATTCTTATCATCGTTATTTCTTAATCTATGTGTCATGCTGGAAAGTTCTGTATATTCTAAAATTTTAAGGTGCCATTCTTTTCTTGATGCTATTGCAACTGTACTCCCATTTTGTGCTGCAAGAATTCAGGCAGCTATAGTCACACATTTGTTGAGTGGTTTGTTTTTTCTGAATTACTATTGTTATTATTCCCAGAAGGAAAGCTTCTGGGTTTTTAGGAAACATTCTTTTAAACATTTTCTTAAGTTTGTTATAGACCATCTCCCAAAATTCTTTTATTATTCTACAAGACCACCATGAGTGATAAAATGTGCCAATTGTTTCTTTATATTTCCAGCATAGGTCACTTTTAGTTCTAGTTTTAGCTAATTTACTTGACATCAAGTACCATGGTTAAACAGTTCTCTTTTAATGCACAACTAACAGTGATTTTAAAAGTTGTTTTCCACAAATGTTCCCACAGGTTCAGATTAATATTATGACCCACAACTTGTGCTCATTTGCTCATAGATGATTTCACAAATTCTTCTTTAGTTTCTCAATCTAATAATATCCTATACATTTTAGATAATTTTTTTAACTCTAGATCTTAATATTTGGTTTTCAAATTGTACTGGTTTTTCTGCAAATCCCAATTTATTACCTATATTAAATTTTGAATTGATTTGATGATAGTTTAGCCAGTCAGAAACATATTTTTAATCTCTTCCCCCCCCCCAAAAAAATCATTTTTGGTTCTCCTTCTGAAAAGTCTAACAAATAGGTATCCCAGTTATCACTCTCATTATTTTTTTCCCTTGTCTCAACTTCTATTGGGGATAACCACCTTGGTGTTTTGTTTTCTAATAAATGTTTGTATTTTTCCCACACCCTAATTAAGTTTTTACCCCTTAATAATATGGTTGGCAAAGCTTTTACGTATTCCTGCTTTGCCAGCCGTGTTTGACATCATGACGTTCCAAATCTAGCAACTGTGTGTTTTCTAGCTGTATCTAGTCTTTTATCCAACAGAGGCAGGCAGCTTCAAAATACAATTCCAAATCTGGGAGTGCGAAACCTCCTCTGTCTTTTACATCAATTAGTATCTTATGTTTTATCCTAGGTTCCCCCCCTCCAAATAAAGATATTTCCGCCAATCTTTTAGGCATCATGTGTCATTAATCATTGGGATTGTGTGGAACAAAAATAGCATTTCCATTTTATTCCAACGAAAGTGTTCTCATAACACTTGTCCTTGGTGCTGAAGACCGCAGAGCCTTGAGTGGCTCCAAAATTATAGCTAGTGTGTAATGCCTGTGGGCAGAAACAGAGCAGAGACTGACCACAAATGCTGCGTGGCATTGGGGGTTGGACTAATTGAAAGTATACATTTGATGCCTATAAAAAAGAGCCTGCAGACCTGCCTTTAGTCTTCCATCTCCATTAACAGGTCTATCATTTACAGATCCTTTCGTATATGTGACTTTCTAAAAATGGGAAGCTAGCTCTTTGCATTCTTGCTTCTCTCAACCTTAAACTACTAAATACTGGTTTTGAGTCTAAATTGGTCTCTTGGTTATTATTGTTAGCAGTAACATATATATAAAAAAGAATGTAATAAATAATAATTGAATATTCTATGTTGTTGTTTAGTCGTTTAGCAGTGTCCGACTCTTCATGACCCAATGGACCAGAGCACGCCAGGCACTCCTATCTTCCACTGCCTCCTGCAGTTTGGTCAAAGGCATGCTGGTAGCTTCGAGAACACTATCCAGCCATCTCGTCCTCTGTCGTCCCCTTCTCCTTGTGCCCTCCATCTTTCCCAACATCAGGGTCTTCTCCAGAGAGTCTTCTCTTCTCAAGAGGTGGCCAAAGTATTGGAGCCTCAGCTTCACGGTCTGTCCTTCCAGTGAGCACTCAGAGCTGATTTCCTTAAGAATGGATAGGTTTGATCTTCTTGCAGTCCATGGGACTCTCAAGAATCTCCTCCAGCACCATAATTCAAAAGCATCAATTCTTCGGCAATCAGCCTTCTTTATGGTCCAGCTCTCACTTCCACACATCACTACTGGAAAAACCATATATTCTATAGTCTAACCCAGTTAAATATTCTGTTCTGCCCTGCTCCTGTGTAAACTCCCTTAAGGAAGTAGGGTTTGGCAGTTTGCGGCATACAATCACCATAGCAGGCAATTATTATTCCCATTCTACAGATGAAAATGAAGGCTAAAAGGAAGCAATTTGCCTTAATGTATCCAGAAAGTCCAGTACGGAGACAGTGTGAAAAGATGATGCATCTCCCACAAGCTTCAGTTTGGTGTTAATTGCCAAGTTCTTCAAAGAACTAAATAAACATTTAAATTCTTTATGAGAGTTGTAGTTACCTCTGTTCTTTAATGTAGTAAAAATGCCTATTGAAATACACAACAAAGTTCTTTTTCTGAACATCAAAGAGTTCCTACTCTTTAGAAACAAAAAATGGATATGTATGACTGATCCCCTAGAGGGCAGTATGACCTAAATTAAGCTGAATCGTTCAATTAGCATTTCCCCCTCCAAGGATCGCCTCAGTTGTCTCACTTAAAGAATTACTTTCCCAAATCTGCCTGGTGAAAGTTATTTTTTGATCCCAAATAACAGCAGAAGGATTAGAAATGCTTTGCTCACAAAATAGCAAGCTGTAGAAATAAATATTTTGAGTACTGTTCAAATATGCATATGCTAGTTCATTTTCAAGTCATAACCTGGTTTGTGACTCCCATTCCACTTGTGATCCAAGGTTAGGCACCTGATGCAGCAAAGATATTAAAGCTCAGCAAATATAGGCCTGGCCAGTGCCTAGAATAGAGACCACCTGGGAATCTTAGGTACCCTGGATTCCATCAGTGTATCACATGTGATATAAATGATGTTGTTTTCAAGAAGTATATTTAGCCATGAGTAAAAACTGGATTCAGCCTGAGACCCAGAATATGTTCTTGGTGTTAGGGTTCAGCCTTGGAACATGCTGCAATGATAAGAAAGAAGAGTGTGTTAATATTTTGCTTATTGTTGTTGTATAATAATATAATGTACTATGATTGTAATGGATGGTGATAATTATGTGGCTTTCCATGGTTCTTTATTGAGAACCTTAGAATCTAACAGCTGACAATCAGAAGGGGCAGGAAGAGGGAGGAGGGGAGGTAAAAGGGGGAATAATTTACTTGCCTATACTTATGGCTCTCATTCCCAACTAAAACTAAGCCTAGCACACATGGACAATAGGTGGCCCTTACTACTTGTTTTATATAAAAAGGTAAAAGACCTCTGGATGGTTAAGTCCAGTCAAATGTGACTATGGGGTTGCGGCCCTCATCTCACTTTCAGGCCGAGGGAGCCGCTGTTTGTCCACAGACAGCTTTCCGGGTCATGCAACCAGCATGACTAAACCACTTCTGCTGGAACAGAACACCGTGACGGAAACCAGAGTGCACGGAAACGCTGTTTACCTTCCTGCCACAGTGGTACCTATTTATCTACTTGCACTGGCATGCTTTTGAACTGCTAGGTTGGCAGGAGCTGGGACAGAGCAACCGGAGCTCACCCCGTTGTGGGGATTCGAACCGTCAACCTTCTGATAGGCTTCTCCCAAATGCCTCATGGTGCAGCTCATACAATCTTAAACCATGCATGATGCACATGCACAAGAGCACCCTGGAGATATAGGTAGCTATTATTGCCATTTTACAGGTGGAAGCTAAGGCAGGCTGCCAGAGACTGGTGCTAGAAGGAGGGGTCAGGAATGATGCCACCAGACTTTCAGAACAAATGCATCTGTCTTCCTCTTGGTTTCCCGACAAGTCTGAAATTGATAGGGACAATTGTTTTACTTTTAAAAAAGATGGAATAGCCCATAGTATTTCCTGAACTTAACAGTCATGGGATCAATAACCGATTAAACTTTAGGACAAGCAGTGGATAGTAAGCATAAACTGGGTGTCTTCACAATGGAAGTAAACAAAGTTGTGTTCCTCAAGGATCTTTGCTGGCGATGATTTGCAGACAGATAAAAGGACAAAGCTTTTTCTTACTTGTCAAATAGCTACTGCTGCTCTCAAGCATGAGTTAAAGTGGGACAGAACTTGTAATAGTGTGCAATTTTGGAATGAGCGCAGATGTGTGTCCCAGGATCTCACAAGCCACTCTGGTGTGCATTTTTCTTCTTATTATTTTAAGTTTTTATTAACGATTTTCTTGGGTTACAGAAGCACATACATCGTCTCTATTTTCAGATCATAAAGTCCTTTAAGACAAAGCAGGGAACCTGTGACCTACTCTGATCCCCACGCTGTGCCTTTCCAAGGTCCTTTCTACCTTCACATGTTGGCTAATTTAGGTAAAGGGACCCCTGACCATTAGGTCCAGTCGTGGACGACTCTAGGATTGCAGCGCTCATCTTGCTTTATTGGCTGAGGGAGCCGGCGTACAGCTTCTGGGTCATGTGCGCAGCATGACTAAGCCGCTTCTGGCGAACCAGAGCAGCGCACGTAAATGCCATTTACCTTCCCGCTGGAGCGGTACCTATTTATCTACTTGCACTTCATGCTTTCAAACCTCTAGCTTGGCAGGAGCAGGGACTGAGCAACGGGAGCTCACCCTGTCGCGGGGATTCGAACCGCCAACCTTCTGATCGGCAAGCCCTAGGTTCTGTGGTTTAACCCACAGTGCCACCCGCATCCGATGGCTAGTTTAGGAACAACCCATAATTTCAAAAGTTACAGCTGAAAAATCTCAGTTGTAAAGCTGAAAAATCTCAGTTGAATTCTTGGTTCTTTATGCTGTTAGTTATCACATTGCTTCCACTATGTGTTCAAACTCTCTGTTGTTGTAGGGAAACCATAAAAGTTTACTATGATCTCTTAAAATTAAAAACAAACTTTTACAGAGCTACTGTTGTAGAAATGTACATCAGAGTTATTATCAGGATATATGGCGATGTATGAAAATGTTGTTTTGTAAACAATAAACCACCATGCCTGATGCTTTATTTGCTTGTTAGCTGGCATGCATTTCTTCTGAATGCAAATTTCTTAGTGACAATCTTTGTGACACAGATGGCCCACTCACCTGCTTCATTAAAGCCTGTTTAGAATACAGGGCTTAATATAGACTTTAGTCAGGGTAAAACCATGTACAGCTAATTTGTAATGATCATATCAACTAACAAACACATAATCATGAAGCTCTTAAAATGTATTAAAATTCAGATCTCTCCATTAGCAGCCTCGCTTCATTAACATATTAATAGACAATGTGCCTTTTATAATTAGCTTGTATTTTCTTTGCATCGTTGAAGATAATTCCAGGAGGGCTTATGGAAAAGTTCACATTTTCTCCACAGAGGAGTAGTGCAGAATCCAGGAGTCCCCAAATCATTATGGGGGTTTTTATCACCTTTTCTTTCCTTCCCTCTTTCTCCACTCGTCCACCATATTGCCTGATCAATAATAAAAGCCATTTGCTCCAGAAGATGGACTTAAGGACATAAACTCCTATGCAACAGGGGAGCAAGGCTCTTGTAATAGTATATTTTCCTGACTAGACTGTGTCCATTGGTTAAGATCAACCAGGGATTTTAACCATCTTTGGGGGGTTTGGGGGGGTTTTTGTTTTTATTAAAGATTATCTTGTTTTACAGATTAACCATCTTTGGTTGAGGGCCGTTATACGCCAACATAGGTAAGAGCATTCTTGTTAGGAGGCACCCCAGTTTTGGAAACCCTCTCCTTTGTGATATGGCTAGCACTTTGCTCTTCTAAATTTTAGATGCCAGATGAAGGCAAGGGTTTTTTTATTTGCTCAAGACTGTGGTGGAAACTGATGGCGCTACTGGTATTTTTTGTTGACTGGTAGTGACTCACTGCCTTGTTTTTAATCATTGTTTTGTGGATTTGAAACTATTTTACTTGCCAACTGCTCTGAAATGCCTTTGTGGTAAATGCATGTGTGTGTATATATATATACAGTATGAAAGAAAGAAAGAAAGAAAGAAAGAAAGAAAGAAAGAAAGAAAGAAAGAATACGGCCCTGCTCTAGTGCTGCCTCTCCTAGCACTTGAAATTGATCTAAATCCTGAAATTCAATCTTGAACTCTGGTTACATTTTTTGATTGTAGCCACCAGAATGGAATCAGTGGCCAGGGAAAACAGAGGAGCATCTTCATGCAAGCATGGTTTGTTAGAATATGGGAAATGGCATTGTCAGAACAATTGACTCAACACAGTAGGATGGTAAGGGGGCAATGTGAGAAAGATAAATTGATAAGTACATAGCATTTGTTCATTTAATATATAAACAAATCAGTATAGTCAATGCTGTGTGGAGAGATCTAATCCATGAATTTGGTTTGGTTTTGTCTCATCCATGAATCCATGCTTTGTTTTGTTTTGCTTCTGTTTATTGTTCTTCATTGAAAATCAATAAAAATAAAATACTTTTTTTTTTTTTAAAGAATAATAATTCTCCTGGAACATACCAAAGCTCCATCTGGTCCAGCATCCTGTTCTCAGAGTGGCCAACCAGAGCTTTATTAACCAGTAATTGATTAATTAACTAAAGAAGTCTTCATCGATCTGGCATCCTCCAGAGGTTTTGGAGAGCAACTCCTTGCTGCCTGGGGCTAATAGGAACTGTAGTTCAAAACATGGGGAGAAGACGATGTTGGCAAACCAAATGAAGACAAGTCACCACTGTGGAGTAAGCACGGCTGAGATTGCTCAGGCAGCATTTTGTGATGTGATACTGCAGACCCAAAAGCATCCCTGCCTTCATGTGTAAAATCATAGAGAGTATGTATTTAGGATTCCCCAGAGCACCTACAATAACCCTCTCAGTCTGAGCAGGAAGTTAGAACAGCTTTGGTGCGGGTGGCACTATGGGTTAAACCGCAGAGCCTAGGACTTGCCGATCAGAAGGTTGGCGGTTCGAATCCCCGCGACAGGGTGAGCTCCCATTGCTTGGTCCCTGCTCCTGCCAACTTAGCAGTTTGAAAGCACGTCAAAGTGCAAGTAGATAAATAGGGACCGCTCCGGCAGGAAGGTAAACGGCGTTTCCGTGCGCTGCTCTGGTTTCGCCAGAAGCAGCTTAGTCATGCTGGCCACATGACCTGGAAGCTGTACGCTGGCTCCCTCAGCCAGTAAAGCGAGATGAGCGCCGCAACCCCAGAGTCAGCCACGGCTAGACCTAATGGTCAGGGGTCCCTTTACCTTTACCTTTACAAATGCTTAATCATCAGAATGGACTAGCGACTTTAAAAACCATAATATTGTTGCGTGTAGAATTCCATGTTCCGTAGGTCCTGGAAATTTCCTGAGGGATAATACCAGTGCGTGGAATATATTGCTGAAACAAAAAAGATGTGGCCTTCTTAGCATTTTGAACTGAAAAGCAGGTGGGGGTGGGGTGTTATTTGTGTGTTTTTAAAGGAAACAAATAGTTGTAGTGTTGCCACCTGGTGGTGATTGTCATTCCCTACAATAACATAAACTTGATACACAATTAACATAAACTGATCCTGTTAGGACATCTTGGAACAAAATATTTGGGTTCCCAATCAACTTGAATTTTATGTAGTTTATGCCAGATCCAGCAACCTACCAGAAACACAAAGGATGAGTTTCTAGGTGACCCATAGATGAACAGGCAGCCCGGCAAATGAAGATTATTTCTGTATTCAGTCTATATTCTGCTTCGAATAACGGGGGGGAAATGCCCAAGTTGCATTTTCCACCTTTCCTTTCCTTGTGCCTCAATAAAAGAAGCTAAGCGACACATTTGCAATGTAGATAACCTGATGTGAAATATTAACAATGGCGCAGTGGAGTTCGGTAAAAGAAAAGGCAGGGGGATGCCATCCACGCTTTCCAGGGTGACAGTAAGTACTTATGTCAAAGGGAAAGCGTGGGAAATAACAAGCTCCCTGATGTGGTAAATACCAATGTGATAATGCACTTGTGTTGTGGTGAAGATCTGTATTATGAAATCTTGTCTGCCTCCTGTAGCAAAGGAAGGAATGTGGCTTCCTGTACATCATTCCTTGGTCCTCAGTCCCACCTGGTTTATGTACACGGCAGCATGTTGAAAGCTGAAATGTGTAAATCTTCTTGTCCAACAGCTCATCTAGGCTTCTTCCTATGGATATTAGAGACAATGTAGACGTTGAGCGGCTCCACCTTCTCTCTGTCACCCAAGAGCATTTCTCTGTCTTCTCCATGCAGAGGACCTACCACTTGCTTGTTCTTCCTCTTGCTTTGAAAACAGCTGAAAAAAACCTTTTATTATTATTTAACTTCTCTTGCAAGCCTGAGCTTGTTCTGAGCTGTAGCCCACCTCAGCTTCTCCCTGCAGGTGTTGGCTACTCGTATATACTCTTCCTTTCTTCCATTTCTTATGCATGCCCCCTTTAAATCTCAGTTCATCTGTACAGTGGTACCTCAGGTTACAGACGCTTCAGGTTACAGACGCTTCAGGTTACAGACTCCACTAATCTAGAAATAGTACCTCGGGTTAAGAACTTTGCTTCAGGATGAGAACAGAAATCATGCTCTGGTGGTGTGGCAGCAGCAGGAGGCCCCATTAGCTAAAGTGGTGCTTCAGGTTAAGAAAAGTTTCAGGTTAAGAACGGACCTCCGGAATGAATTAAGTTCTTAACCTGAGGTACCACTGTAAGCTCCTTGTGCAACCACACTAGTTTCTGCAGATGCCTCTCACTTTTCTTTCTTGCTGGAATTGTTTGCAATTGTGCCTTGACTTTTAAGAAACTCCCTTCTCTCTCAGAAAGAGAATGAATATATATAACCTTTTATTAAAATAATCAATGGAAAAAATGCACATTTAATGATACTGAAATAAAATCTATACAACATCAAAAATGAATTTGAGGATTCTATCCTAGCTGAATCTTTATAAGAGAGCACCCCAACATGGCACCTATGGGTGCACAGTGCCTTTGAGGCCTTCCTCAAATGTCTATGAAGCCTCTGAGCTCCCTCAACTCAGGACCCCCTTAACATTATCTGGTGAAAGTGGTCACTATTTTATCCCTAAGAGAAAATATATAGAACTGAAGGAAGAAGTCAGAAGAATGACACACTTCCAACCACCATTGAGGAGGCCAGGGAGCAACTACCCTATTCTGAACTTAACAGCATAATGCTGGTGGTCAACAAAAGAGGATTAAAGACTGTCTCAAGGCAAATATAAAAAAAATGTAGTATAAACACCAACAACTTGGAAACACTGGCCTGCAAGTGCTCTAACTGGAGAACAGCCTTTACCAAAGGTGTCATGGGCTTTGAAGACACCCGAACTCAGGATGCAAGGGAGAAACGTGCTAAGAGGAAGGTATGCTTGGCAAATCCACACCGTGATCAACTCCCGCCCGGAAACCAATGTCCCCACTGTGGAAGGATGTGTGGGTCCAGAATTGGCCTCCACAGTCACTGACGGACTCATTGTTAAAACAGTGTTTATGAAGACAATCTTACTCGGCTACAAGTGACCACTGCAGAAGAAGTAATGTGCTCAAGTAACGCATGCATGCCATGCGTCATGCATACATCACCACAGGATATTGAAAATTTAGGGGGGCCAAGGTCTCTCAGCCCACCAGCTGCTGCCCCTGCTTCCCACTTCATTTTTCAGCTCTACGTACTTTTTAAGGCTCATATTAATTCTATTGTATACAAATCTTACCCTTAGAAAAGTGAAGTGTGTGTGCATGCGTTCTGTTTCTTTGGGGTGGGAGTTGATTTGAGGAAAGGGGGGGGGGAGAGAAGAGAAAAATGACCAGAAGGGATGGTGCCTGCAGCCCTCACTCAAAATCCAAATGTGCTCATGGGCCTTAAAAAGTTGGCAATTTCTTTTTCAGGAGATGGAACATGAGGTACATTTCTGCCTTTGCTGGCTTCCTCTCCTCACATCTATCCCAGATTTGCTTATTGCTTCATAGTCAGTGGAAACAAGGGGTAAAATGTTAGCCTTCTACTTAAATAACAGCAGTGAGTCATTTTTTAAAAAATCACCTGTCCTATTAACAACTTCCGGTAGCAAGATTTTGGCATCTGTTGCCAATTGCTATGGCAACAGTTGCCATGTTTTATTCTCTTCTCTTTTGTGTACAGTATGTAACACTTAATAAAACAAACAGACCCCATGTGCACACCTGAAAAGCAGAAAGTTTGCTGGTTAGGAGCCTTATCTTGTGTTCTTTTGAATGACTGTTCCAATGACCGAGAAAGCTCAGTAATGTTGGAGAACTCTGAAACTTAGTAGAAAAACATTTACTGTATCAGAATTCAAGGACAAATAGACATACATAGTATTGACTGCCACAAAAGCCCATGAACCCACCACCATTCTGGCAATCAGACAAACACCTAGCTCGGTCCAAAGTTCAACACTCAGGTACTTATGACTCAGGTCTTATTGATCCACACCCAGTCTGCTTTTGAGTGTGTCTCTCAAGGCCAAACTCTCTCGACGTCAGGATTAGACAGGACTAAGTATCAGGCCAGACAAAAGCTGATCTGAAGGGAAAGCGTGCAGGTGTCTGGCTCCCGTTTTGGAAGAAAATATGTTCTCTTCATTTCTGGTTTAATTATGCCCCCTTTACTCATAACAGGTGGTCAGGTTTGGAATTTGTAAGGTTTTGTTTCACCTCTAGAGTCCACAGAATATGCCCAGAAAGCAAACATAAGAAAGAAAGGTCATAAGAAACTGTTGTTTCCCTCCCACAGAGCTACAATTCCTAGCAACCTTAATCAACTTCAGTTCCCAGAATTTTGAGGGGAAGGTCATGTGCTTTAAATGTATGCTGGTTGTGCTTTAAATATATGGTGTGACTGTGCCCCTAATTTGGTCTCCTCTGAATAAATATCTTCTCCCCAAACCATGAAATTAAGTTTTTAAAGCTAATGAAGTGATGTGATTCATGAAAATGAAAACAGCATCCCCAGTAATGTTCCACTGACCAACTCTGCATAGTGAGAAGATAAGAAACAATTTCTTTATGCTCTTCAGAATTCTCTATCATTTGGCTTATTTTATTTTACAAAAGTTATATATCACTTGGTTATAATAGAACCTCTAAGCAGTTTTTTAAGCCATTAGAATTATCAATAAAAACAGCTCAAAAACAGGCATTAAAAAAATCTTCAGACAATCAATAGTAAACTAAAAAAAAGATTAAGACACATGTCAGCTATTATTGCTTATAACCAGCTTTTCATTCCTGCAGAAAATTGGTTGTCAAAAGCAGACACATAAACAAAATAACCCTCCCCCTAATTAATACAACATATCTGTATGATAATAATTATAACAATACATCAAAATACAAAACAAGTAAGGAAAAACCCAGATTCAATATTTCAATCATACAATGGATCTGTTAATTCTATAGAAATGCATTCATAAACATTCACTTCAACAATAAGAATTTATCTCAGTTAACAACAAAGCTGCCCCGAGATAAATATTATAGTATATTAATACCATAAGAAACCAGTCCAAAAACAATATCGATCTTCAAAGTCACTAAAAATGCAGTTAATGCATAGTAAAACCATACAATTTGTACACCATAAAACAATTACACTAGCATGCAGTCAAAATAGTGAATAGCTGAAGCAGTTTTAATGTATGTAACTAACAGTAGGCAAAGCAAAAATATTGTATCAATAGATATGGTGAGGAAGTCACAGCAGGACATTCCTTATCAAAGGGAAATAATTTTCAGTGTTTTTGGCATGTTAAGATACCTAAGAATCCTGTGTGTTAAAATCCGGTCCTGCTAACTTGGAACTGAAGCAAAGTGAAATAATTGGAATGGAAACAAAATATTTTGAAACACTTAAGTGCTTTTATGGAAATGTTTGAGACGAAAAACCAGAATGAGAACAGACAAAAATGTGAAAACCCATAGTTATCAAACCCCATCCCCACCACTCCGGTTTCAAAGAATCCTTCCAGCACCAACAGTGTGCCCTGTTTTCAGTGTCCCGTGAGCTGCTTCACCTTCACAGACTCTTGCCTTCCATTTATCAGGGTACAGAAATCTGAGGGCAGTCATAAGGCATACTGTACTGATAAATTTATGCATGTACCTGACCCCCTGGAGAAAGACTGGCATGCAGTATTTGACAACAGGCCTGGATTCAGTTCTTGGAGGTCATAGACAGGTTCCAGACTGATGCCACTCAATCAGCAAGGTTTGCTTGTGCAAATGGTGAAAAATCCATCTACCTGCAAGAATCATAGACATTGTAGAGTTGGAAGGGTCATCTAGTCAGATTCCCCCTTACTGTACCACTTATTGCTGAGGGATGTTTTGTTATGGCATATATACCAGTGCTATTTTTCTAGAAAAGGAACTCACCATAGACACCTCCCTTGTTCTCTTAGAATGGCAATGGTGCCCACCTGAGAGGTGCCAGAACTGAGTTCCGGTAAGTTCTGGTGGAAATAAAAGCCCTGCATTTACTCCGAGGAAAATAAGTGTGACAGATAATATGTAATGTGTTTTATACTTCTTCATTTTTGTTTTAAGATTTGCCTTGAGAGAGTCTTCAAACCTCTTTCGTTGACCACCAGCATTACACTTTCCATTTTAAAGTTCAGAATAGAGTACAGTGGTACCTCGGGTTACAGATGCTTCAGCTTACAGGCTCCACTAACCCAGAAATAGTACCTTGGGTTAAGAACTTTGCTTCAGGATGAGAACAGAAATTGTGCAGTGGTGGCAGCAGGAGGCCCCATTAGCTAAAGTGGTACCTCAGGTTAAGAACAGTTTCAGGTTAAGAAAGGACCTCCAGAACGAATTAAGTACGTAACCAGAGGTACCACTGTAGTTGCTATGGAAGACAATAATCAGGCATCTGAACCAGTGGCATAGCGTGGGTTGTCAGCACCCGGGGCAAGGCAAGTAATTTGCACCCCCTAACCTGTGGATTTGCACCCCCTAACCCTAACCCCCAGATGTTGTGCCCGGTGTGGCCGGCACCCCCTGCACCCCCCACGCTACGCCACTGATCTGAACAACTAGACCAGTCCAACAAAGTTGATGTTAAAGAATCATTGCTTCAACACTGTTAAAACTGTGTTTATGGAAGACAATCTTACTCGGCCACGAGTGATCGCCAGAGAAGAAGAAGAAGAAATGTGTTTTACATGGTTTATATAATACAACTCTGAATTTTATTGCTGTGTATGGCGGACTTAAAACACTGAAGTGTTTTAAATTTTTCATTTGTCTGTTCACTTCTATTTTATAAGTGCATTCATCATTTTATCAGTCATTCATTAATGTTACATTCGTTTTATTGCTTATATTTTGGTGGCTTTTTTCTTTTATTTTAAAACTTTTTTCTTAGTTACTTTCTTATGGAAAGGTTTGTAGCTATGGGGATATATTGATATAGGGTAGCTTCCCATGTTCCTGTGTTTACCTCCTCTGGAGGTAGCAGCGATGACAGCTGTAGTTTGTATGTTTTAAAAGTATGGTTGTGAGTTTCTCTACTCTCTTTATCTTTAGTAAACTGCTTTGAGATTTATTTCTTTTTTTTACAATGAAGCGGTGTGTAATTTTTATTAAATAAATAAATAGCAGCAGCAACAACAACAACCATAAAATTAATAATGATTTGACATCCAAGAGTTTTTTGTAGGATGAAAAGAGAATAACATGGAATTGAAGGAAAGCATGTGAATTTGTTAGAATGCAGTTCTAAATGCACATGCATGCACACACTATACACCTTGGTGATTTTATGCCTAGACCTAAGCCATCACTAACACATGAAAAGCAGACAACATGACGAAGGAGACAACTGAGCCTGGTCATATAAATTTCCAGAGGTGTATATGTAATAGTCTCTTGCAGGGGGAAAAAATAGTTTTGTTTTTTTTAAAAACCCTGTGGCACCTTCAGAACTACAAATTCATTATGGTACAAGCGTTAATGGACTCAAGTCCCCTTGACTTGCATCTGTTGAAATGGCCTTGAGTCCACAAACACTTGTGCTATAATAAATTTGTTAGTGTTTAAGATGCCTCAAGAGTTTTAGTTGGTTTTGAAGACAGAGGTTTATGTAGTTTGCTTAAGAAAACAAGAGACAAGCAGTATCTTTTTAACCTTTCGTTATTGTTGTTTTTTTAAAGGAAAATAATTAGATATTCATGGGGTTGCTCAGTGCAACAAGTATTTAACTGTTCTGAAGAATGAAAGGTGGCATGATAAACCCTCAGAGAATAAAATTCCCTTAGATGCTTGGATATTTTCTTTTTTTAAAAAAAGGTTTTTCCTGGGGAGAGGAGACAGGAAACTGCTGGAGGGGAAATCAGAGGGTACAGGCCATGCCTGGATACTTTCAAAACCATCATAGGAATCTTCCTCATCAAGCTGCCACTGGGTGGTCATCACTGCTATGTATAGGAAAGTATTAGAAAGTAAATATCTCTGGAGGCCTAACAGCTATTAAATTGTCTTAGTGGCTGCATCAATCCCCACTGGTGGTGATTTTGAAAGACCTGTGGGAATACCTGGGCAGTGATGGATTTGGGCTCTCAAATTTCAGTGGCACCCTGTGCAATGCTAAAATTCGCCGGCCCACCACCTCTCCAACTCCATCCTACAGCACTGTTGTGTCGCCCCCTGCAGCTACCCTAAAACCGCCTGTGACCCTGGAGCCCGAGCTGAAGCAGGGCAGTGCTTCCCTATATACCAGCCATCACACTCAGATAATTTGCTCCTAACCGCTCTCACCAGGATACATATTCTTTATTCTTTGTCCATATTTACCATTGATCCTGGGAATAGGCTAGGAAGAGACACGGTTTTCAGGGAGAGGGGAGAAATAACTACTGGGAGAAGGAGAGGGGAAGTGTGATCTTGCCCTAGCAGGGAGTAAGGAATGTGGGCAGAGGTTGCCTGCCTGTGTAATACTATCTATAAAAGCACAGTCTGCAGAGTTTTTACCTCTTGCCACTGAACCTTACGAGAAAGAAACTCTGGAGGTAGGATTAGCGAGAAGAATATCCACATCCACGGGAGAGGACACATGCAGGTGTGAGACCCGAGACCCCGCGTTTCTTTTATTTATTTTCGAATTTAAGCACCAGACTTTTACGAATATTTAAATTGCTGCTGAATTAAGCGAAGAGTGCCATGGGAAAAGGTCTGCATTGATCCGGAAGGAAAAATCAGAGCTGCCAAGAAGCGTCAGGCGGGCAGTGGCGCGGTAGCACTGAAGGAACTGAGTTCGAAAGCAACGACAGTTACCCAGAAGCGGTGCTGGAAGATGCGACCGCTCCGTAGTTATTCTTTGATTGACGGGGGATCGACGCTCGGCTTCTCTCCGGCGCTCCCGGCTTGCAGTTCTCGCAGCGCCCGGTAGAGGCTACTGCAGATCGCCTCAAGCCAAAGCGAACGCGCCTTAAGGAAGAAGCGCGAGTCCCCGGAGTTAGCAATAACCTTTGCTACCCACAGGGCGCCTCGATGCCACTTAAATAGAAAAGGCGTCTTCTGAGTTTAACGACTCAATGGCAAATTGCAGGATTTCCCTTCTCCACTAAATGTCTTGGGTTCTTGTTCCACGGGTCACGCTTAGCATGGGCAAGTAAAAGTGAACTGGGACTTATAGTTTTTGCTCCATCAGTGAATTACGCGCACACCGACACCGACACCGACACCGACACCGACACCCCAACACACCCACAGCACAGCTTCTCGTCCTCCCACTACCAGTACCACCACTCCCCAGGGTCGACTGAGCACGCCACTGATATATTTAACAGGGATTCCCCCCCCCTTTTGCTGAGTGACTCCAAGTGACCAACGGACAAGGCAACTGAGCAGCTGGTGGGTCCTTGCCTCTCCTCCGTCGCCTTCAAGGCGGGGATCACGCTTCTGTTGTGGGTAGAAACGAATAAATAAGAACAACCAAATTCCTCCATAAATCATTCCATAATTTATTTGATTAAAAAAAAAGAATTGCGTGGTAATTGATGCGGGAGGCGGTTTGTTTGTATGTTGGATTGTCTGTTTTGGGTTTTCAGACGAGGAGGGACGCATTCGTTTCCACAAAGCAAAGACAGAACCAAGAGAAATTAACACGTAGCCTTGAAACTGTTGGTTTCTGATATAGGTGGGCAGAGAACGCCGGGGGTAGACCGAAGCGGGTTGTTTGGGGTTTAGAGGGTCTCCAGCCGTTGTTGGACCACAACTCCCATCATCCCTAGCTAGCAGGACCAGTGATCAGGGATGAAGGGAGTTATAGTCCAACTGGGTTGGCGACCCAAGTTTGGGAAACACTGCGTTAGAAACTCCCCACAGGTGGAGTGTGATCCTCAGTTGTCACAAGCACATACGTGGGTGGGGAGGAAAGAAATGCAAAAGGTTGGAGTTAAAAACCAAAGGGATGCAATTCAACGAGAACTTATAAGCATGCTTACATACACTCCGAATTATCACAGGCTACTTTGGTATCCTATTGCCATTTACTCGCCCCGCCCCTTTTACACCCACGCACTTGAGAACTGAGGATCGCATGTACAGTATACAAAAGCCAATGCAGTGTAATGGTTAGAGTGTCAGACGAGGACCTGAGAGACCACGGTTCAGATGTCCACTCAGACGTGAAGCTAATTGGGTGACCTTAAGCTAGTCACCGTCCCTCAACCTAACCTACCTCACAGGGCTGTTGTGAGGATAAACAGGTGGAGGAGAACCATGTATGTCGCCTTAGACTCCTTGGAGGAAAGCTGAGATGGAAATGTAGCAGATAAATTTTAAGTAGGGAATTGTGTTCGTCTTTGAGGTGTCACAAGACTCCTTGTTTTTTGTTGAAACAATCTAAAATAACTACCTCTCTGGAAACGGCTACATTATCCCAGGAAACCTGATCACAACCCTCTAAATTAGACCAGTAGAATAATTTTCGTATTAGGAAGGCGGGTTTCCTGGAGAGATCGTAGCTGCAGAAAGATTTAGACCTTCCTTGCTAAGACGTCAGTCCTGTCAAGCTGCCATGGCTCCCAGTCCATGAACTCAGGGATTGATCGTCTTAAACAAAGAGTGTGCTGTAGATTCACTACAGGACAATTCTCCAAGTTGGGAGAAGAGGAGGAACCATGACATTTAAATCAGGGTAAAAACTGAGTCACTCCCCCGTCCTACAACTACCTCTTTTAATGGAATCTTCTGAGCACCAACCCCTTAGTCTCATAGTATTTACTAGGCTATCAGGGTGACTAATTTCAAGGTGCTGAGTCTTACAGTCCTGTGGAGCTGCTGGAAAGTGGTCGTAGTCTGCAGATTATCTGGGGCTTTCAGATTTAATTCAGCCTGCCTACACACCCAACACATACTGAATAGATGCCAACACCTACGCAGAAGATAAAGGAAGGAATATTGTACTGTATTTTATTACTTTTAAGCCTGTTGTAGATTAATCGAGGAGGTGAGTATGAACTGCGAAATAAACTAGTAGCAGGTTCTTAAAAACCACGCACTGTTGTCTGCGGAACGCTCGCCCACAGTAAGCTGGAACAGACACTTCCAGGGGTGGGGAACCTGTGGTTCTCCAAATGTTACTGGACTACAGCGTCATTATCCCTGACCATTGGTCATGCTGGTTAGGGACGATGGGTGCTGGAGTCCAGCAGTATCCGGAGGATCACAGGTTCTCCACAGAATGGTCTGTCTGGAATATGCATCCAGTTATCGTCGGTAGTCTAGCTGTGTTCCAAACGCGCTGGAGCCATTTAGGGGGAAAGGCCGTCGGCAACTTAGGCAGGAGCCTTGCTACTCTGCTGTCTGAAATAGGCATCGGGCAGAAGTAGCAGAAAGACCTCCCCTTCTCCAGTTTGTTTCCATGTAATCCGACATCCGAATGATAAACTTATACACTGAAGAAGAAATCGGTGCTTTACATATTGTAAAGCGCGCGGAAGTTTGCAGGAAGAGGGAAAAGGAACTGAAGATAACAGGATCCAGTCCAAACCCGCCGCTTTAAAAGAGGACCATTGGGATCTTCTGTGTTTGAGACAAAGATCTGGTATATCTGAGGCGAAATGAGACTGGAAAGGGTCAATAAATCTTGGGATCTGGCGGCACAAGCGCCAGACACACCTTTGCACCTCCTTCTTAAGCCTGCCTCTCTGTAGAATGCCAGGTAGGAAAGAATGCCAGGAATGGACCATAGAGGAAGGGTAGGGTAGCTATAGATCTATCTGGAGCAGGAAAGGGACAGAGAGAAGCTGAGGGGCTGGTGAGCAGGCAAAGCAGTTGGAAACCAAAGAAGTGGGGGACTAGTTGTAAAGAACTGCGCCCCATTGTTCCTTCGATCAATTTGTGCCCAGAGCTCAGTCAAGAAACTTACTTTGAAAGAGTCCCTACTCTGAGTGATATGAAATGTTGCCAAAGTGACTGGCCAAGTGCAGAGTGCTTTGACCACTTCGCCAGTGAGTTGCTCCATACTTCCCGGATAAAGTTCCACGGGATGGGGTGGAGACGCAAGGTGAAGCCTTGGTGGGTCTGGAAGAAAGGGTAGATGGAAGGAACAAGAGAAGGGCCTCCGAGCCTGAAGGACTTGAGCTCGTAGTCCTTTGAAAGCCCTGCCTGCTGGGCACTTGCCCGCGAGTCGTCCAGAGGCAACGCTAGTCACCTATTTCCGAAGGAGAAGGCGATGCCAAGAAGGCAACGAGGACCGCACGGTGCCTCAGTGTCATGGTCTCCTTCACTAGTCACTGTGTCACGGTCTCCTTCACACATATGGCGCCCCATAACTTATTGACTGCGACTGACGCCCCGATGTTACTGCTTCATCACTAGAGCTCAGGTGGCAGGTCATCTGACCTGAAACAATGGCTGTCAGTGGAGCGAGTGTGGGGTCACACATTGCGCTCCCCAGCAAGTGCACAGCTACAGTTAATGAACGGCAGCGCGGAAGAGTCGCTCACCTTGTATTCGTTTGAGCTTTGCAAAGAGACCTAACAGACCTCTCTACCCCTTGCATGCCATGCCCCAGTGAATTATTTCCTCTCTAGTCCTGCATATGTACGTATGTGCCCCACGCATCTGGTGAAGTGGGCTTTAATCCATAGATAAGGATAATATACATCTATATTAGCCCTTTCGGTTCCATATTCGGTTCCATTCTCTTTTTTGCAGCGGCATGAAGAGGCTGTATTCCTCTCCGGTATCACGTACAGAGAAATCACGTGGATGTGCAATGAATGTGTGAATCAGCCCCTAAACGAAACAGGAACCCAGTACTAAAATCTGACCAGCGAGACTTAGCTATCTTTAGAACTACAGCCCATAAACCCAATTAGACCCATTCCCAAGGAAAGTATTCATAACCGCTTTTTGACTCTTCACCCCGGGGAAGCAGCCACTGACTTCAATGCCATATAGTGTATTTATTGCATTTATATCTCACATTTTTCTCCTAGCTCAAAGTTGTGTATATGGTTCTCCTACTCCTCATTTGATCCCTACAACAACCCTATGAGGTTGGTTAGGCTCAGAGACAGTGACTGGTCCATGGACATCCCGTGAATTTCACCGTCGAGGGGGGAGATTTGAACCCAGGTTTCCCAGGGCCTAGTCTGGCATTCTAACCACTACACAGTGCTGGCTCTGTTAAGTAGCTGGCGGTATTCTGCAGGAAAAGGCTGTTTCCCAGTGGTCCTGCTGGGTTTTTCTTGCTTTGTTTTGGTGGCTGACTTTTGCTCACGGAGACAGTGCTTGCTGGAAGCGCATGTTTCCTGAGAGACCCTGGAAAATAATAATAATAATAATAATAATAATAATAATAATAATAATAATAATTTAAATTTGTAAAGGTAAAGGGACCCCTGACCATTAGGTCCAGTCGTGGCTGACTCTGGGGTTGCGGCGCTCATCTCGCTTTACTGGCCAAGGCAGCCAGTACAGCTTCCGGGTCATGTGGCCAGCATGACTAAGCCGCTTCTGGCGAACCAGAGCAGCACACGGAAACGCCGTTTACCTTCCCGCCAGAGCGGTACCTATTTATCTACTTACACTTTGACGTGCTTTTGAACTGCTAGGTTGGCAGGAGCAGGGACTGCGCAACGGGAGCTCACCCCTTCCTGGGGATTCGAACTGCCGACCTTCTGATCGGCAAGTCCTAGGCTCTGTGGTTTAACCCACAGCGCCACCGCGTCCCAATTTGTACACCGCCCTAAACCCACAGATCTCAGGGCGGTTCACAACATAAAAACACAAAATACACAGCAAAAATAAAAACAAAGACAACCCAACTATCCCCCGCATGCAGTCAGATCATGGGCTCATCTAGCTCATCTGGAGGTGACAGGAGACTGTCCCAGCCGAATGTGGAGATGCTGGGGATGGGACCTGGGACCTGGGACCTGGGATGCAACTCATGTGCCCCATCACTGAACGACGGCTCTTCCTCAATCTTTCTGGGCAGGTCCCTAGCCCGAGAGAGCTCTTGGCCAACCTTCTGCGGCGCGGCAGCAAGCAGCATCTCAGCCTCTTCTCTGCTTCCTTCCATTGTTTTCTATTTGGTGCCTCCGGAATTTAGTCATATCTGGGACTGACAGACAAGGAAAGGCGGTGTTTTGTTTGTGTGCGCGTGCGCGCTGACGATTTCACTATCTCGCCGGGGAGAGTTTTAGCTGTTAACTTTCCGAAAAGGTCCTACTTTAAACTCCAGGCGAAAACATTTCTCTTCTTCCAGGCCTTTGTCTAATTAAACCATCTATGATCTTTTAAATTCCTGTGGGGGTTACTGTTTTTGTTTGTTACTATGGTATGCATTTTTGTGTTTTTTACATTGTAAAGCGCTCTGTGATCCTCGGGTGGAGGGCGGTATAGAAATTTAATAAATAATAATAATGAAATAATAAAGTGACTTATTTTGAACGCAACTGTGGGGGAGGGTTGTATTGACCATAGAGCATCCTGCTTCGCCGGATGGAGCGTTCACCACCCCCAAGAGCTTCAAGGCGGACTTACTTGTGCCTTCATTCTTACGGAGTAGCCTCCCCGCCATCTTTTTCCTTTCTTCTTTTTAAAGCCTTCTTCTGGCATCCAACAGGTGCATTGAGACTGAAGCTTCTGCGGACTGCAGCCCACTTCGTAAAATGCAGGAACTGCCATTGGTATAGCACTGTGGGTGTACGAAGATGGACGCCAAAATTAATATATCTGCTTTATTATAAATAAAAATTTTCGCAATTAACTACATCCTTCCGGAATCCAGAACAAGCGTGTCTACAATGCATTTTTATGCTTTAAAAACTCTCCCTCTCCCTCTTCTTTTCTCTTCATTTTCTGGCTTTGGTATTGCCTGATTCTTTTGCCATGAAACGAGCTACTGCAGGCGACAGCAGCCTATTTCATTGGATGGGTGAAGCAGTGGTATGGGTACAGAGACGCTCTGAGCTGAAGTTCGCATAAACAGGTGAGGTGATACACCTGTTCCTGGGCTGTGTTACTTCAGCCCAGACTGAGAACTAGCAAGGGAGAGCTACCGAAGCATGCTGCTTTCTGGAGCGTTGACTATGTATTAATTAGATGTATGAGAACACAGTAAGAAGAGCCTGCTGAATGTGTCTTTCATTACCTTCAGAAAGCTCAGACCATCCTTTTGGTTTCAACATGACATGCAGCTCCTGGTTACTTAGGTTGCTTATATCCAAAGAAGAACAATCTAAACAGAACAGCCTACTGGCCCACGATGACAGTCCTGATGAATTAATACAAGATGCCATAGAAGCAGGACGCAGGTGCGCTTGAAAGTTCTTGCCACAGTAACCTTAATGACATTACAATCTTTAAAAGTTTACTTAGAAGGAAGAGGTCCCATCAGGATAGCTGTGCACCACCTCCAGTATCCAAGGTGAGATGCCTCAGAGTGTTAGCTGCTGGGGAACAGCTGCTATTGCGCTCACGCCCTTCCTTGTGAGCTTCTCATAGGCATTGATCTGGGTACCGTGAGAACACGATGCTGGACAAGACAGACCTTGGATATGAGTCATCAGGGTTCTTCTTCCTATAGTCTTCCGTTCAATGCGGACATATTTTCCACGAAGGCGTTCTGAAGTGAAATGTTATGGTGCTGCAGCCTTGATTCCGACTTTAATTCTCTCAAGTGCAGCCCATTTCTTTATTGGGACTGTCCCAAATTCCAGAAGTGGGGAGTTCAGTTCTATCTGAAAAGTTTACTCATGGAGGACAAACTCAGAATCTCTACTTGAGCACAAGGGTATCAGGTATGTGGATTTCACAACCGGACCAGTAGCAGATTTAGGGCAAAACTGGGCCGGGCAAAAACCCAGCAGCCCACTCAAAAGAATAAGTGAACAAGCAGGAAGACCCTCGCTCCCCAAACCCACAATCCGTTTACCACATTTTGAAGCAAGTGAAGTTGTACCCATAAAAATAGCAGGTGGCGATAATACCATTAAGTGAAGTAATTGCCGTTAACTTAACCATCGAGATAATAAAACAACACCATTAAAGAGCAGAGTCTAAATTTGCCAAACTACGCCACTGCACCAGAGAAACGTATGAGAACTAGAGAAACGCTTTCTCCACTTCCGGTTCCAGGTACCTCGAATGAGGCAAATCATATCGAAACCTGAATGTAACAGGGGGAAGACCAAGACCCCTATAAACATATGTGGAAGCAATCACATGGATTTTCAGTGGAAGAAACTATCAGTTGAGGTCAAACAAAGCCCGCTTCTTCCGAAATCAATGCTAAGCCACAGATCTTTTGGGAAAGTGAGGGTGGCACTCATTCCACAATAATCCAGCTCAGTCCATTGCGGCTACTCCCGCCAGCGGTCATTAAGACTGCAGCCTCAATAGAATCCTCAGTTTGCAATTTGGTCAGGACTCTTCCACTTAAACCCGCTTCCCCAGCCCCCTTATTTGAAAGAGTGGTTCCAAAAAGAGCTCAGACTCGGAATTCGTTCTAGCTCAGGGAACTGTCAGGGCAGAACTTCCGGGCAGAAGCCTAGGGCCCCATTCAGCAGACTGAACAGCAGGGTCCCTGAAGGCAGTATTGGGTCATTTTGGAATAACGTCTGGAAACGCACAGAGTTCAGCATTAAAAGATGGAGGCAGGCTTCAGATTGTCCAGAGTCTAGGAATCATCTAACTGAGACTGACATCCACCCTTCGGGGGGAAGCCTGAAAGGGGGGAAGCCTGAAAGGATGGGTGAAGTCCAACCTCCGTGTGTTTAAATGTGGTGGCTGCTCCTCAGCCGAAGTCCAACAATGTTGGCTTGCTTTGTGAAGAAACCTGTTGGAAAGGCGGAGGGGGCGCGCGCGGGGGGGGGGGGCGCTTCCTGAAATCCAGCCTCTGCACAATCGGGGAGAATTGATAAAGTGTTCCTGAACCCTCCCAGCTGAAAGGAAATAAATGTCTTGGGAAGACGTTAGGCGAGACCACTCTGGTTTAAGGGCGTTATTCATTAGGTGCCTAAGCGGGTGCTTAATTTAAGCAAGAGCGTCTCTAGCATTCACAGCGAAGAACGCCATCTTAAGCACACTCACTTTGGAAGGAAAGTTTCCTAAGGAGGGGTTGACCTCTAGCCAAGAAATCATCTGTCGGGCGTCTGAATTAAGCGCCTCATTGAGGCCTGCTGAACAGCAGGACCTTGGTCCTGTTTCTATTTCGGGTGCGGCCGGAAAAAAATTAAAGCCAACCTACTGCGTTGCGACTTCTAAGACATACCTTGTTTTATTAAAGATTTTCTCTCCTTATTTATCTTCCTTCCTTCCTAGCTCAGAGAAACGCCTCCATTCCTCCCAAAAATACCACTTTTAAATCCACTCCTCCTGGTCATTGTGGCTACTCCCTTCAGGGGTCCTTCACGCGGCAGCCCCCAAACGGCCTTGTCAGTAGAATCCACAATTTACAATTTAGTCGGAGCTTGCCCATTTAAAGCAGCCCCTCTCCGCCCCCGCTTTTAATGGCCAGTTTTCTCCATTCACTTGGAAAGCGCTTGGCAGCTACACTGAAGGGCGGCAAGGGGAGTCGTGGGGGTGGGGGTGGGGGTGGGAGGTGGGAGGTGAGCTCTCTCCGGAGAGCCCCGGAGAGCTCCTTTCGAGAAACGACTCCTCTGAGTCCCCGCCATCTGGTGTGGAGGAGCCTGGAAGACGCTGCAGGTTCGGGGGGCACCGTCCGCGTTGAGGTTGGCACCGTTTGAGTAAGAAAGTCCTCCCCTCTTCTCCTCCCCACCCGCCCCCTTCCACCCAACGTGGAGAGTTATCAGTCGGATTCTGTGGGGTCAAACTATTGAAGCCGTCGGACAGTAAATCAAAAGCATTTCGTAGACACCCGGAGGTGAGGGGAGGAGGTTTTGGGAGACAGTGACTCGTCTGAAGGGCATGAGCCGAGGGGGAAATCCTTTAAGCAGGCCAAATGCATTGCATTTCTCTCCTCCGTTTCTCTTTACTTTTTCATTCCGTTTCTTCTTTTTATTGCCTGATTGGTGTTAATTCAGCCAGGTGAAAGGATACGGTGTGATTAGGCTAGTAGCAGTGAGCACCGAGAAGGAAGGCGTCGGTGGTTTCTGCAAAGGCAGGCTCCCTCCAAATTTAGCTGGAAAGGGAGATTTCCAAAGGAAACTTTCCTCGCCAGTTCGAGGAGGAGAGCTTAAATCGGATTGATTAGCTGTGGGAAAGCAGATAGACGATCCGGAGGAGCGTGAAAGGGCTTGCCTGCGACAGCGCCTGGTACTTCGGGAAGTAAACCCGATTCACTTTAGCGGAACTTAATTCGGTTTTAAGGGGCAGGCTGTGAAGACACGCCGGGCTTTCCAAATGCTAATGAGGGCTAAAATTAAGACGGAGCCGCTCTCCGCTCAATCCCCATAGGTCAAATAAATTTTACCAGGGCTACTCTGGAGTAAAGGTTAGTGGCACCCGTTTACTCCAGAGTAGTCCAATCCGCGTCCACGGAATTGCTAAGGAGTCGGTCGACCTTATTTTGGACATTGTAACGAATCGATCTGCGGAAATGATCGATGGTGCAAAATCAAAGTTCCCTGATGCTGGAGGTCAGTTTTGTTTTAAATCAAGGGAAACTACTCCAATACCAAGTAAAGCTGCTCAGGAACGGAGTGGAAATATAACCGGGGCCCCGTACATCGGCCTGGGTTCAAACGCCTCGGCTCAACTGGTTTGGGGCTCAGGGTGTATCATTGAAAATCTTCCCTCAGGGGGCGATCCACCTCCTGTTCAGTTCCATTGCAAAATTCCCATTTAATTCTATGACAAAATTCCCGCATGACACTCACGTGAAGATAGAATGATCAAACCATCCCTATCTGGAATAGCCAAACCACCCTATCTGGAATAGCCACTTCCCACCATGGAAAGGTATTCCCTCTTCCTCATCAAGAAAATGGTCACATAAAAAACACACAAAAAAAACTTAATAGGGCACGCCTAAAGGGGAGCACATACGAAATATCCACCTTTCCACCCCAAGAAGCACTCCCAAGAAAATATTGGAGTCGAGCGGGCGTGGACTTTAGAAGATGATGAAATCCATACTCTTTACAAGAAATAAACGAGAAAACAAATAATATCAGTGCATGCTGATTGTATATATCACAAAACAACAGAGGCATCTTCCCCTGCTCAAGAAGGAACTACCTTGCAGTACACGTTGGCAGATTCGTTTAATTGTAAGGAAGCCTTCGAGATCCATATTTTCTAGTAATGTGTATTTGTGCGTGAGTATATAGTATGTGCGTGTGCGTATCCTCTGTCTCTAATGCACCCTAAAATGTTTACCGAACAATCCTAATGGTTTGAGCTGTTGCTAGACATTTTTTAATATATATAAAATGGTAAACAATTTGGATGAGTAGAGTGAACTGAGTTCAGTTGCTTAAAACGATCAAGTTATTGAGTATATAAAAGTAGGAAAAGGAGGGAGGGAGGAATCTAAAAGCCGTTATCCCAATAAGTATGCCAGTCCTGTATCTATATAACGTATTTATTAAAAAGTTGAGATGAGATATTTTCAAGAAATCAAAACAGTCGTTAGTACAACCAAATATTATAAAGTCTTTGTACTACAGCTTGAATTTATGACCGTAACAGATATTGAAATTCACTCCTCAGTATTTTAGCATACAGTTTTATGACCTTATAACTAGTTTTGGTGTTACTATGTGTTTTGCATTCTCATTATAATTATTAGCCGAACAGTCATGAAATCACCAATCACTTCTAAAAAATACATTTGGGAAGGGAAAAATAACTTTCGATTCCCCAGTAACTAAATTATTTTAATCACTTCGGTGAATAGATTTCCCCAAAGAAAGAAACGGCGCATTAACTCAGAGGCGAGCAGAACGGCCCCCTTTCCCCATCCCAGCATTTGCGTCAAAACAGGGCTCAGAAGTGCCCAGATTTCTAAGTTTTAAAGTTTCCCCTTTTCCTCACGAATCCAGAAACTCCTCGACACCCAAAAACAGATACTCTCTCCGATGCGAAGAAAACTTATTGGGAACAAAGTTCCCTTTGGTTTCCTTCCAGGAAATCTATTTAGGGCGGTGCGTTACTTGTACGCGGTTCACACACGTGAAAGTTGTTTCCACCGTAAGCGCCGCGTCAGATCCTAGCCTAAAGCATCCCTGCCCTATACGCCTCAGCTTGGGGTGTGGGTCCGTCCCATCCATTTCCATGGCATCGACTTCCGAGCGCGCTTGGGACTGCAGCGTTAAGGCGGCGGCTATCTGTAACTTGGCGCCGGAGAAGTCGAGGGGGAAACGGAGGGGCTGATGGTGGGGGGGGAGTTGCTGCAATTATATTGGCGTGGAGAAGCTCACCTCTTGCCGAGCGGCAAAGTATAATCACCGCGCAGGCTTCGACTTGAAGGCTGGGAAGTCTCCTCTGTGGGCACCTACTTTTCTGCTAAGCGCTTTCTTGCCTCCTCAACGAGAGGCTCCCAATTGAAGGGAAATGATCCTTAGGCACTAATATCGAGCCAGTGACAAAGCGACCGGCCATTTACGCCGCCACTTTAGACAAAGATATTTAGTTATCCCCGGGTAGCTGCAAGTGCACTTTCGCCTTTATTTATTTATTTGTTTTAAAAGCACAACCCCAGCCGAGAGATGCCAACATATTTACCAGGGGCAATTACTTAACTGTTAGGACCTAACTGTTATTTGAGACTCTATTATTATTATTATTATTATTATTTAAAAAACAAAAAACAAAAACCCTACCAGGTTAATCGCCCCCCTCCCTTGCCTTGCTATTTCCTTCAGCTTGAAAGAATCGCTTTATTAAATTAGGTGCCAACGCTCTAGGCCTGGGTGAGGAAGGGGCTGAGTTTCCCCTCCCCACTTTGCGTTATTTTCCTTTTCTTCTTTGCCCGCCCACCGCCTTTCGCCTTCCCTTCTAACGATGGGATTCTTCCCTCCCTTCCCTGCGGAACTTGCGCGTGTTAAATATCGCTTGGAGCAAGGGCGCGCGCCCCTGGATCCACGAGCCGCCTAAGCAGACCTCTTTGGAACGGAGCCATTATGAAGAGGCAGATCTGACACACCCACGCATGCCCATTAAAATCAACCGGGGAAATCCTCCACCCGCTTGAGCAGGGCGTGGGATCGTGCCCCTCGAGGTTCCCTTCCCTCTTCCCCCCCAGCAGCGCGCCTTAACCGGCTTGTGGATCGTGGTGGAGCCGCCTTCAAGCCTCCGTCCCCCAGGCAGCTCTCGATTTCTCTTGACACCGAGGTGGCCGCAATTAGGCTGAGCGGAATATTAGGAAATGAAAGACACAATTCTCCACTGGCAGGGTGATGACCTAACAGGTCTTTTCCATCCCTGGCGCCTCTGATTCATAAATAACCCGAGAAGCTGCTTTTAAGCTTTAGACGTGGCCCGGAGGAGTGCGTGACACGGTTCCTATTGGAAAATAACAAACGGGCTCTTAGCTTTAATGTGTTTTCCAGCAGCCCATCATCCTTATACAATTGCTTTACACACATTTCTATCCCCCCACCCACCCCGCGCAACATCCCCCACCCCCACCCCAAAGTTCCAGCTTCCATCTGCCTGCGGAGTAACGAGCTAGACAAAACGATCAGATGATTGCATGTACAGAGAACATATATTTGGCGAGGCGCGGGCGGCGCGGGCGGGGAGGGGATGCGCTCGGAGCCTCGGACAGATAAGCTTCCTATAGGCTCTATAGCTTATGCCTCCTAAGCAGCGCTGATAAGGCACAAGTAGTTTGCTCTAGACAACCCTCCGCGCCTCTCTCGAGGCTCCGTCCAATGTCTGGCCAGAGAGCGGATTCCTGCCAACTTGGCGATGTAGGAACGCTCCATCCCGGTGCTATTTCACACAGAGACTGTTCTTTTCTTCCTCGGGTGCTTACGAAGGGGAGGCGGGGGCGGGTGATGGTGGTGCTTGGTGGTGGCTAAATCCAGTCCTTCAGTCCTGACCTTCCTCGTTCAGACTGAGGTAGGAGGAGGAGGAGGAAGAGGAGGAGGTGTGGGGGGTGGATGGGGGGAGCGTGTGGGGCGGTGGGTAGTTGGGTGGTAGTGGGTAAAGAGGGCTTAGGATCCGAACGGGCTTCCTTTTTGTGAAACTCGCCCACGGGCGGGGCGGGGGAAGGAATAAAGCTCCCCCCCCCCCCAGCGCGCCTCTCCCAATCCTCCTTTCTCCATATTGGAACCTCTTTAGAGCCCCATCTCCAGCCTTAGGGTTCGATTCGCACCCCTCCCGAACAATAAATCCATAAACCGATTGATTCGGGGGAGGGGAGAAGGCAGGACTTTCCCTTTCAACCGTTGCATTTTTAATTTTTTTAAGGCTTATGATATATACAAATATATATATATATTTTAAAAAATAAAGGCTGAGTGGGCAGGTGGTTCGGGTGGGAAAGCCTGAGAAGTAAAGGAGGGGGGGAAACTTAAAAGGTGTTTACCTTGTCATCAGCATGTACGCTAATTATCTCGGGCAAGATGTGGGGTTCTATTGTCTTGTTGCTTTAGTGCCTATGCCCCGCCTCTGGTGGCAGCCTAAAACCTGGCGTCTGGCTAAAACAAACGAAAGGCAGCTCTGAGCCTCCACTCAATCCAATTAAGGCGGACTTGGTCCACTCGGTTACGTGTTCATCCAACAAGATCGGCGTGGAGGCAACACACCAGAATATTTGGCAAAAAAAAAAAAAAAAAAAAAAAGGGAGAGAGAGTGAGTGAGAGAGAGAGTGTGTGAGAGAGAGTTTTGCCTCCCCTTTCCCTTTTTTTCCCTCCTCTCCCCCCAGCCGCCGAATCATGTCGATGAGCCCAAAGCATACGACTCCTTTCTCAGTGTCTGACATCTTGAGCCCCTTGGAGGAAAGCTACAAGAAAGTGGCCATGGAGGGGAGTAACTTGGGCGCTCCTCTGGCAGCTTACAGGCAGTCGCAGGTGGCGCAGCCGGCCATGCAGCAGCACCCCATGGGCCACAACGGGACGGTCACCGCTGCCTACCACATGACAGCCGCCGGGGTCCCTCAGCTCTCGCACACCGCCATGGGGGGCTACTGCAATGGCAACATGGGAGACCTTCCACCTTACCAGGACACCATGAGGAACAGCGCTTCCGCCACCGGCTGGTACGGGGCGAATCCGGACCCCCGCTTCTCCACAAGTAAGTGCTCCGAGCTTTCCCCCCTTCTCCTTCTCTCTCCACCTTTCCCCGTGGCGCGGTCCCAGGCAGACGGGGGAGTGTGGGGCAGCAGTTGGAGCGGGGATGCGCGCGAGGGGGAGCATTTGGCATGAAGCTGGTCTGGATGTTGCTCCCCCCGCCCACTCCCCCAATTTTTGTGTATTAATAATAACAACAACAAAAATTGCGACCGGTTTCTGACCTTGTCCTGGACTCCTGGGCTCTGGTCTGCTCCTGGCTTTGGCTGGAGGGAGTCAGGGGCATCTCTTGCGCCTTATGATTAATCTCAGCGGCTAAGCGCATTCACAAAGAGAGGAGAAGCGTTTTATTGGACAAATGTGGGTGGCTGAGACCAGGAAGGGACTTACGAATAAAGAATAATGCGCGCCCAGAAGAAAAGAAAACGTGTGGGGGAGCGCGCTTGGATATAGGAAATAATAAAATGTTTGGACGCCAAACAAATTGTTCAAATAAAACCCTAAGGCGAGAGTCCGTGAAGACGATGAGGTTCCAGTGGCCCTTTAAAGTGTAAATAAAAATTGAACAGGTGCGAAATGAATTGGATCTGCTTTAGAACTACGAAGGCAGGCTCTGGACTACGTCTAAGGGAATTAATAAACGGAGAGAAATAGATAACCTATAAAGGATATGAAAAGGGAGGGGAAGTAACGTTTATTATTTTTTGACAGGCTATTATTTATTTTTTTGACAAATTACAAGGCGTAAACAGCGTTGCAAAAGTGGAGTATATGGTTCTTAGATTATCCTTTCTTAATGTATGCAGGAATATATGTGTGAGGTAGTTAGACAGATAGATAGACAGATACCTATGAAAACGCTGGAGTGTACACCCCAGCAAAATGTCCCTTTTTCTAAATTTGAATTCTCCTCGCTGGCCGTTTCTAGTCACTTCTCCACGAGAATATTTTTTTGTTCTTGTTTTAGGCCGGGGGGGGTTTACAGGGTGGAGGTCGTACTCTACAAAGCCACCAGATACCTTATCCGTTTCAAATCCGATTTAGAAACGGATTTCTGCCGATTTTTCAGCATCTTGCGCGTTGACATTTTCACCGGTATCGATGTAAACTGGTATTAGTGTTGTGGGGATTTGACCAGATATTATTGTTTAGTATTTATTATTGTTGTTATTATTATTATCATCATGTCTAGGGACATGTCAACCATGGCCTTTTCCCCCCTTTGTGGATCTGGATCCCGATAACCGGCTTCGGCCTCCCGGCGCGCGGGCCGAGCCCGCTACCCGCGGGTCTGCCGAAGTCTCTCCTCCTGGGCTTTGCGCTTGGTTCCGCTGATTAACGCTCCTTTCCCCGCTGTTTCTCCCTCCCTCCTTCCCTCCCTCCCACAGTCTCCCGCTTCATGGGCCCATCGTCGGGGATGAACATGGGTGGCATGGGCAGCCTGAGCTCTCTGGGCGACGTGAGCAAGAGCATGGCCCCGCTGCAGAGCACGCCCCGTCGGAAGCGCCGCGTGCTCTTCTCGCAGGCGCAGGTGTACGAGCTGGAGAGGCGCTTCAAGCAGCAGAAGTACCTGTCGGCGCCCGAGCGGGAGCACCTGGCCAGCATGATCCACCTGACGCCCACGCAGGTCAAGATCTGGTTCCAGAACCACCGCTACAAGATGAAGCGGCAGGCCAAGGACAAGGCGGCGCAGCAGCAGATGCAGCAGGACGGCGCCTCTTGCCAGCAGCAGCAGCAGCAACAGCAGCACTCGCCCCGACGGGTGGCCGTCCCGGTCCTGGTCAAGGACGGCAAGCCCTGTCAGGCGGGCTCCAACACGCCCACGGCAGCGGCGGCGCTCCAGGGCCACCACCAGCAGCAGGCTGCCGCCACCGCCATCACCGTGGCCTCCAACGGCGCCAGCCTGGGACAGCACCAGAGCCACCAAGCCAGCAGCGCCGGCCAGTCGCCAGACTTGGGCCAGCACGCGGGAAGCAGCCCCTCGTCCCTCCAGAGCCAGGTGTCGGCTCTGTCCCACCTGAACTCGTCCAGCTCGGACTATGGGACGGCCATGTCTTGCTCCACCTTGCTATATGGGAGGACCTGGTGAAAGGGGCCGCCCCGACGGGGCCCACCACCTCGTCCTTGTCCGACGGGCTGACCCCTTCCTTTTCTTTTTCACACGCACACACACACGCACACAGAAACACACACAAATACACGCACCCTCCTCCTCCTCCCTTCTTCCCCTTTTTTCTGCTTTTGTTTTGTTTTTGTTTTTAAAAAGAAAATATCAGAACTGTGGGGTGGGGTGTTGTGTCCTTGGGACAGACGAGAGGACCAGAAGCAGACTTCTTAAGTTGTGAAATGGCTGCCGTGTTGCTGAAGGCCCCGGAGCGTTTTTCTGGAGGAGTTTGGTGGCCCCTGAGACCCACGATGGACCGTGTGCCCGCAGCGTGAGGTGGATCTCCAGTGGACGCTTGTATGTACAGATAAGAAAAACAAAAAAAACAAAACAAAAAAAACCTCGGGGCGAAGGGTGGGTGTTTTCTCCCCTCCCTCACCGCCCCAAAAAACTTTAGCGTCCCCCCCTCCTCCCCCACAAACACACACTCTTCAAAAACAATGCACAGACGGAGAACCTTCGCTGGCCTTCAGCCCAGACGGTGGATGGAAACGCGGGTGCTATCACGGCTTAGCTTCCCCCTCCCCCTTATGTTCGATGTGAACCTGTAGCTGTATAATGCTGTCAAAAACGTTGGACTAAACCCATAGTTTTTAGTATCCTGACTATTTTGTTGATTAAAAGGAATATATCAAGCAACGATCTACCAAACAAATCAAAACTTTAAAAAAATAAAATAAAATAAAATAAAATAAAATAGGAAAACCCACTTTTTTTAAAAAAAATGGAAGTCCACAGATCGGTGAAATTATTTGGCGCACGTTTATCTTTCTTTCTCTCTCTCCGCCCCTTGTAACTTATGTAGATATATTTGGCTTTAAATATACTTCCTGAGGAGCTTCTAATAAATTATAAAGATCACTTATCTTTCTTATTGCCCTTTGCTATTTCCCCAACCTTCCTATCACCTCCAAAAAGAAAAAGAAAAAGAAAAAAATGCAATTCGGGAGCCGAATTTGAGCAATGTAAGCTTCCTTCCCAAGGCCCGTAGAATTCAACGGGGAAAGCGGCCCAGGAAGGACGATCGGGTCCACGTTTCGGGGAAACTGATCAGCACATACAGATATAGGATCGATTCGTATGTTATATTCCCGATTAACTAGAGAATACGAGGACAGGGAGTCCTGCCCGAGATAAGTAGCAAGGCACGGAGACAAGGAAATCCAAGTGGCGTCATTCGCAGAGGAAAGACAATATTTGCAGACCCACTAATCGAAATCCCAAAAGGGTGCTTTTAAGACGCTGTTAATGCAGGGAAAGGAAGCTAACGAGGAGCGTACTAACAGGGTTGGGGGGTGGATATCAAGTCTTTGTAAAGAGCGTCCAGATTTATTAACTTGTAAAAACACCATTTCTACAAAGGTTTCCTATGTAATTGTATTTTAAGGAAAGTACAGTCATCTTATTTATAATCAAAATAAAACGATAGTTTATTGTGCACGAGGTGTATCGTGTAAATTGAATTAACCTTGAAGCGCGCGCGCACACACAAAGTGTATTGGGGAGGTCTGAGATATATATGTGTGTGTCTATACGTATATGCATATATATATATATTGCCCTCCCTTTCCGATTTTCAACATTTGTTCGACATATTGGGAGAGGGCACAATATTCAGGCCAGGTAGATTTGTCGATGGCTGTTAACTGAGAATAGTTGTATAACTTTCCCGTTGTTTTAAGCCGGTAGAAGAAGTCACGACGTCACGAGCCAAGAAACAGGCGGCGCTCAGAAAAGGAGCTTCCAGGGAGGGGGCGGGAGAGCAAAACGAAAAGGCTTTACATCCAAGTAAAGCGGCTTTCTGCCGATCGGACATCAGAGAGTTGTAGGCAGGGGAGAGACAAACCAAAACCCAAAGCACCCTGCGAGGCAGAGCCTACGTGAAGCTCTCGGCTGATCAGTCGGTCTACGGGCATCTCTGGATAATGATCAGCAAAAGAGTTTAATCATTCTCTGCTTAGGAGCCCTGGCCGGATACGTAATCCTACCTTGGCTTGATATATCCAATATATTTATATCTGCAAGGGTGAAGGGCGCAGGAACCCAGAGACAGAGAAAAGGGAATGATGGGATGAGAATTGTGCAGGCAGAAAGGGCTTCAACCACCGCGCAAACGAAACGGCTAAACAGCCGAAGCAGAGAATCCACTCCCCTCTAGGGCTGGTGGCGAGGGTAGGGTGGGGCTGGGGGCTGGGATCGAGGCTCGGTTCTTGATATAACGATAGGTGCACCTATATGCGTCTCCAACTCTTCGTCACATGTGTCAGCAGAGAGATATTAAATATTCGGTGCAATATGTAAAATGTAGACCTCTTGTTTACAGAGGGAGAGCGAGAAAGTGAGAGACTTTGGTCAAGTGCGGTAGAAACATTTCCAGCTGTTCCTCCCCCCCCCTTCTAAATCAGGTCTCTCTCTCTCTCTATCCCCCACCCCCAGTCGCCTTTTATACCTCTGCGCTAAAATTAGCATCCGCGGAGCCCAAAACGGAGTACTCGAGGCTGTCATTTCAAACGCCAGTGTGTCTTTTTTGTGATTCTTTTTTTCCCCCTTCCTAAATGAAAAAGCTTCAAATAACTGCGCTGAGGGTCTTGGCAAAGGGAAATCAGCAGCGAGAAGCTCGCCAATAATAAATCTCTCGGTTTGGAGACACATCCAGTAGAGTTCAGCTCTTGGAATTAAAAAACAAAACAAAAACTTATTTAAATAACGTGTCCACAATTCACAACTCTCTTTAACTGTGTTAAGGGATCTCCAAATTTTATAGTTGTTTTTTCTCTCTCCTTTTTTCTTTCCTGAAGTAAATGAATTGTTGACTGAGACTGACAGGGGAAGGGAGGCGGTTATAAAACAGCATTCCTGAAGGTACTTTAGTAGTCTCTTGTCTCGCCCCCCCATCTCGCCCCCACCTCCGCAGCCCTGAAGTTAGGCCTTAGAAGAAAAAACATGGAAACGTGTTTGTCCCGAAGAGCCTCGGGAAAATAAATGGATAGAGTTTATCTGGACGAGCTAATAAACACATATTTGGTGGTGGGAGTAATGACTGTAATGGATGATTATGTACACTGACTTATCTTACTGCGACTAGATTTAGTTTCGATTAAATAAACTGGCTTCCACTTTGTCTGATGTCGGCTTAGTTTAAAGTCTGTTTGCTTGTTCCACAGAAAAGGTGAATTCGTCTCTTTATAGACCTCTAGAGTCCAAGCAAACACAATTCAAACTGTATTTACATATCAGTCAGCAGAAATGCAAACAAAACGGCTCTAGCAAAATTATAGTTCTTTCTCTCGCTTTTCCTTTTTTTAAAGAAATGACGTAATAGCATTGAGGTTTAATCATAGAAAAAGACTCCCCCCCCATACTTCTGTTTGAACTGATGCAAGCCATTATGGTTTCGTTTGTTGGTTTATTTTAAAAATATTTTTTAATCGAAATTTCCCTCCAAACATATTTTGAGAATTTGGACTAGCCCTGCAATAAGCATAATTTCGTTTAAGGCGAAGTTGCAGCTGCGTTTGATTTGGAAGTGGACCATCCTTGATTTCAGGGAAATTCGTTTGTAAAACGAGTGTGCTTAATACTGCGTCCATAGGCTAAAATGGGCAAATTTGTATTACACCAGGGGTGGGGGTGGGGAATCACCCTGGCCTTGTAAGATTGGTGTTGCCTGTTGTGCTAAGTGACTGGGAGTAGAAAAGGAAAGGAAAGTGATTAAAAGTGGAACGATGGAGGAGAAAAACGAGCTTTTGGTGTGCATGGAAGTTCTATCCTTGTCCACATGAAAAAAATGATGAGAGGCCTGTGGACTTTATCAACAACCACAACAAGCGCAACGGGTAATGGGATCTAATGGAGGCTGACCATTTTGTTCCCATCTCTTCGCCTGGACTATGTTATGCGGATACTGGAGAGAGCATTCCCTCGCCTTATATCTATGGGATGTTTAATCAAATGGTGCAAAATGTAGCTAGAGTAGGACAAGGGGTTAGAATATATTATTCTATCCCCTTGTCCCACTCTAGCCACTGTTTGCACCATTGGACCATAAACACCCCATAGATAAAAGGGGAGGAATTGTATATAATGGCTCAGAGCTTCTTCATATTTGAGGATCAATATCAAGCCACCTTCTCTCTCCCAAGGTCTTCTTTGGTCTCAGAACCAGGTTTTGAGGTTTCCACGGATTGCTTGTTAAAGGGAGAAAATGTCACCCAACTCGCCCATTGGAAAAGATGGCCAGTTCCCTTCCCCCACCCCCTGAGTATGGTCTAGGAATCCTGCCACAATATCAGTTCTTATGAAGGCACAAATGTTGCATGGAAATGCAGCTGGAAAATGAAGCAAAGCCCCAGAGAAAGCATCTGTCTGTAGATATATATATATATACTGTATATGATCAGTCAGGCCAGCAGGTACACAAGGGCCTAGCTGGAGAACCAGCTCTTGTCGAGTCGCTGAGGGCTGCTTGGACAAAAGAGGACTTGGAGGTAAACACTGAGTGGCTCGTGAAGATGATCAATCCTTGTATGGTAAACTAGTTGGAGCAAAGTTGACAGCATCTTTCTTATCTGCCCAGTTGGTCTGCTGATGACTGGGGGGGGCGTGGGGGGAAGAGGGGAGGTCACAGTAAATGGAAATATGATGTCTGTGCTATCAAACGGTTCTGGAAAGTAGAAATACTCTCGTCTATGGCAATTTGGTGATTAACGCGAAATGGCTTACGTTTGTTTCCCCACCACAGGCATAGAAGAGATCAGGTAAGGTCAACTCTCTCTCTTTCTCTCTCGAACGTTTTATGTCCATTCCTCCTCTTCTCGGAAGCGGTGGCCAGGAGGAGATAAAGAAGGCAGGGGGCTTGATCAGTCGATGCTGGGACCCCGATCTTCGACGCACTTAACCACGAGGAAAGCTTTCAGTGGGACTGACTTCCTCGTAAGTGTGTCTCGGATAGGTATACTTATTTGGAGGCGAATTTGGCAGATGAGAGGGGGCTTCTTTCCACGTTCCTTTAGGGCGCTGAGTGTCAAGCTAACATAGCATTTGTGCTGGAAGAAAACAGCTAGGTGTGTATGCTTCGGATTTTTTTTGCAGCCGGGAAACGTTTGTCTGTCTATCAGCTTTGCTTGGAAGGCTTGTTAAAGAGATAACTATTTTCTAGAAAGGACGGTGTCCGCAGTTTCTGGGCGCGCCTGAAGGGACCTAATCCTAATGGAAGGAAATTTGGCTTCATCAGCCTAAGGTGCAATGAGCTACATTTTCTACCTTAGCACACACACACACACACACACACACACACACCAGAAGTCATGGTTTTAGTTGGATCCCTTCCTCCAACCAGACTTTCCTGATTGTCGACACTTTTATCTGGGAAGTAAGTTTCATGATGTCTGTGAGGCCTGTTTCTAAGGAGTTATGTGGGTCCTTTCCATGTTTCCGCTTTCGGGGTGCTAGCTAGGTTTAAAATTTGTTCACTTGGCTCTCCCCGTGGTCAAACGAGCTGCTCTCTTTTGCTGTCGCTATCCCGGGGGGAGGGCTCAGATCCGTCGTTTTCTTGAGATCTAACGCTTTGTGAGGCCGCTTGGTTTCCCTTTGGTAACGTCACCAGGAAGGTCTTTCCATTTGGATAATTTTCTTCTGTCTGTAAACGTTTCGAGCTCTCTAGGCTAGCCCAGAATTTTGCTGAGTCGGGATGTCGGAGGGTCACCCTTCTTTGTGTGAAGACGTGTCTTTGAAACCATAATGAAAGGATTCAGAAGTACGGACACCTTGATGGGACCTGTGGAAGCTGGGAGGCGTCGCGGGGGGACGGTGGCTGGGATGGTGGGGCTGTAACACCTCAGAGGAGTAACTGAGGTCTGAGACCTTCTGTAATTGTTAGCGACCTGCTAACCGGCTTACTCCAAGACTCTTCCTAATCCGAGCTTTGGATCGGATTTCTGCTTTTGTTTGTTAGCTAGAAGACACCCCCATCCTTATTTTTGGCCTTTCCCTTTGAATGGGGCAGTACTGTTGCGAGTATAAGAATGGTTAAAGAGACAGGGACAACTCCTAACCCACTCCCCACCCAACAACTCAAGTTAAACAACCCAAGCCGCTTTTGTAGCTTTCTCTGTCGGCCGCCTGTTTTTAGTTTTTTTTTCCTGAATGAGGATGATGAAAAATTATTTTCCCATGGGGGTGGGTGGATATGGAGTTCACTATTAGTGCTGAGATCCGTTTCCCTTACAAGTGGATGGGCAATTTTGCAATACTTGGGCACGATCCAGCCACAATCAGGCAGCAATCCTGTACCTACTTTCCTGGCAGTAAAGGACACTGAACTCGATGGGAATTCCTTCTCGGTAGACGCGGATAGGATTATTTTCTTTGGATTTGCACTGAAATCTGTAGGTGGATCCAAAACTTGTTACCCGAGAGGGAAGGTCCTCTGGCTTCAGTGCGATTCCTTAGTAAGTATGTGTAGTTTGGCAACCTCAAAAGTAGTCAACATTGCCCCGATGGTGTCTTCAACGCGGACCAAATGCAGCTGCGTGGATCTGGTTTCCAACAGTTCTTCGTTTACTGTTTCTGTATGTTGATTTCGAGGTTACTAGTGGATGAGAAAACTTCTCACCCGCCCACTCCATAGCAGCTTAGGCCACCAGTCTCTAGGAAAGACGTGAAACTGATTTTAAGGAAATTTAGTTGCATTTCTCAAGCTGAATGAATGACTGCAGAATTTCTGAAGTGGTTTGGGGTAAAGAAAGCCAAGCGAAAAGACGTCGAAACCTTCCGCACCTTTGAAAGCATAACCCTCATCATAGTAAAATAAGGCCCTAATTCGACTTTCGGGTAGAGTCTGGTAGTTTCACAGTACTTCGGTCGAAACAGAAAGCTGTTCAGAATAATCAGAGTTACTCATTTCATGGAATTTTCAAACTAGTACCAGAAGCGCCTAGCATTTCCGCCGTAAGCGCTTCGGGTGCATAGAGTTTCAGACAGATCTCTCTCTCTCTGTCCCTCCATCTTTCTCCCAGCTTTAAGAAAAGGGTTTGGAACTTTGGAACCATATTGGTCAATTTCTTGTTGCGATGACTGGCGTGTTTTGGGAAGGACTACTCAGGTGCAGCTTAAATGCAGAGGTATCACTGAAATCGAAAGAAAGTTTTCCTGTCTGCCTTCCCATATTATACCGATATTTATGTAATATAGTTATAAATATGAATTTTGGACGGGCGATAAAGCAAAGGGCTAGTTTAACCATTTGCCAAGCGATCTGGAGACTTCAATCTTATGCACACCGACTTGGGGGCCGAATTCCGTGGGTTCTACGTGGGCCCAGTGGGTTTCACTCGCCCACTAAAGTCAGTAAGACTTGGATTAATTTTGTCTGCATGGTGCCCGAAATCAGGTGTGTTAAACTCTGTCGAAGTTCCAGTGGTGAATAAGAAGTCGGAACCTCGCCTGGATAGAAAATATCTTGTTTCGATTTCAAACCGTGTAAAACAACAAGCTTCCTCATATGAAGGGAAGCTATGCAGCTGTAGGTTTTTAAGTGGTATTAGCTTTGGAATAGTCCATCGTAACTTTATTATAAACTTTCGCTCTTTCCCCCTTCCCAACTACAAACATGTAAAGAAGCACGCTTCTAAGGCTACAATACTACCTGGAATTAAACTCTACTGAATTCAGTGGGTCTTACTTCATAGGTTTGAATTGTTAAAAAACAAGATTATAAGCACCCAGAACAAAGTCTTAACAAAAAAACAAACTACTAATTCCATGTTCGGGTGAGAACTTTTGGTCCTTCGGCTACACAGCTTCTACTAATTATAAGAAAGAATAGTGTCTATCCTGTTAACAAAAAAGGGGGATTTTCTAGTAATATTTCCACTTATTAGAGAGTAAATATGGTCACAGCATGTTCAGGGTTTCATTTAGGGGCAAATAACAGATGGTATTACAGCTCACTTCCTTCACTCCGGTTGACAACCCATGTCGAGAAAAATATTTGACCCCCGCCCCGCCAAAATAATTTAGAAGGTGAGGGCTTCATTCTGCCCCTTCTAAATCAACGACGTTTTCCTACAGATTTCTAAGCAAGTAGGATTGCAGCTCTGTCGTCAGATTCCATGCATAAATCTACCTGTTTAGTGGTACTTCCTGGCAGCCCAGTGTGCAGGAGACTGCATGCTTTCAAATGTCCTTACACCCAAGGAATTTGGGTCAACGTTGAATGGGCTGTAAGGCTTAAAGGTGCGCATGCGCTTAGGTACAGGTCTCTTCAAGTGATGCTAACTAGTGGCAAACCATATACCATCACCGCGATATCTTAGTTTAAGAAAAAGTAATCAAACCCAGAATATGCTTATAAACAACCCCTACTACAGCCCCTATAAACAGAAATATCTTGCTTTAGTTAGGATTGGGGCGGTGCATTTAAGAATGCAGGTTTATGTTGGAAGTAAGTCCCACTGTTTTCAATGGTGCTTATTCCCAGGAAAATATAAAAGGGTGGTAGCTTGTAACTGCACTTCTATGCACAATAAGCTTAATTAAATACAGTGGATTTAGCTTTATGTACGCGTAGGATAACCTTGTACGCGTAGGATAACCTTGTAGGATAATCTTAATATAAAGCATTTAAGACGAAATCCTAGATTTGAATTCTACTATTTAGGTTTAACTGCATCGTTGGTCTGGGCGTAAAAGGACCACTTCCACTTATGTAATTCCATTGATGGCTATGGAACTACTCTTTACACGTTAGCCACTAACCCTTACCTACCCTGGTTTGTCTTAATTGATCTGAGAATGTAATAGTATACCCGTTTATTATAGTATTTCCGCAGGTTGTACAACCCTGAAAGTGAATCTGAACCCTGGAAGATAATTTCATTATACAACCACCCTTGAATAAATTAAGTGGGAGTACCTTATGTACCTTATATGCATATTTTAATCAGGTATACCACGGGTATGCATAATTACCGCCGTCTAATTGAATTTGACGCACCCAGCTATAGATGTGTGACATGTAAAAATATTTTGTCACTATATGGACATGAACTGCTTCCTGCAGATTCCAAATATTTTCATCGCTCCTCGTCATTCTGCGCTTGAAAGGGTCATCGTTTGGAGGAAAGAACCCCAACCCCTCCTCCCTCCCTCCCTCTCACTCACTCTCTCTCACACAGATCCCTCTGGTAAAAGTATTCATTAATATTCATAGTGTGGGCGATGGATCATTTATGCATCCTAACCGCGCCGCTACACACTTGTCCATTCTGAAGCGCACGAGTGGCACCGACCAATCAGAAGCTGAGAGAAAGCTGGACCAGAGTTCTAGCGGGGAGGAGGAGGAGGAGGAGGAGTGTGGACAAGATAAAGGAAGAAGGCAGGATGGACAAAAGCAGGAGGGGAAGGCAGGAGCGGGCATATGTCCGTCTTAAGTCCTACCAAACGGTTACATTTCTCACCCCTTGCCATTCAAAACTCATTTTCCAAGCTCCCCGCGCTTGGAGAGATACCAGCTGCTTTCTGAAGTTGCCAGGAGGCCGCCGCAAGTTCCCTGCAAGGGCTCCGGGGACACTTTCTGGGGAGCATTGCTGACGGGGGTGCCAACTTGAATAAAATATTATTTGGGGGGGCAGGTAAGCCGCGGCCCACATAATTGATCACAGGATGCGGCGCATGCACACCGTTTCAATGGCAATGCCCATCAACTTTGGGGGGGACCCTCCAATAGTTTATTGGGGGCCCGAAGGGACATAGGCCCCTAGGAGTTGATTTCTATGATTGCTGACCAGTCTGACTGGGGAGACGGTTGGCAACGCGCAAGGGAGTGTTGGCGCCCGCGAATCCTCACAGGCCAGACCACGCCAGCCACCTAGGTACACACCACACATTTAAAGCACATGACTTCCGCAAAAGAATCCCGGGAACTGTAGTTTGCTAAGGTTGTTGGGATTTGTAGTTTTGTGATGAGTAAGCTGTTGTTCCCAGCGGGAAATCGCGTGCTTTAAATGACTGGAGAAGTTTTCGCTGCTTGGAATTCCAAAGGCGCTGATCTGCAGTTTGTGGGGGAGAATCTCTTGCGTTTCGGAGCCTTTTGGTACTTTCATAATAAACTGTCTGGACAGGAAAGCAGGTCCATGCGCGTGACATTATTTTAGCCTCATCCCCGGACATTTACAATGGGGGGAGGGGGAGAATAGTAATGGCCTTGCAAGCCTGAGATAAATGTGGATGAAGCTCTCGGAAGATTCCCAAGAGTTTGAGGATGACGCCCCCTCTCCTGCAGACTCAAATCTTCCTTGAGGTTTATCCTGCTCTACCCTATCCCCACTTTATTTCCTCTTTTCTTACCCTCTTCCATTTATAGATGATAAGTTGTATGGGCAGGGAAGTAAGGATGTCACTGGTCAGCCCCTAGCAGCACCACGGTTTATCTTCCTCCTGCTCAATATTTGAGAGGCAGTTTTGGGGTGTGGTAGTCAACACACATTGCCTGTTCCTTGAGGTTAGGAGCTGGAAATGGCAGGTGCGCGCGGGGGAGAGATGGAGATGAAGGAAAGGCGAGACGGGAGAGTGTTTGTGTTTCCAAGGCGCCGCCCCCTCCCCAGGCTGCCGTAATTATCTTGCTGAAATATTCTCCAGTGGCCAAAAGTTGCAAAATAAATCGACCTCTCCGCGCTAGTTCCAGAGGTCTGTAGCCATCATCCTTTTTTCAATACATTTTAAACAAGAGGCTCTAGCGAGCGACTCCGATTCAATACACATAATCAGTTTGGAAGTCTTATTTCCATTTGAAAACAGGCCTATTTGCAATCATGAGAGCCGGACACGCTGAAAGATACAGAATAACGTGCCCGGGAGAGGGGAAGGTGGAGGGGGGGGGGGAGAGAGAGAGAGAGAGAGAGAGAGAGAGAGAGAGAGGAAGAACCGTCAGGCAAGCACTGAAGATTTTGTGCCCCCTCCCAATCCTTATTTATTTATTTAAAACACGAGGCTGTAGCCATGAGTCTTTTTATGCATTCCCTTGGAAAATATAACTTAATTGCTTTTTCCACCGCTACCCCAAACCAGGACCAAAGCAAAACAAGCTGTGTAATCCACAGCCAGGAATACCTCCCGTCTCCCCAAATGGTGATTGGGAAAGTATGTTGATTGTTCTGCTAGCCTCTTAGGGTTAACAGGCATTTAATCAAGGGAAAGTACAACACGGGGAAATGGTTTGGGGCAAAATGCTAACTTGGTTTGTAATAACGCGTTGTCCTTGAATACTGCGACTGAAAGGAAGTTTGCAAGGGGTGAGGAAGGACTGGGGTGTGTGGGAAATGATCGCCTTTGTGGCCGAAAAGCCATCTGCAGAACTAGTAGGTCGTCCTCCACCAGGATGCGATGTTAGAATAATAGAATCATGGAGCTGGAAGAGACCCTGAGGGTCATCTAGCCCAACCCCCTTGCAAAATGCAACAATATGCAGCTGTTCCATAAGGAGTTCGAGCCTGCGACCTTGGCGTCATCAGCACCACGCTCTAACCACCAGAGTTGTTCTTTCCCTTTTGCACCTTGAGCCTACAGAGATTTCCTTTAGCAAAGAAGTTCGGCTGAAATCAAGGGTGGAAAGGAGTATGTTTAGGAGGGTTTTGCTGGCTGAGTGTGCGTGAGAGATGGGGAGAGGGAAAACGGGAGTGCGCACACTCGCGAGTGCGTCGAGATGTGCGCTGGGTAACTCTCGGAGCTTGGTGTAGCGAAGATGACGCCAGAAAGGGCAGGATTCCTTGAATGGATATGATATGTCTGCCAAATGGTGCTTCACAAACTCATTCAGCCTAGAGGCGATACTGCAAGGCTTTATATGGGAAAGAGGGAAGGGGGATGGGTGGGAGAAAGAAAGAAAGAAAGAAAGAAAGAAAGAAAGAAAGAAAGAAAGAAAGAGAAAGGAAAAATGCTGCTGTCACCAGGTCACTTTTTGCTATCTTAAATAATTATGACCATGATAATAGCGAAAACGGGGGTGACACGTCAGACGGAAAGAGATATCTCTCATAACGGAGTCGATGGGACGATGTTGCTCAGACTGAAGTGGGAGGATCCGACTACTGTACCTGAGATCTTTTCTAACCGAGGCACTGAGAAGGACGGGCGCTGCGGGTGTGTGTGTGTCTTACCCATGCCAAACACTCCCACTGCAGGGCTCTAGCCTGCCCCCAGCTGTTCTCCTAAGCGCCAAGTAATATTGCACGACTGTAGCGATCAGATTTAAGACGCGCGTGACAGACTCCTCTTGCCACAGCTTTCCATTTGGGACAAGCAAGAGACCGTAGTCTCTTCAAGGCCCTGCCTGCTTCTGGGCCATCCCGCGAGGCACCGTCTTCGGAGCCACTTCCTTGGCTGTGTTGGTAGAAAGGAACCCCCCCTCCCGCTTTGCCAGTCAAGTGCCAGCAGCTAAGTGAAAGCTAAGAGGCCCACACCGCTCCTTAATAATCATTATGATCGCTGTTTATGAAGAAGAAGGTGGAAAGAAGTTGAGGACTGGCAAGACAAGAACCACGGCGACCTCGGGGTGGGGTGAGGGGTGGCCTTCCGCAGCCATTGAAAACAATGGGAGGTTCGCCGCTGGCTTGAACGGGTTGCGGTTTGCAGGTGCAAACGCTATCGCTGATTTCAGGCTTTTGAGAAGGCGCCTGTATTTTCAGGATGCCTGTCCCGCTTCCTCGCCACCTTCCCGGTTCATGTCAGTGCCAGATGAGAGGCCTTGACTCCAAAGGGAGCTGATGGCAGCTCTTTTACTAACCGCTTCCGGTTGCTTCCTCTTTATCTTTTGCTCGATGTTCCTAAATGGAAAGAAATCGGAGGCTCCCTGGATCCTCGTCCTCCCCACAAACTGAGAGTTGGGTTCTCGGATTCCGATTTTCCTACATAGCCTCCCAAATTAACGCCTGCTTTCTTTCCACTTATTTATTTGTTTATTTCTCTTTCTTTTTTTGGGGGGGGGGTGTATAAACCATTTAATCAAAAATCAGATCTGAGATCTTATGATGAAAGGCGGTATATAAATCTAATAAATAAAAATTATTATTATTATTATTATTTAAAAAGGAAAGCGCATCTCAAAGCTACGTTGTGGGTAAACTAATTTTCAATAAAACAGCACATCTTAAAAACGAATATGCACAGCTAAATTATCTTTCCTGCACGATCCAGCGAGGAAGCTGTTCTGGGAAGCCCCAATCGAAGGGACTATGAGGTGGCGCAACGACGCTTGGACAGCAGACTGTATGGGAAGGAGAAACCATCCTTTTCTTACAGCTGCTCAGTACAGTTTTTCTTTGGCCCGGAGCTGCTCTTCCAGGTCCCAAACCTGAGAAAATTTTCAACTGGAGATGCCAGGTTTTGAACCTGGGACCTTGGCTTCTGTATTGTTTGGAACCATAAGAACCAACTCCTAGGGACCGAGGTCCCTTCGGCCCTCAATAAAATATTTCCAAAAAGCTGAGGGGAATTCCCATTCAGATAGTGTGTGTGTGTGTGTGTGTGTGCGCGCGCGCGCGCGCCATGCCACGTGACTGTATATGTGGGGCGGGGCTTACCTGCCCCCCCCCTGTTTTATTCAAATTGTCACCCGTGGTTGGAACCATTGGTCTGAAATGTGTACTAGGCACATAATGAACCAGGAGTCTCCTGCCATAAAGAGTGTTTTAAGGAAGGAACATCCCATGAATGAAGTGATCGGTTTGTGGTTAGGACCATAGGAGCCAACTCCTAGAGGCTTCGGGGGCTTCGGCCCCACAAAAAAATATTTAAGGGGGATACACACACTCCAAGTTGATGGGCATTCCCATTCCAGTTGTGTGTGTGCACTGCGTCATGCGAAAAATTATTAGGGGCGGGGCTTACGTGGACCCGCCCCCACAATATTTTATTCAAGTTGACGCTTCTGATAAGGAGCGTCTGACACACGTATGTTGGAAGAATTTTAAAAACATAGAAAAGCTTTAGACTCGAACACTGATGCCTTTGTTTGAGTTTCTAAGGTGTTCTACGTCTAAGGTGCACCGTCAGAAGCCCATTCTTATCAATAAAATAAAAGACACTGAAATGAAACAAGGAGCTCATTTACCGAATAGCTCAGTTGGTTAGAGCATGGTGTTGATAATACCAATGTCGCATGTTTGATCCCCCTGTGGGACAGCTGCATAGTCCTGCATTGCACGGAGTTGGCATAGATGATCCTCAGGGTCCTTTCCAGCTTCTACGATTCTATACTTAATCTGAAGGATTGGCTCTGCTCTGCGAAATATGTCCCATCTGGGGCTCTGGCAATCCTCCAAAGGGTATGAAACTCAATGCAAGCCCTGCGTCAACTTTAGAGGGAAATAAGTACTGAACTCGATGCTGCTTACTTCTGAATACACACGTATAGGATTGTACGGTAGAAGCGCACTCCTGTAAAAAGGTAAAGGTAAAGGACCCCTGGACGGTCAAGTCCAGTCAAAGGCGACTATGGGGCGCGGCGCTCATCTCGCTTTCAGGCCGAGGGAGCTGGCGTTTGTTCACAGCTTTCCAGGTCATGTAGCCATCATGACTAAACCGCTTCTGGTGCAACATGCCTGCTCAAGAGTAGGCACAGAAGCCAATGGGACTTCTTCCTAGGCAAAGGTGCGGGAGAATGTAGCCTAAATTACCAGCGACAAAACATTTCCACAGGGAATCCCTCGAGTGGACAGCCCTGCTAAAATTCCTTTTTTAAATATCTGCAGTGAAACCGATTAACGTTTTGTATCCTAATTTGATGGCCGAGACAATTGCTGACCTGAACAACCACGCGAAGCCAACTATGCGCCTCTTTTAGACATTTGGTCAGTTCTCTAGCAGCTGGACCGGCATTCCAGTTAACTTGAACCTTGGATACTTTAAAACGGGTTTCCCAGTTAAGTTCAATAAAGGCTAAATTATCTTTAACCGAGGAACTTCGAATTAAGGTGGGATGGAACTCCTGGCCTTGCCGGGGCACCAATGGCAGGTGGGCAAGTGGGTGGGGATGACCCCATAGTCAAGCGCATGGTGTTAAGAGCCCCATAAGGACAGCACTCCGATGCTTCCCATACTCAGTCAGTTCCAGGGATGCTTGTCCACAGGAATATATTTTTTGGTTGCATTTAAATGGAACAAAATTCTGCTAGCACTTCTGGAAAGCTTCCCAAGCAAAAGTGCTCATGTGCACTTAAAGAAGAAACAACGCAAAACGAGACGACGTTGGCTTGACTTCCAGGTTCGATTGTTGTCAGCTCACTTTCTTAGATCTAGAAGTCCGATCTAGAAGTCCAAGCGAAACCCTTGTATGTTGCCCTGATGTGAATGGGAAAGATCTGACTCTCTTGCTGACTTTCCTAGGACTTCAACAGACGCTTTGCTTCAGCTGGACTGTGCCCCACTGGGATGCTGAAACCCACGAGATTTACTTCGAATTAAACACGTTAAGGAATCATAGAATCGTAGAATCATAAAATTGTAGATTTGTAAAGGACTCCGAGAGGCATCTAGTCTAATCCCTGTGACGCAGGTTTCCAGCCCACAGCCATTTCTGGATGGCCACGATGGGGTGTAAAATGCAACCACAGGAGCCAACTCCTAGGGGCCGAGGTCCCTTCGCTGCCTCCCAATGAAATATTTGAGGGGCCAGACCCTCAAAGTTGCTGAATATTGTCATTCAAATGGTGTGCGCGCGCCAAATCATGTGATCGATTATGGGGTGGGGGCTTGCCTGCTCCCTCATATGTTATCCAAGTGGGCACCCCTGAATGCAATGGAGCCAAAGGTGGGGATTATTTGTTGGTGCTACTCAGCGCAAGTGAATAAACTTCGGGATGCTCTCATATATTGCCTGGGAACTTGGTGTGTGAAAAAGAAGGCAGGGAGGCAGAGCATATATGTAGAACATCTGGTGGCTGCATCCCAGACAAAGGTTGGAAATGCTTGCGGGCTTCCCACAGGTTTCTGGTTACCCGCTGTGAGAACAAGAGGCTGGAGTATGCGGGCCACTGGCCGGATTCAGCAGGTTCTGATTATGTACCGATGCAAGCCGAAAACTCCGAGCTAAAGAGCAGGGCCTAAAGGCTACTGTCAGCATTCTCTGATCTCTGTCCAGGAAGTGGAGAACCGCCGTCGAAACTTATCGAACATCAGTCCTAGAGGTACGACTCAGTGACACCGGTTGGCTTGGTTCTTAGGTTAAGGAACCCGGTGGAAAAGTTGGGGGGACCACACACACACACACACAGTCTGATGTTCGTAGCTTCCCTGTCTTGCCTCTTCGGAAGAGTGGGAATGCTGCGATCTGCACCTCATCCAAGCCAATGCGAAACTTGCAGCCCTCGGCCGAGGTCTGGATCATACCAATTCTGGGGAAAGGACTGTAGCTCAGTAGTACTGAATGTGCCATAGGTGCAGAAGGTCCCAGGTTCAGTCCTCAGGATCTCCAGGTAGGGATGGGATTCGGGAAAGACCCTCGCCTGAACTCCTGAAGAAGAGGCTCTGCCAGTCAGTGTCGCTCTGCCAGTCAGTGTCAATGCCTATCCAAGGCAGCTGTCTACGCTCCCAATAATTTCTCCCGCCCTTCCTCCCCAGGACTTGGAGATGGACTGGGGCGTGCCTGCTGCCTGAGTGACAGCGCCCACTCATTTGCCAGTTGGCAGGGGCCGCAATCAGATCCTTTCCGAGACATTTAGAAATAAGGAAGCAAATAAGCTCATGAAATATACTCGGAATCCTGTAGTGATTTCATGCTCTTTATTGCAGCTTGTAAAACAGTGATTGAATTGCCCCCCAAACCTCAGGCTTTTATATACATTATTTACACAATGAGTCCCGTCTGATTGGCTGATTCTGCTTCCCTCCTGGAGCCTGATTGGTCTTTTCTTGCAGGCCAATCAGTTGTTGCATTCTGCGATCCTACCAGCATAATAGGCTGATTAACTTCTTCCTGGAGCCTGATTGGTCTTCTCCTGCAAGCCAATCAGTTGTTGCATTCTAGGATCCTACTTGCCTGTTGTTCTAGGATCGATGGTTAGTACATGACAGCTCTGTTAAAGGGACGCTTTTAATTTGGTATCGTTAAGATCCCCCACTGTCTTCTTCAAAGGGACAGAGGAGACGAGGCAGGTACGTCTCGGGAAATGAAAAAGATGCAAGCGCCTTGGGCTTCGCAGAGCAAATCCGAGAAGCACCCGAGGAGAGTATCTGGCAGATCAGGTCCTCCTCCTGCTGGTCAAATTTAGGCCCCTTAGATAGCCAGCAACCGGAGGTCAAGGGAGACTGGAGTGGGTATTGCCTCTGCATATTTCTGCTTCTGAATTCTCTGCCTTCCGTTTTGCTGTTAAGATTAATTCATTTTATCCATCGCTTGTTACATTGGGGGGGGGGAGTTTTAAAGCGATGGACTACTACTTAAAAATGCAAAGATGCCACAAAACAGCCGAAACCACATGGTATGTGCACCCACCAGCAACCAATAGCAGGGAAAGTATCCTTCGCTACCCAACTAAAAGAGGAACACTACAGTGGTACCTAGGGTTAAGAACTTAATTCGTTCCGGAGGTCCGTACTTAACCTGAAACTGTTCTTAACCTGAAGCACCACTTTAGCTAATGGGGCCTCCAGCTGCTGCCGCGCCGCCAGAGCACGATTTCTGTTCTTATCCTGAAGCAAAGTTCTTAACCTGAAGCACTATTTCTGGCTTAGTGGAGTGTGTAACCTGAAGCGTATGTAACCTGAAGCGTATATAACCCGAGGTACCACTGTATTATGTTTAGTTAGTAGATACACTTTTTACGGTGTTGAATTGAAATGGTGCGTTGATTGCTAGAGTTTAAAGGGACCGCTTGGTACGTTGCCCATCACCACGGTGGCATCCAAACAGTCCGTTCAGGACAAGGGCACCAAACTTTTGAAGACAACCCATAACCCATCACTGGGAAGATCGAAAACCGGCCGCTCGGAAGTCAGTTCCCTCGAGTTCGGGAGTTCCAAATCCAGAATAAGTTCTGAAGAGAAAAGGAGTCGAGCAGAGCTCTTCATCCAGATTCCCTTCCTTGGTGTCACAATGGAACCTGCAGCTAAACCATTTGTAGCCAACCGTTGCTCTCAAGGAAGGAGTCAAACCGGATTTGACCAGGGAGGGCCAGAACTCTTGACAGTAAAAGAATGGCATTCCTACGTACCTCCATCAATGGATATTTCTGTTGCAAACCCAAGAGAAAGCGCAGATCAGATACAAATGGAAATGGAAAACTGACATCACATAGAACGCGACAAGCTGGATTCCCTCGCCCTTTATACCCAGCATTAAGCAGAATTCACACGTGACGCATTTCCTACGTTAAACTTTGGCATGCAGCTCTGCAAAATATTAAGCTGTGGCCGCGCAAGTTCTCTCTTTTTCTGTGGAGGTTTGTTTTTAGCTACCTTCTGGTTTTAAAATGTTCTGAGGCGTTTGCTCCACTTACACTAGGACCCGAAACAGGTTTCCGCCGAAGTGGGGCTTCTTTCTGAATAAGACGGCTTAGCAAGTAGTGCTTTATTTGTGGCAGGTTGGGATTTTGGCGTTCCACAAACTATAGGATTTAGCTCCGTGTAAATCCATTTAACACTGAGCGAAATGAGAAGGTAATCGGGGCGGGGAAACCCCTCTCCCTCCTCCCTTTCGTAACCGGATGCCCACCTTTTAATACCCTGCTTTCGGTTTCTAGGTTCTCAAATCTCAAATCGCTGTTCCAACAGTACTTCCGATATCTTCTCGCTGGCCAATGGTCCTCCGAATTAAGGCAACCGCAGAGTAGGCGGTCTATAATGCGGTGCCAAATTTACTTGGAAGCCATTCCTGTTGAATCCAGTGGGGCTTCTCTCCACGAAAACGTATTTAGGAGTGGGGTCCTCTTGGAGCCAGTGTCAGTTTACGCAAAAGTAAGCTTTAAAGTAAGTGCGGCTAGGATCGCAGCCTCGATCAGCGTTTAGGATGCGTGCTGCTTCTAAGCATAGAAATGTCCCCTTAGCTTCGGTGGCACTTACTTCCGCGTGAAATGCATAGGATCGCGGAACTCATTTGTTAACATAAGCCAAAAAGTTCTTAAAGTGATCCAATCCCTTTGGGGGGTGGCATGGAAGTCAAATTTGTCCCAGGACGCGATCCTTGGTACGTTTATGTGGAAGTTAAAGTCAGAGAAATTAATGTGAATCATTCCTATTTGTATTTAACGTTTGGCTGTTACCCTTAACCACATTTAATAGGAAGGAGGTCTGCTGAAACCAATGGGACTTGCTTTCCGCCTAAAGTTGGCAAGGATCGGGTACTATCACTCCCCTTTTTTTGTCTTCCACGTATTTGAAAGGATTATTCTTTTGTCCAATGAATACAAACTAAATTATCAAAGCACGTTGAGGGATAAAATGAAAAGATAATCATTAGGGGTTTGTCCAATATTTCACACGGAAAAAACACACCCACCATCCTCCAGGCTACCTTTTTACATGTACTTGTCCTTAACCTTTAAAAGCAACGGCTGTAAATACAAGATCTGTACTTTCTCTAATAGATTTTCCTAGGAGCTGGTGACAGAGAACTGATTTCTTTTCTATTAGGCTTTAGCACATCTTTGTTGAAGGCCCCGCAGAATGACCACGGATTAGAATTCGATTTGCATCTCTTAGGCTCCCTGTGTGGTCTTTGTAAGGAGCTTGTAACTGTTAAAATGACTTGTTAGGAAGCGTGTGGGCTCTCATCCCTCTGCTTTTGACAGAATGATTGAGAAATTCAGTTCGCCCCTATAGGATTTAGCCTGCGGATTCCACCTGAACCTTAAGCAATTAGACCCTAATCTCAGCGCAATCATATGGAAGTTAGGATTTCTTGTACTTTGTTTACTCCGGGGTTCTTATATATAAAAAGCACCTCGATTATTTTAAACGAACTTTGTAATAATATTGTCCCAAATGTTACAGAAATGCACCCAGCTTGGAATGCTGCCCTGATAACCTAGCAGCAGCCAAGGCTTTACTTGAAGTTAAGAATGTTATAATAAACTTCAGTCAGAGAACATGCATGGGAGTTATCCTACCTTCACTGGAAACCTCGGATGCAACAGTGCTTTGCAAACTGACTTCTGAATCAACCTGTAGGGCAAGCAGAACCACTGAATTCAAGGGGATTTACTTTCAAGTAAACCTGTACTTAGGACAAGAGTGCTAACAGCATTCTGGAAACAGGACAGACCAAACTCTAAATGTTCATTTCTGTTTAAACACACACACCCAATTTGTTTTATTATTAGCAAGTTAGTTTCTCCCAATCTGCTCTGCAAAAACTGTAAATGCACTCAGAAAAACACCCCAAACATAATTTATATTAGGGCATGAGAATAACCAGGATTTAACAAACAAAACTAATCAAAGTTTGAGCCCAGACTAGGGAAAATGTCTGTTTGTAAATAACTAAATGTTCCACTGAGCAAATTAATCTGAGCTGGATACATATGTGATCTCAGAAAAATAAGCATTTCCTAATGAAAAGTCTTTTCAGGCTTTTAATATATCTTTCCTTCTCAATATTACAAATGCACAGTGGTCAATTGTGATCCCAGCCCCCAAACATAGCATTGCTGTCATGGAGATCTCATATTTCTCCAGAACTCAAACCACAGTATTTTATTACAGTTGGGGGGGGGACAAGCCAGTGGGGAGGGGGAACTTTGCTTGTGCAAATGCCACAGCCACTTTTGGAACAGGACCTGTGACATCATTGGTGTTGAGTGACACATCTCCCCTCTCCTCCCATCTCCTGCCCACTCCACTTTCTGACCATTTAAAAGTTTCATTTTAATGATTCCGCCCTGTCTTTCTTTAGAGGTCGAGCACTATACCATTCAACTGCAAGATTATTCATGCAGCTCTTTTAAAATATGGCGTGCACCGCAAGGCTACCCCTTCTCCCCCTGCAAAAACACTTTGTCATTTCAAGAAATGTCTTAGTGTTTTATGGTCTGTATTCCACATCTCCAGAGCTGAAATACATGGGTACCTCTGCCCTCCCCCTCCCTGCCTGGTTTCCAAGTTCTGAACACGACAGCAAAATTGTCAATCCTGCAGCATGATCCCTCCAGAGTACTGGGACCAAATTATTTATTATTACCTCTGGGTTGCCTGCTGCAAGACTGCAAATATTTTATACACAGTAGTTGGACGTGCACAGCTTGGTGCTGTGATGACACACCACTCACTCAGAAGAGTTTAGATCTGGAGGTAACTCAGGGGAAGATGAGGAAGAGAGAAGAAGCCCAATGGAGGAGTTCTACAGCTGCTTCAGGTCCTAACCTACTCACAACTGTCAGCATTAGAATTCAGTGACCGCTGAATGTGCTCAGTCCTCAGTGGGCTGTTTAGGGCAGGCATAGGCAAACTTGGCCCTTGTAGTTTTGGGACTACAACTCCCATCATCCCTAGCTAACAGGACCAGTGGTCAGGGATGGTGGGAGTTGTCCCAAAACATCTGGAGGGCCAAGTTTGCCTATGCCTGGTTTAGGGAGTTCCCCTCCCTTAGAATATTCCCTCCCCAAATGCTCCATCTCCTAAGCCTGTTACTACCCCGTCTCTCTTATGCAACCAAGTAGCACCACGTGTGGTGCTACTTGGTTGTATAAGCAACTGCACTCATTTTATGTATTTTATTTTAAAAACAAATCTACTGGTTGAGCATAACCTCTAAGTGGCCTGCTAGAAATATTGAAATTACTACTAAACCAAGCTTCCTCAACCTCGGCCCTCCAGCTGTTTTTGGTCTATAACTCCCATGATCCCTAGCTGGCAGGACCCCTAGCTAGCAGGGATGATGGGAATTGTAGTCTCAAAACATCTGGAGGGCCAAGGTTGAGGAAGCCTGTACTAAACGGTTAAAAACCAGTTAACAACATTTAAAGATCAATAACAGCAAAGGAGATTTAAAAATGTCAACACCTGCGTGTCTGGATAGGCTTCCCTAAGCAAAAATGTTTTAAGCTGGCACTGAAAGGAGTACAGTGAAGGTGCCTGCCTGATATTAACAGGTGGGGAGTTCCGAACTGTCACAATGCTACCACACTAAAATACTGATTTCTTATAGCTGTGGAATGTGTATTATGTGGCACAGGTAACAATACAGTAGTACTTCGGGTTAAGAACTTAATTCGTTCTGGAGGTCAGTTCTTACCCTGAAACTGTTCTTAACCTGAAGCACCACTTTAGCTAATGGGGCCTCCTGCTGCTGCCGCGCTGCTGGAGCACGATTTCTGTTCTCACCCTGAAGCAAAGTTCTTAACCTGAGGTACTAATTCTGGGTTAGCGGAGTCTGTAACCTGAAGCGTCTGTAACCCGAAGTACCACTATACTTCTGCAGATCAAAGCAGTTGAGTGGGCACATATGGGAAGATGCAATCCCGTAAGTAAACTGGTCTCATGCCCTTGTGGGCTTAATGGAACTCTCAGACACCCCCAGTGGAACCACCAAGGTCCCCTGCCCTTCCTATTTATTTTTTAATTATTATTATTTTAAATGAGTTTATTTGGCTTTTTTGGTCATTTGATAGGGGTTGCCTGTTTCTGGGAGAGTGTTTTTTTTTTTTTTTTTAAGGTCTGTGCTCCATCTAGCTGTAAACATCTGTGATACAAAATCAAACAAAAATTAAACATCAAGAAGAACTTTCTGACAGTAAGAGCTGTTCAGCAGTGGAACGGACTCCCTTAGGAGCTTGTGGCCTCTCCTTCCTTGGAGGTTTTTAAGCAGAGGCTGGATGGCCATCTCTCATGGATGCTTTAGTGGAGATTCCTGCATTGCAGGGGGTTGGTTGAGATGACCCTCAGGGTCCCTTCCGACTCTGCAATTCTATGGTTCTGTAGGAGGAAAGGATATAACACAGCATTACAGTAGTGAATGAACCTCTTGGTTGACCAGTCTCAACCAGTGGGATTCAGAGCACAAAATAAGACACAATCTTGTTTACAGGTGTGATGCATCATATAGATGGTTTCTCTAGCTGGTTCCAGACATTGGGAAGGGTTTTTGTCCTCCATGTCCAAAGATAGGCAACAACAAAATCAACCTGGAATATATGTAAGTGCACATGACAAGTCAAAGGGAACATCACAGGAGAGAGAATAAAAGTCCTTCAGGAGAAGTAATAGAGACAGAGCTGGGGAAAATAAAGATGGATGGGATCAGAGGTGGCCTACAGCCATTTTAAATGGATAGCATTATCACACTGCTGGTGACAGCAGTTGACACTGTTTGTTTAGATTTACTTGGTTACAGACTAACTAAGTGGAGAATGGGGAGCAGAGTCATTGCACAGGAGGTGACAGATCAGATGTGCTACTCTCATTCTTCACCAACATGATGGACCTGGGTCACTGACTCTATGTATCAAGCTTTTATTTTATGACTGTTACCTCTCCCACTATCCTAAAAGCTTCTATTTTCTTTCACGTCATGTGACCTTATGATCTGAAGGCAAAAGAGCTCCACAAACCATACACACCTTTCCCATGTTTCCCATGCAACTTTAGGCAATTAACTACTGGAATGAATGCATCATTCTTGGAAGCATGGACTGTCATATTGCTAATCTGTTTGCTAGCTGAAAAAGTGGCTTTTGTCTTTTAACCGTTGGATGCTATTAAAAGATTGTAAATATTGTAAAACGTTTTGTATTTTTCCATTTAAAAAAAAAAGAAAGATTGAGAAATGGCATCCAAAAAGGGATCAGTAACGTGACATTTTTCTCCAAGCAGAAGGAGCTGGAGAAAAAGTGTAGCAGAAACAACTTGTGTTGAAACTTTACATAGGTACTGACATGTACCGGTACTTTCTGGGAACATTTATATCCTGTCTTTCCATTCAGTGTTATTGTTTCTGTATTTCCTTGGGTTCTGTATAAGCCAAACAATTTGGGTTTAAAACATTCCCATAAGGAATCCTGAGTGGGCTGAATTTTCTTTCTTTTTTTTCATTTTTATCCCTCTTTGTATATTTTTATTTGACTCATATTTTTTTTACCAAACTGTACTATAAGGACAGAGGCATGTTGTTGTGACAACAGAGGACTTATTATCAAGGCTGATTAATGTAATTGTACAGTTATAGGTAAGACCAAGATTACAGATAAATGCTGGGCTGAAGCAGGACCAAAGTTGAGGTCACGGAGTCTGATTTGGATGTGAGATGAGATAAAAACATGGCCAGCTCAAAACACAGTGTATGGCCAGGAGCCAAAAGTGAGTAGCCAATTGAGAACAAGACTAATTACAACTCATTATGTGTAAGCGGAAGTATTTTCGAGGAACCAAATTAGTTGAGCCATAATGTCAGAAAACATTAGCTCTGAATATACCTTGAATACTAGTTGCTGGGAATCACATGAGGGGAGAGTGGATGTTACACTCATGTCCTGATTGTGGGCTTCCCATTGGCATCTGTTCAGCCATCGTGGGAATAGGATGCTGGACTAGAAAGGCTTTTGGCTGATCTAACGGAGATCTTCTTATTAAAGAACCAGACTTGTTCATATCTAGATCAGCCCAGATGTTCCCATCCACATTTCCATGTACTATTATCACATAAAGGTGGTTTAAGTCATAAGTAAGGCATGAATTGGTTTAGGGCAGTAAAGTGAGAAGAGGTTGTGTGCAAAGTCAACAAAAGCATAAGCAGAAAATGGAGGGTACCTAAGCCTATTCTGGGATGTTGGTGGCGCTGTGGGTTAAACCACAGAGCCTAGGACTTGCCAATCAGAAGGTTGGCGGTTCGAATCCCCGCAACGGGGTGAGCTCCCATTGTTCGGTCCCTGCTCCTGCCAACCTAGCAGTTCGAAAGCATGTCAAAGTGCAAGTAGATAAATAGGTACCGCTCTGGCAGGAAGGTAAACGGCGTTTCCGTGTGCTGCTCTGGTTCGCCAGAAGCAGCTTAGTCATGCTGGCCACATGACCCGGAAGTTGTACGCCGGCTCCCTTGGCCAATAAAGCGAGATGAGCGCCGCAACCCCAGAGTCGGTCACGACTGGACCTAATGGTCAGGGGTCCCTTTACCTTTACCTTTTAAGCCTATTTTACAAGCTATTGTGTTGAGTTGTTCTGTGTGGGTGCCTTGGGCTCTGTGCCGCCTATACTCCCAGATACAAATGGAGTGCAAAACAGCCAGACAAACAAAATCTGCTAATGCAAAGAGATATTCTGCAGCTGCAGATTTGGCTGATCTGGTCAACATGGCTGCACGAGGCACTATGGAACTGAGTTCAAAATTTGTATGGTCCTAAATAACTTTTATTGATAGTACCTGCCCTGTGTAAAATTCAGTATCTATATCTATATACTTAAAATAAACACTAACTATCCAAACTCTAGTACAAAGGCTGCTAACAATACACACGTGTGTGCATCTCTACCTACAGAGTCCCCTCCCTCTTCTGAAATTAGAATAGGTTGTGGTGCCCAGAACAGTTTCTCAGATTCACATAATGGGCCCATGGGCCTGCAAAAGTTGGCAACCTATGTTTTTCATGCATCATCAACAGTTCTGCAACAAGATAAATTATTAAGCCAATTAAATATATTACAGTATGGGCTATACTTTCCCAGAAGGCCCTGTAACATTCCAAGACTTAGGCTGTGATTCTATCCATGCTTCTTCCTAGAGTAAACTCATTGAACTTCATAGAACTTACCGTACTTCTGAGTAGGCATGGATAGGATTTTTCATGTTTTATAAGCAGACATCTGATTTTACAATACATTTGATATGTGCTGCTAGGTCAGCAGACAAGCGTAGGAGGCACAGGACAGGGCATGTGGCTCATACAACTCTCTCCTCCAACACTTTGCTGCCACTCCCCAGCATTTGCCACCAGAGGCAACTGCCTCACTTGGTCTTACTTTAGGACCAGCCCTACTGTAATGCATACTTTTGGTGTGTATAACTCATGAGTATCCAAGGCCAAGTGGGTCCCACCAAAGGTGTCTTTTCCAAAACCTGCCCCTAAAACAACAGCAACAACCCTGGAGGCAGCACTGTCCTCGATTCTTACTGCCTCATCCTTATGCTCCTGCAGACAGGACACTTTCTATACCTGTGGATAGTGGAGCTTTAGGCATGTCAATGCACAGAATTGCACATGAATCGCTGGATCTTGGGCATCTTTGTCTGTGCCTTTTCAAGGGCTGTTAGCTATTTCTGAAGGTTAAAATTGTGAGGCATTTTTCTGGTCTGGTTTAAGAAATGAACTGACAGAATGGAGACCCAGAAAACTTACAGACAGCGGTTCTGGAAATAACATTAAAAGGAAAGGAGGTGAGCACATCTAATTGCATTTCTCAATGGGACATTAGTTAAGTCATAAAAATGCAGCTGTTTTACCATGTACAAGGAACTGGAAGTTTTATTCAGGCAACAAAGAGATTTTCTAAATCCCAGAACCAGAATACTATTAGCCGTTCACCCATTTTCAGTATTGTGACTTCTGGATAGATTGTTAAATGACATAAGGAAAGGGTGATTTTAATTTTCTTGAGGGATAGCAAAGCTAGTCGGAAGTCATTTAATAAGCTTGATTAGCAAGTTGTGTTGCCCTATCTATAGCTGGTAAAAATATGTTTCATTTTCAGCTTATAAAGAGTTGCAATTTAACTATCAACTTGCATAACCTTTCACCAACAAAATTTGTTTCAGCGAAAGATATCACTTTACCTATTTTGTACCAAATATTTCGGAATAGCAAAACATCTGTCTGTATCAAATGTTGGGGAGAATGATTAGAGTTGTCAGTTGATGACATTTGCAGTTAAATCAACTACTTACCTTCAATCCAATTCATATTTTTACCAAAACCTCAATACAGATGTCTTCCTTGAGATGTTGAAAGATGTGTATGATAACTTGCAACTTAATGAATAAAAGCTCCCATTTGTTGTTGGATAGAAAAGTTCTCTTTAATATGTTCATTTTCATTCACACTTTCTTAGGAGTAAGACCCATTGAATTCCCAGGAACTAATTACTTTGTAAACATCTATCAGATAGAGCAGCACAGCTTTAGTTGATCAGTCTATTGATTGAACTGATTAAACTTTGTAATCATCCAAATTATATATTTTTCACTCAGTCCACACTTGTAAAAAACAAAAAACCTTTAATATAATTTTAACTTTCTGGTCCTGAACATAAAACATGGATGGAAATTCCATCCAAATCAACTGGACTCACTGCCTCGTAATCACCCTGATTTTAGGAAACTGTAGCACAGAAGAAGGCTACTGCTCTCAGGTACACAAAACAGGCTGATTGCAGAGAATTAGAATGGGGAGATAGATATAGAGGGCTTCTCATGCATTAAACTACTGATAGATGCAGGTCTTTCCTCCCATTGAGCTCCATTTTGGTTGCACCCTACCACACTGGCTGCAGGCATAGAAACCAGTTTCCAAATGCTAAACCAACACCTATTGCTACCACTGCATTGGGGCATATATATCTCTGATAGGGTTGGAAACATGGGAAAGCACTTTAATATTTTGCAGATATAGCACGGAAACATTCTAAGGAGTCCAGCATCCCATACTTTTTGCTTCAAGGCTTTTCTTTGTTGTCTTAGGGCTGTGAAGGCCACATCTTCCAAGCAAAAAACTGATTAGCAATACAGAAGTTCCCTTTACATTTCATGGAGTACCTTGGATTTCTTCCTTATTTGTTCTTGCATGGATTTTCAGTCAATTTCTCGATTGCCTGATTAAGAGGAGAATTCAATAAAAAAAATAAATGGAATCAGGCCTTGTAAAAACAATAAATCAGTCAATGAATCAATCAATCAATCATCAATCAATCACCAATTATACTGGCTGTATCATTAATAAAGAAGAAGAATTAAACTAAGACTTGGAAGAACTGCTGCAGACATTTTCCACTCTAGCTTGGGTGTGAGATTTCTAAACTTAATGTCTCTCTGACTTCAAATACACTCTAACCATGAGTTATTAAGATTGCCAGGAGGAGATTGCCTGGAATTTTGGGATGCCCCAAAAGTGGTTTTTAAAAAGGAAATTTCAATGGAAAGCCAGATAAAAAGGTATTGTGCAGTTTGTCCCTGCTTAAAATGAGAACAAGGAATGGAGCATTGCAGTTAATTAGCTCTAGTCAGCGCTGGCCGCTCTGCAACATTTCTTACAGCCGTGTTCTATCTGAGCCTTAGAGTAAACATTTCCCACATGCTTGATGCAAAAAAACAAAAAAAAAAAAAAACCTGCCAGAAAATAAACATTTTAGCCATTCAAAATCTGGAGGCATCACAATGAATCTTTCCAATAACGAGTGAAAGGAGGTTTGAAACCCTTTGCTGAAGAACAGAATAAGCCGTTGACCATTCGTGATTGTGTTCTTATTTGCTTGGCATCTTATTCTGTCCTTACAGGACAATCCACACATACCCTAGTCATACCCCAAAGCGGTTGGATTTACTTATGTTGATTTAGTCCCAATGAAATAAATGGAACAAAATCGGCTGAAATCCAAGTACTTCAGGATTAACCGGGCTGTGGATCAGGCTGCACATTATCTAGCTATATTTATTGTTTGAAAGTGGATCTTCAGTGAGCATTTTATTGTAATTGCATTGCTTTTTTATTTACCGGATAATTGTTTTTCTTTGCTATCAAGTCCTCATTTAAAATAGTCTAGTTAATGCATTACAAATAATGAAGTGCTACATTGCCTCAATTATTTCTGTATTAAATGTATCCTGAGCAAAGTTAGATATGTGAAATATTGCCATTTTTCTCAATTCCCTCAAAATAGCATTTAATCTTCTGATTCAGCAAAACTGACTACAGAGCAGAAACACTGTTTACAAGTTCCATCAGCTTACTTTTCTATGGGAAAATATGATAACACGTTTTATTGCCTTTTGCAGAAAGTATTTGTGCTTTACATTTTTTATTCATTAGGCACAATCACTGAATTTTGAAATAATCTCTTGTGTACAAATCATTTTGTTTCAACACATATGCATAATTCTTAGATTCCTTTAAAAAAAGATTACTTGCTTTTCCCTCAGAGTAAAAATGCCAATCCGATAAATATGGATTGTTCAAAAATGTTTTAAGTGTTGGTTAATATATTTCTTGCAATATATATCATAATATTAAAGATAATTTATTAGCCAGTTTTATATTGCAATGTTGTCTAAAAAACGACTGTAGCGTACAGTTCATTTTTAATATATACAAAGTGATTTAATATATACAAACTGAGAACATCCTCTTGTTGCATCTCCATTTAACTTTATTTTATTTTTAAACATTGCAGTCTATATTGGATATTCTTTGAGCTTTTTCAACAAAATCCTACTTTAGCATGGGTGGGGGAATATTCAGCATGAGCAGGAAATCAGATGTGATAATTACATGCCTGCTACTCAGCGTTTCTCATAAAATAGGCAATAACATGAAATTTCGATCTTTCAGTTGAAAATACACAGAACCATCCTGGACAGAGCCACCTTTATTGGGAAAAAGTGAATAGGGTTTTTGGAATGGGATTAATTAGGCGAAGGAAGTATAAGGACTTCTGCTTTCAGAGACAAAGTGCTTTGCATCATGAATCTGCTTGTTATTTAAGGGCGGATGGGGGGGGGGGGGAAGAGCTCCTAAAAATCAGATCCCAAAGGAAGTTCATTTTGGGTTTGACTGAAGCCAAGTACTGTATCTCTAGCATCTAATGCGCAGAAACATTTCTTCCCCCCTTCAATTCTTTTCCATGACCAACCGAAGAAAATAATTTCACACTAATTATTTAATTTTCAAACTTGAAATATATTCAATGCAGAAAACGGTACAAATGCCCAATTCATAGATTCCTAATTACATGTCTTTTCAATTAAAAATATATCCAGAATTTATATTTGGTGTATATTCCTAATAATCAGCTGTTTGCACTTTCATATAAAAATATCCAACAACCCAGGTACTCATCTGTCGATCTAGCTATCTATCCAGACAAATATAAATATGTTAATGAACAAAAACTTTGTGTTTTCATGTTAAATATTCCAGAATTAAAACCCTCACAATATATACCTTTAAAAGCACTGTTAAAAAAGCAAGTACTCTAGACTGTTGTTTTTTTTTTTTTTAATGCTTGAAATGGCATTTGAGTTCCTTGTACAAATCCACCATCAGTAACAGGGAATAAAAGGGTATTCCATTAGCAAATATCACATTTAATGCAATCATCTGAGTCAGAAAAAAGTTTGCGTTAAGAAAGGTTTTATTTACATGATCCAGATGTCGATATTTATTTAGACTGGAGTTAAGCAGAGATCTTTAAATGAGCAAGTGCTTCTCTCTCACTCACTCTCTTTCGCTCTCTCTCTCTCTCCCCTTTGGCTCATATTGGTTTCTGATATTTTAAAATGTGATTTTAACCTATCTGTGCACACAGAAGCAATGCAAAATCTTTGTTTAATAGGACCTCCATATCCTTTTTTATTATTAAGCATCAGATTTCATTCAAAGAATTGCAAGCTAATTTTCAGCAGACCAGATTATTCTGAAATGGTTAACCTTTACAATACATAAAAACTAGGCCTGTCATTAGAATAAATAAATCCTATTCAAATAGCTGAATGAGATTTGGACAATTAATCAGTTATATTGCACAAATGCAGTTGTACTAAATGAAAAGGAAGCTTTGGGGTGATGTTGAAAATTGAATCAGGTTTATTTGTCAGGACCATATGACTTGACGTAAGTCAAGTTACACAAATCGCAAAACCAAGAATCTTGGAAACAGGCAGTTAGAAATTTCTGACACGCACACACGTTTCTGCAACTGCAAAGCAAGCAATCTTTTCTCTTCCTGGCATTCATTTTCTCTTTCTGATTGGAGCAATGGTCCTTCTCAAGGAAGTAAGAGTCTCCAAATATTTGATAGCATTTCTTTACATAAGCAAATAATGCAAAAAAAGAAAAAAAGGAAAAGGAAAAGGTCCTCTGTTCCATTCCACTCCTTCCCTGCAAGAACAGAAGTTTGAACCAAGACGTAGGCATACTTTGATATCCAAGGGATTTAAGTGAATCGGGACTAATTTAAGTACCACTGATTTCAGTGGGTCTCTTCTAGGTAAAGGTAAAGGGACCCCAACCATTAGGTCCAGTCATGAGCGACTCTGGGGTTGCGGCGCTCATCTCGCTTTACTGGCCAAGGGAGCCGGTGTACAGCTTCCGGGTCATGTGGCCAGCATGACTAAGCCACCTCTAGTGAACCAGAGCAGCGCACGGAAACGCCGTTTACCTTCCCGCTGGAGTGGTACCTATTTATCTACTTGCACTGTGATATGCTTTCGAACTGCTAGGTTGGCAGGAGGGGTCTCTTCTAAGCATGGCTAAATATGGATTCAACCCAGAGACCAGCAAAGAGAAGTTCTTGCACCACTGTGTTAATTTCCTGAGCTGTGGTTACAGCAGTGGGGGATAGTCCATTAGGGCAAATGTGGAACTGCCCCACCAACCACAGTCTGCCCTCAGCCAGCCCCACCTGCCTCCCTCCCTCCTTAGCAATGAGTTCAGGGTGTGGAACTGCCTGTTAGCCTTTTCCTTCGTAGTGTCGATGTTGCCCTTGTAAAACTCAGCAAGGAAGAGGACGGGGAGAGAACTAAAATTAGCTGGCTCCACCTATCATGGACTCAGAATCTACCTGCTGTTTGGGCTCCCTGCTTTCTGTCCTACCAGTACCAATGGGCATCAGCCACCACTAGATTGCAGCAAACCAGGGGCGGGGCTTGTAGTCATACCTCTTCACGGGAGTGAAAATGTACGTACTTGAAATGTGCCCTGGGTGGTTTTTAACCTTTGAAAGATGGGTCTTTACTTGCAGGCAAAGAAAACAGAGAAGTAGTAGAGAATCAGAGTCCAGATAACATTTGACTATTTTGAGGAATTGCAAAATGTAGTATTCACACCATGGCTGATTGTCAACCAAGAGGTTTCAAATACAGATTTACCCTGTACACATGAAAGGCAAAGCAACGCCTATTGTTTTTATATAAGCACATGTCATGGCAGACACTAGTTTAGAAGAGGCTTTTGGATGTACTATGAAGTCTTGAATAACCAAATGTGAAAATACATGACAGATACTGCTGCTGCACTGAATTTTCATGGTGTACCATGCTCACTACATAAATCTCTCATTTGAAGCAGCATATGTTCCCATGTTCAGGGAAGTTTTTAATGTGTGACATCTTAGTGTAATTTTGGTCATTGTGGAAGCCGCCCAGAGTGGCTGGGGAAACCCAGCCAGATGGGCAGGGTACAAATAATAAATAATAATTATTACTATTAGTCCAGTTTTTTTTTTGTTTTGTTCTGAAGATGCCTGTTCTTGGTTTCAATTTTGACAGTGGCAGCTCTTGGTTGAAACAGTGGTGGAGCTTCATGCTCCGGCACTGGGGGGCGGAGAGCAGGTGGGGGCATGGCTGGCGCATGTCCTGGGGGCATGGTGCGCCACCTGCAGGGGCATGTCGTGTGTCCTGGGGGCGTGGCATGCTGCCTGTGGGGGTGTGGCACCAGTGTGGGCAGGGGGGCAGCCACGATGGCACCCCACTGGGATTGCACTGCTGGGGGTTGTACGTTCCCCCCGCACTCCTCTTCCTCCACCAGTGGGTTGAAAAACATGCTATTGTTTTTGCACTGGAATTCCCATAGTGCAGTGGGTACTTCAGCTCTGGTGAAAATACTAACTGGTAATGCATCTGATATAAGCATGTGCAGAGTCCTTCATTTTTTGTCAACACCTGTTCTGGACTTGGTTTGGCACAGCTGCTGCGCCTCAGAGGTCTCTTCCACAGAATGTCCTATGGATATTAGGCCGGCAATAAAGTTCTGGGCCAGAATTGCACTGGAAACATTGTTATATACTGACAAATAGATAATTATTCCCTCCCCTTGAATATGAGCAGGCATAATCTCAGTTGTCTTTTCGGTGACAAGAAACCTCTTTCAAGAAACCTTCTGAGTTGAAATCATTCCCAGTCTGCATCTGTATTTGAAATACTTTAAAGATTATTTTATTATTATTATTATTATTATTACGTAGTTTGTTGCCCTGGACTCCTTTTAGATGAAGGGTGAGATATAAATTTGAATAATAAATCAATCAATTTATTTATTATCAGTGATGGCTTACAGGCACACTCATTTCTCATGACAAAATATATCAGAAAAACAAAAGGCAGAATCATAAAACTGTAGAGTTGGACAAGATCCCAAGAGTCATCTAGTTCAACTTCCTGCAATGCAGGAATCACAGTTAAAGAATCGTTGACTGATGGCCACCCAACCTCTGTTTAAAAACCCCTAATGAAGGAGAGTCACAACCTTCCAAAGGAGTCCATTCCACTGTTGAGCAGTTTTAACCATACTCCTTTTTTGTAGTTTCAACCCATTGGTTTGGGTCCCACTTCCTGCAGTAGGAGAAATCAAGCTGGCTTCATCTTCTGTGTGACAGCCCTTCAGATAATAGAATATGGCTATCATATCATGTCTCAATATTCTCTTCTGCAGGCTAAACATGTCCAACTCCCTCAACTGCTCCTCATAAGGCTTGGTTTCCAGACCTTTATCATCTTAGTACCCTTCCGCTGCCCATGTCCCAGCTTGTCAATATCCTTCTTCAACTGTGGTGCCCAGAACTGGTTACTCCAGGTGTGGTCTGTGTGTATATTGATATAGTGTCTGGTTACCAAATTCATTTGAAAAAAGCACTCTACCCATATTTTGCAACTGTAGGTATTAAATATGTCCACTTCCTCACCATTTTCTTCTTTGGCGATCACTCGTAGCCGAGTAAGATTGTCTTCCATAAACACAGTTTTAACAATGAGTCCGTAAGTGACTGTGGAGGCCAATTCTGGATCCACACGTCCTTCCACAATGGGGACCTTGGTTTCCGGGTGGGAGTTGATCACGGTGTGGATTTGCCAAGCGTGCCTTCCTCTTAGCACGTTTCTCCCTTGTGTCCTGAGTTCGAGTGTCTTCAAAGCCCATGACACCTTTGGTAAAGGCTGTTCTCCAATTAGAGTACTTGCAGGCCAGTGTTTCCCAGTTGTCAGTGTTTATACTACATTTTTTTAGATTTGCAGCTCAGTCTGCCACTGGACCTGTTTGTCTGGGAGAATAGCAGCTGTTTTGTGCATTGTACAAGAATCCAACTATTTTGCTAGGGGAGAACAAAAGGAAAAAATGATTGGGGAGGGCTTGAAAACCAAGACTTGATACTAGCCATGATGCTTACTGGGTGATGTTGGGCCACAGATATGAGTATAACATGGGAAGAGGGGATAATTTTGTATGCCACCCTGACCATCTTGAAAGGATGGAATAAACCATGTAATGAAAACAAGGTCAATTTAAAATGAAATCCTGTTCAAATTATGTCACAGAGACTTAAACTCCCCCCCCCCCGACCGTATCGTTATTTTGGAGTTAATGGATGTCTCTGTGCAGTGGGGTGGAGCAGAGTGGGAGAAATTCCACAATGTGAGAGCCACCACAGAGAAGACCCTGTGTTCCTTCAGTACACAAAGGGACACAGAACCTCCTCCATAGATGTTGTTAGAATATAATGACTCTATGTGATAAGATTGCTAGATCATTGTCAGTCCGCTTGTAGTAGTTGAGCCCAGGCCTAATCCATTAGGGCAAAATGAGACGTCTTATGAAGCAGACTTTAAATTTTCAGAGCTGGGGCAGGATGTAGGCAGCTGATGCAGAACAGTGACGAAAAAGAAAAAAGCTTCAGTAGGAGGATGACTCCGATAAATCCAAAACATAAATGGAATTGGTTTCCCAAACCACTTTCTTTCATTCTGCTGTTAACAATGCAGAAGAACGTACAGGAGAATGTCTTCCCTGAGACGTGTAATAAGAAAACCATATTATAAGCTGCAATCAGTGAATTAATAAATTTTTCTTCCTTCTGTTTTATGCACATACCCACTGCCATCAAGACTCTTTTATACCATTAACTTCCACTGAATTATTCCTGGAATGAAACCCAATATAAATAGCACATTGTCTCCATTGTCTTATGGGTATTATTTACCTGTATCCAATCTCATGAGGATTGATTCAAACAAGTGAGAGCTAATAGAGATTATTAAAATTTCCAAAGGGGAAACAAAATCTTTCAATTATGTCAGTGTCCTCCCCCCACTTCTTCCTCATATATTAGCTTTAATTAAACATTGCCAATAAATGTGATGGTCATCAAAATTCAGAAAAGGAAGTAGGGGAATACAAAAGGCAGAGTTGCATGAAAATGTATTTCACTGCTAATGGTTCGCAGGAAAGCATTAAAGCACAAAAGGAAGCCTTGTATAGTTGGAAAGCTAAAGAGGTAAAAGACAAATAGAATAGATAGGATAAGTTTGAAGGATGGGAATGGAAAGTCACTTTCCAAGGCTCTGGTATTTTAATACCAGAATAGGTAAAGGTAAAGGTACCCCTGCCCGTACGGGCCAGTCTTGACAGACTCTAGGGTTGTGCGCTCATCTCACTCTATAGGCCGGGAGCCAGCGCTGTCTGCAGACACTTCCGGGTCACGTGGCCAGCGTGACAAGCTGCATCTGGCAAGCCAGTGCAGCACACGGAACGCCGTTTACCTTCCCGCTGGTAAGCGGTCCCTATTTATCTACTTGCACCCAGGGGTGCTTTTGAACTGCTAGGTTGGCAGGCGCTGGGACCGAACGACGGGAGCGCACCCCGCCGCGGGGATTCGAACCACCGACCATGCGATCGGCAAGTCCTAGGCGCTGAGGTTTTACCCACAGCGCCACCCACATCCCACACAATACCAGAATAGCTTTTGTTAAATAGAACAGAACAGAATAGAAACATTTTGTACTAAGTTCTTCTGGGGGAAAAAAACTTCCATTAAGTTATGCATTTAAAACTAATGAATTAGAGTGAGATTGCATACATTTAGAGAAATATTGGACCTGTGGTCTAATCATGTCCATTCAGACCTAACATCGATCGATTTAAATTCTGTGAATGCTTTGTAATCATAAGGTCTCCATACTGAACCTCAAATCTCTAGGTATGCAGGTTTTCCTCAAATGTAATCTGATTTTAAAAAGCAACAACAACTGAAGAATCAGCGATAACTTCCCTGGTTCTTGAGAAGAGAGAAGGGATTGGAGAAATGCAGAAAGAAAAAAGACAGAAAGTAAAGAAGGCAGAACTGAATTGTTTATAGACAGCCCATCACAAGAGCAGTGAACAATATATAACCAGGAATGGTGATACAATCAGGCATAGGCATACTGGCCCCTCTAGATGTTTTGGGACTACAACTCCCATCATCCCTAGCGAACAGGACCAGTGGTCAGGGATGATGGGAATTGTAGTCGCAAAAACATCTGGAGGGCCGAGTTTGCCTGTGCCTGAACTATATAATACAATAAAAACAATGCAACACAACCAGAAAACATTACAACAATGCAACACAACCAGAGAACATTAAAGATAGTAAGGCTATTGTAGGACAAGCCTGACTTTAAATGCCCAGGCAGGCAGAAAAGTTTTGACTGGTTCAAAGAGTATTGCAGTGAACATCCAGTAGGGTGTGTTATTTCTCCTGCAACTTCTGGATCTAGTCAGAGAAAGGCATACACTATATTGTTGTTTAGCAATTGGAACCTTTTCACTTATTACAATTTCCCCCTCCATTAACTGATTCTCCATATCCATTCTTCTCAGGACTAGGCCAGAATATTATTTCTCTTTGGCAGGCAGCCCCCGCCCTTTCATTCAGGCCCTGAATTACAAATGCCAGGATCTCAAGAGATATGTGTGATTTCTAAAAGCATCAAACCAAGATAATGTGTCTGCTTCACACGGGTTGAGGTTGTGACAAACAGAAGGGTGGGAAACCTTTTTCAGCCTCAGAGTCACATTCCCTAATGAGGAACTTGTCAGGGGTTACATTCCGTAGGTGAGAGGAAAACAATGAACAGATCCATGGAAAATGACCTCAGTCAGCTCACTGGGCAGGAAGAACAGGGTGCAAATTTAATAAAGAATAAAAATAAATAATCTTACCTACATTCTGGCCACACAAAAGTCACCTACACTCACCTCTCCACTCTGCATTTAGGCAAGCAAGAGGCATTATTGCCATTCAAGAGCCCTGCTGGATCAGACCAAAGGCACACCTAGTCCAAAATCTTGTTTTCACAGCTGTCATCCAGATGCACATGGAAGTCCCACTAGCAGAACTTCAGCGCAACAGTACTCTTCATGCTTGCGATACCCAGCTACTGGTATTAAAGAGGAATACTGCCTCTGCCAGTGGAGCTAGTAAGTAGCAGTCATTGCTAATGGCCTTTCATAGTCTTATCCTCCATGACTTTGCCTAATCTTCTTTTAAACAGTTCCAAGCTGGTGACCAGTACTGCATCTTGCGGAAAGCAAATTCCACGGTTAAAATATGCACTGCATGAAGAAATACTTTCTAAAAACCTGTCCTGAATCTTCCAACATTCATCTTCATTGGATTTCCACAAGTTCTAGTGTTAGGAGAGAGCGAGGGAACGGCCCAAGGTGAGCTTCATGGCCAAGTGGGGATTTGAATCCTGGTCTCCCATGTCAAAAGGGATGTGGGTGGCGCTGTGGGTTAAACCACAGAGCCTAGGGCTTGCCAATCAGAAGGTCGGCGTTCGAATCCCCGTGACGGGGTGAGCTCCCATTGCTTGGTCCCTGCTCCTGCCAATCTAGCAGTTCAAAAGCACGTCAAAGTGCAAGTAGATAAATAGGTACCACTCCAGCGGGAAGGTAAACGCCGTTTCCGTGTGCTGCTCTGGTTCACCAGAAGCGGCTTAGTCATGCTGGCCACATGACCCGGAAGCTGTACGCTGGCTCCCTCGGCCAATAAAGTGAGATGAGCGCTGCAACCCCAGAGTCGGTCACAACTGGACCTAATGGTCAGGGGTCCCTTTACCTTTTAATCCCACGTCAATGCCTCTGAACATGAGTTGCTGGGAATCACAAGTGGGGAGAGTGCTGTTAAGTTCATATCTTGCTTGTGGGTTTCCCCAAGGTATCGGTGCCTGGATAGCTCCGTTGGCTAGACGATGGTGCTGATCATGCCAAGGTTGCAAGTTTAATCCCCATATGGGAAAACAGCATATTCCTTTATTGCAGGGGGGTTGGACGAGATGATCCTTAGGCTCCCTTCCAACTCTACAATTTGATGGTGCCATTTTTTCTATGATCTGTTTGGCCACTGTCAGAACAGGATGCTGGACTTTGGCCTGATCCAGCTAAGGCAGGCATGTTCAAAGTCCGTTTTGGGGACCTAATTCAGCCCGCCAGTTGGTTTAATCTGGCCCCTATGGCAGTTTATTTCCTGGGGTAAAATCCTAAAAAAAAAAGTCAACAACTCCAGTCCTAAAAACAGGTCAACAACTTTGGTCGGCCCTTTGGTCGGCCCTCACAGCCCTTCACTTCATCAGATCTGGCCCTCTTTGAAAAAAGTTTGAACACCACTGAACTAAGGGATCCAATGGTTGTAGCTAGAGAGAAGAGATTTGGGCACTCACATGACCTTGTAATCATTTTCTTCAGAAAAAAATCTTACTCTTGTAAAAAAGAATATTTCCATATCCATTAAGGTAAAGGTAAAGGGACCCCTGACCATTAAGTCCAGTCGTGCCTAACTCTGGGGTTGTGGTGCTCATCTCGCTTTCTTGGCCAAGGGAGCCGGCATACGGCTTCTGGGCCATGTGGCCAGCATGACTAAGCCGCTTCTGGCGAACCAGAGCAGTGCACGGAAACGCTGTTTACCTTCCCGCCAGAGCGGTACCTATTTATCTACTTGCACTTTGACATGCTTTCGAACTGCTAGGTGGGCAGGAGCTGGGACAGAGGAACGGGAACTCACCCCATTGCGGGTATTCGAACAACCAACCTTCTGATCGGCAAGCCCAAGCTCAGTGGTTTAACCAACAGCGGCACCCTTATATCCATTACACAGAGTCATAAAATGCTCCCCTGGCATTGGACTGGAGCTAAAGGGGAAACCTCTTCATTCCTAGAGCCACTTTATCTTCTAGGCAACTTTCAGGGTCACATACCAGTATTGGGTGGGGCCAGAGAAAAAAAAAGAGGTTGAAGCAATGGATACCATTTTACATTTGTACAGTAGGCTTACTTCTACACACACTGATGCTCTCCTCTGTATCCTCCATTCAGACAAGCAAGAGGCCTGGTTAGTGTTCAAAGACACATACCAGCCAGACACAAGCAGTCCAAGAGGGTGCCAGGCAGGACTGGCAAGGGTGTGGCCTGAGAAGAGTCCCGAGGGCCAGGCACAGAGGCTCGGGCAGCCACATTTGCCCTATGGGCTTGAGACTCCCATCCTTGGGCTAAAACAAAAAGGATTAGTGGATTCTTTAATCATGAAAGACCATTTTCAGCAACTGCTTAAAACATTTTTGTTTAGGCAAGCCTAACCAAACTGGTATTATTATTATTATTATTATTATTATTATTATTATTATTATCTCCCCTGCCTATCCAAATTGCCGATGTGTTTTAATTTCACTTCTTGTTAATTATAATTATTTTAAAATGATTTACATTGTTTACAACGGTTTTTATTGATTATTTTAATATTTATTGTAAACTACTTAGAAGTGTTACTGTAATCAAGCGGTATATACCGTATTTTTCCATCTATAAGATGTCCCCATGTATAAGACACCCCCTATTTTGAGGGACTCAGATTTAAGGAAATGGGGAAAGATGGCCCAGAGTATAAGATACCCCCTAATTATTGACATTATTTTTTAGGAAAAAACCTAGTCTTATACACGGAAAAAAACAGTAAATTTTGCTAAACAAACAAATAGTGGGTAGAATAAGATTCTTGGATAATCATTAAGTGGAGAACTATAAATCATAAAACACTTTGTACATGCACAGCTTCCTCTCAAATATCTTAGTGACAGCGGGTGCAATCATCTCAGAACTTCTGTCCTCTAGACTTTCCATTCGCTTTAATGGGGGTTGTGTAGGAGATGTTGCCAGTGGATTTTGCCTTGTGTTTTAGAAGTTTTACTATTAACTCTATATTTGATTTTATCTGATTATGACATAAATGCAGGCACATTAAGTGGGCTGATGTCAGCAATCAGGACTGCTTGTTACACAACATCAGTAACAGGGACTCAGGTGTGAAACAACTGTAATTATAGGTATTTAGCCCAAATGTACGTCAGTTGTAACTGATTAGCTGTGTGAGTCTTTATAGTTAATTGAAATACTTTATCAATGAATGTCTTGACTTAGCAGCAATACTAACAACATAAACATGAGATTCAGCTGACAGGAGAAAGAGTTCCCTCCATGTTAATGTGCTTATTCCTCTTGCCCATTTTCTTTCATTTTCACCATGTTGCTTCATCTGGGGCTGGGGCCAAGTCATGGCGCAGAGTGATGATGCCAGATGTGCCTGCTAAGGAAAACTGCACATCAAGGACAAAACTATGACATAGATGGAAAGGCGAGCCATTGTGGTGTAGCGGCACCTTTTCTCAACCTTGGGTCCCCAGATATTGTTGGACTACAACTCCCATCATTCCTAGCTACCGGGACCAGTGGTCAGGGATGATGGGAGTTGTAGTCCAACAACATCTGGGGACCAAAGGTTGAGAAAGGTTGGGTTGGCAGGGGTGGCCAACTCCCGAGAGACTGCAATCTACTCTCAGAATTAAAAACTGGCAGTGATCTACCCCCTTTTTTGGGGTTCAGGTCTAAGTTGTTGATCTTTTATTAGGGTGGAGGAAAGACCCGTTTTTAGGGGTGCAGGGCAAAGTTGTTAAGCTTTTATTAGGGAGGAGGAAAGTCCTGATTTTTGAGAATTCAAGCCTAAGCTCAGTGTTAGTTTCTGTTTCCTCACTGTGCAGCTGCTTGCAGTCACAGGACTCTGTTTACATTCCACAGAGTCCAGATACTAGAAGTGGAAGCCCCACTCAGCCATGAAACTCACTGGGTGATTTTGGGCCACTCATTCATTATCAGCCTAACCTACATTACAAGGTTGTTGTAAGAATAAAATGGGGGAGGGGGGAAGGAGAACAATGAGCCTGGTGCTCCTTGGAGGAAAGATGGGATTGATTGATTGATTGATTTACTGTGACGCCCTTCATCCAAGGATCACAATGCAGTTTACAATATAAAAACACAAAAATACATACCATAGTAGCTAACAAAAACAAGACCCCCCAACACCACTTTAAAAGACAATAGATCGCTTAATTAGCCAAAGGCCTGGGAGAAGAGGAAGGTGCCAGGTGAGCCTCCCTTGGGAGAGTATTCCACAAGCAGGGAGGCACCACAGAAAAGGCTCGTTCTTGTGTTGCCACCCTCCAGGCTTCTTGCAGAGCAGACACACAAGGAAGGACCTCAGATGATGATTACAGCATCCAGGTTGGTTCATATGGGGAAAGGCGGGTCCCTGAGGCACTGCAGTCCTGAGCTGTTTAAGGCTTTTAACAATGAAATACATAAATGATATGAATGTGACCAACAACTTCCTTTTAGACCTCATTGCATGGCACTTCTTCCCAGGGAGCAACTCCAAGGCAGAGGGCCCTATATTGATACAGATCAGCATGACCCAACTTTTCTCCAAGAGTGTCCAAGGCCTACTTTGAAGTATATTATGCTGCAGATCACTCAAAGGAGGCAGGCATTTAATTCTACCATTGAGCTTGGAAGCAGACTTCTGACATGAGAAATCTGTCGCGCCGCACCTCTCCAGTCGCCAAGACCATACCCTCCAACATTTCTCAGATGAAAATAGGGGCATTTCTCACCCCATTTTTTGTCCCCCATAAGCATTTTGTATCCGAATAAGGGTGAATGCCTCTACCACTACCCCCAAAGGGTCACAGCACACACAAACACACCATTCACTACCCTGAGAAAACCACTTAATCCTGGTTTTATTTTATTCTTTGTTAGAATGACAAACAGAAATGCACACTAATAAATAAGTTTTAGAAAGGGCAAGATTAGATGTGGATGTACAAAGCATTTTTTAAAAATATAAATCAAAACTCCTTGTGTTCTGCTCCTCCTTTCTTCCTGCTTCACAGAATTGGCATGCCATGCAAAGCTGGGTCTCAGTGGCTGCAGCTTCACTGCTTACAAGCAGCCACTACAAGCTGCTCAAAGGAGGAGGTTGGCAGTGGCCACCATGTGGAGGCCATGGAGAGGCAACAGGATGTTCTCTCACAGCTGCCACCATCGCTCGGGACAAACGCCTGCTCAGCCTCTTCCCTGAGCTCGGTGGCGGCATTGGCAAGGGAAATTGGGATATTCCAGGATCAAATCAGAAGCCAGGATGGCTTTCATAATTCCAGGATTCTCCCTGGAAAATAGGGACACTTGGAGGGTATGCAAGACTCTCCATTCCCTTAGTTGATGGCCATGGAGGGAACTGTGTGTGTTTGTGTTTGTTGTCCAGCAGTGTGGAACAGGATGAGATATTAAGCAACGCGACACATGTAATCTAGCTAATCTTGTTTTGATCTCTGTAATCAGATTAAAACTGATCCCTAGTGGGTTTTGTAAGAGATGTGCTACAATGAAGTATTGATGTACCCTGCTCAATCCAAGAGAAGTGGAGCTCTCTAGACCTAAGGCCCAGAATACCAGAAAGTTATGGAGTTAAAGCCATCGTAATCACTGCATCTGAAGAAGCATAACTCCACCATTAGCCAATTTACTGAGAAAAGCAGCCCATTTTTAATTAAATTAAAGCCAGTGTGGTGTAGTGGTTAAGAGCGGTAGTCTCGTAATCTGGGGAACCGGGTTCGCGTCTCTGCTCCTCCACATGCAGCTGCTGGGTGACCTTGGGCCAGTCACACTTCTCTGAAGTCTCTCAGCCCCACTCACCCCACAGAGTGTTTGTTGTGGGGGAGGAAGGGAAAGGAGAATGTTAGCCGCTTTGAGACTCCTGAAGGGGAGTGAAAGGCGGGATATCAAATCCAAACTCTTCTTCTTCTTCTTCTTCTTCTTCTTCTTCTTCTTCTTCTAAATTGGTGGAAACCTTTGACTTAGTAATAGGGCACACCACTGATATCTATACATTCATGTGTGCTACATGTCTGTTTATTCCAGCTCTGGCCTTGCCTGCTTTGACTCCACCCACTTTTATTGGCCCCGCCCATGCAGCCCCTGAAAAATAGATCATGAGGGAATCATAGACTCATAGAAGCAGACCCTCCAAGTGTCCCTATTTTCCAGGGATGTCCCTGATTTAGAGAAGCTGTCCGAATTCTGATTTGATCCCGGAATGTTCCACTTTTCCTTAGGACGTCCCTCTTTTCATTGGAGAAACATTGGAGGGTATGGTAGGATGTTCCTATTTTCATTGGAGAAATACTGGAGGGTGTGGAGTTATCTGACTCCCGAGTCGTCTGAAGGCAATCCTGTATAGGGAAGTTTTTTTAAAAAAAATAATTGAATGATTTATTATGTTTTTATGTAAGTTGGAAACTGCCCAGAGTGGCTGGGGCAACCCAGTAGGATGTGTGGGGTATAAATAGTGCAATTATCATTATAGAATGAGACATCCCTATTTTCACTGGAGAAATGTTGGAGGGTATGAGAATGTAGAATGAGAAAATGGTTTGAAGCTCAAAATCAAAAAAACGAAGATCATGGCCACTGGTCCCATCACCTCCTGGCAAATAGAAGGGGAAGAAATGGAGGCAGTGAGAGATTTTACTTTCTTGGGCTCCATGATCACTGCAGATGGTGAGAGCAGCCATGAAATTAAAAGATGCCTGCTTTTTGGGAGAAAAGCAATGACAAACCATCTTAAAAAGCAGAGACATCACCTTGCCAACAAAGGTCCGTATAGTTAAAGCTATGGTTTTCCCAGTAGTGATGAATGGAAATGAGAGCTGGACCATAAAGAAGGCTGATCGCCGAAGAATTGATGCTTTTGAATGATGGTGCTGGAGGAGATTCTTGAGAGTCCCATGGACTGCAAGAAGATCAAACCCATCCATTCTGAAGGAAATCAGCCCTGAGTGCTCACTGGAAGGACAGATCATGAAGCTCAGGCTCCAGTACTTTGGCCACCTCATGAGAAGAGAAGACTCCCTGGAAAAGACCCTGATGCTGGAAAAGATGGAGGGCACAAGGAGAAGGAGATGACAGAGGACAAGATGGTTGGACAGTGTTCTCGAAGCTACCAGCATGAGTTTGACTAAACTGCGGGAGGCAGTGGAAGACAGAAGTGCCTGGTGTGCTCTGGTCCATGGGGTCACGAAGAGTTGGACACAACTAAACAACAACAACAAGAACAACAACAAATGAGAATGTAGAGCTGGAAGTGAGCCTGAGCATCATCTAGTTCAATCCTCTGCAATGCAGGAATCCTGTCCACAGCTGTCCCTAGGTGGGCCTGAGATACACTGACCCATTATGTCACTGGAGCAGCAAAACATTAAAAAGAGCCTGCTGGATCATTCCAGTGGTGCTTCTAGCCCAGTATCCTGTTCACACAGTGACCAAGCAGATGACTGTAGGGAACTCACAAACAGGACCTCAGCACGAGAGCATTCTGCTCTCCTGTAATTTCCAGCAACTGGTATTCAAAGGCATAATGCCTCTGATAGTAGAACACAGCCATTGCAGCTAATACACCTTGATAGCCTTACCCCCCATGAATGTGATGCAATCCTCTTTTAAAGCCATCCAAGTTGGTTGCCATCACTGCCTCCTGTGGCCACCAAGTTCCATAGTTTAAACCATGCACTGTGTGAAGTACTTCACACTATTCTAGGCTGCATCAATAGAAGTACAGTGCCTAGATCAAGGGAAGTAATAGCACCACTCGCGGGTGCCGCTGTGGGTTAAACCACAGAGCCTAGGACTTGTCGATCAGAAGGTTGGCGGTTCAAATCCCCATGATGGGGTGAGCTCCCGTTGCTCGGTCCCTGCTCCTGCCCACCTAGCAGTTCGAAATCATGTCAAAGTGCAAGTAGATAAATAGGTACCGCTCCGGCGGGAAGGTAAACGGCATTTCCGTGCGCTGCTCTGGTTTGCCAGAAGAGGCTTAGTCATGCTGGCCACATGACCCGGAAGCTGTACGCCGGCTCCCTCGGCCAATAAAGCGAGATGAGCGCCACAACCCCAGAGTCGGCCACGCCTGGACCTAATGGTCAGGGGCCCCTTTACCTTTACCTTTATTCTATTTCTAGTCCTGATAGACCTACATTGGCTCCCTTTACCTTTACCTATTCTGCCTTAGTCAGACCACACTTGGAATATTGTGTCCAATTCAGGGCACCAAAATTTAAGGAGGATGTTGACAAGCTGGAACGTGTACAGAGCATAGCTTTTCTTGCGAGGAATCCTATTTGGAATAAGGGAATTTTCCTTAAAAAAAGGGAAACGTTGACAGCTATGGTACAGAGGAGGGCAACCAAGATGATCAAGGGTCTGGAAACCAAGCCTTATGAGAAACGGTTGAGGGAGCTGGGTATGTTTAGCCTGGAAAAGAGGAGACAGAGGAGATATGATAGCTATCTTCAAATATCTTAAGGGCTGTCACATGGAGGAGGGCGCAAGCCTGTTTTCTCTTGCTCTGGAGGACTCAAACCAATGGCTTCAAGTTACAAGAAAGGAGATTCCAACTAAACATCAGGAAGAACTTTCAGATATTATGTGAGGTATTTTTTTATTTTATTTTATATTCTTTATTGAAAAATAAAAAGTACAAAAGTACGAGTGCGCAGAAACAAGTGCACAGACACAAAAAACTGAAGAAACAAAAAATAGTATGCTTTTAAAAAACAGAACAGAACAATATTGTGTACATTACAAAAAGGGGGCGGGCTTGTTATTATAGTTAACCAGACCTTAATCTAATTTGGCATTTATAAAAACGAATTCCAAATGAATTCCAAATATCGTTAAACTTGTCCATGGCGAGTCTACATTTGTAAGGTATGTCAAGGAGAGAGATAATGACTGGCTCAACATTATACAGCTCGCTTCACGGCTGAGAGGGAACTTGCATCCCATCGATCCAAGTCCAGCCACAGCACCACAGTGGGCCCGCAGCTGAGAATTATTAGAAGCTATTTGAAGCGATAATGAAACAGCAGAAGCAGCATTGTTAAGGACGATATAATGAATTAATCCTATGAAAGCCTTTAACGTTCCCAAACAGAGGCAGTCATGGGAAGAGCTTCATCTGTTGAATTTCCGCCAGCAACACAGCTGTAAAATTCACAAAAATCCACCCAGGAGAGAGAGAGAGAGAGAGAGAGAGGGGGGGGGGAGGGAGGGAGGTAATAATCCCAATGAGCTTCCAAATAAATGAACACATAGCCTGGAGATGCGTCAGTGGAAGAAGATGCTTCATAAGAAATGCAGCTTGCTTATTTAAAGGTACTTTTTCAGGCTCCTTGCCAAGATTTTTCTAAGAGCTGCTCCTTGAAGTAGCAGCCTGGAAGTGAAATATCAACTAGGCAGGGCCCTCATATGGCTGTGTATGCACGCTTTGTAATAACTGCTGTTACCCTGATTTTTTTTCAAGAAATGTCTCCAATGAAAGCTCAATTTTTAATAGCAATGCAAGCTTGTTTGTTTCCATGATTGCAGCTGTAAATAAGAAAACAACATTGCCCCGGGGGCACTGATGCAAGGGGGGAGGGGAAGCATTGTTTAATGTGGGTTTTCTTTGGAGACCCAGCATTCCCCCCCCCTTGAGGGCAATGTGTAGACAGGCTATGCAAATTACAGCTCCCCCAGCACAGTGAGAAAGGGGCCTCTCTCCATCCAGCTCATATTAAGGCAGCCTGAAATGGAGATTAACAAGCTTGGTAATTAGGCAAGCTGAAAGCCTTCCTAACACATTGCACCTTTCCAAGGCTGTGTGTTGATTATTATTACCTCAACACAATGGCCTCCAAGTACAGTTCAATGATTTAAATATAAAGCACAAACTAGGCACCCACCTTTGCACAGGTTTGGTAGAGGTATGTGGCTGAAAGAGCAGGCTGGGCTACCCCCCCTTTTTTGCAAAAACAAAATCAGTGAATAGAAGTATTCCATTTGAATAAGGTATTAGTGGAGCTGGACAGCAACTATCTCAGCAATATTCCTTAGTATGGGGGTTGCTACATTTTTTTCTCCGAACCTGGAAGACCTATTTTCACAGCTGTGTGATGGGCAGAAATTAAACCTCTTTCTTCATCAGTCCATCTCTCCCCCCCCCCCCCCCACAAAACTCACCTAGTGAATTTCCACTTGATGCAATTAAAAGCAGCAGAGCCTTGCTGGAATAGAGCGGCAACTCTATTTTTTAGACTGAGCAAAGGTGTAGCAAAGGAATGTTTCCATGGAGCTCTTGAACCCATTGATTGGTCTTCAGATGCCCTTCAAACGATCTTTTGGAAGACCCGGGTTTTTTTTGGTACAATCCTGGATCTGTCAGCTGTATAAGAGACAGTGAAAAATGTTCCACACAGGCAGAGTGCTCATTAATGGTTCCTCACTGTCCTGGAAAAAAGTGACAAGTGGAGTTTCAAAGGGTTCTGTCCTGGGCCCATTGTTGTTCAACATATTTATAAATGCTTTGGATGAAGGTATTGCAGGGATGCTCATCAAATTTGCAGAGGACACCAAACTGGGAAGGGCAGCCAATGCTGCTGAAGACAGCATCAGGATTCAAGTTGACTTGAATAGATTAGAGAAGTGGGCCAAAACTAACAAGATGAATTTAATCATGGACAAATGTAAGGTTCTATACTGAGGCTGCACAAATATAAGATTACAGACATCTGAGCTGCCAGTAGTACATGTGAAAAGGATCTTGGGGTCTTAGTAGACCAAAAGCTTAACATGAGTCAACAGTGTGATGCATTAGCAAAAAATGAGCTAATTCTATTCTAGGTAGCATCAACAAAAGTATACAATCCTGATCAAGGGAAGTAATAGTGTTGCTCTGTTCTGGATTGGTCAGATGACACCTGGAATACTGTGTCCAATTCCGGGCACCATAATTTAAGAAGGATATTGACAAGCTGGAAAGTGTACAGAGAAGGGCACAAAATGATCAAGGGCCTGGAAACCAAGCCTTATGATGAACAGTTGAAGGAGCCTGGTATGTTTAGACTGGAAAAGAGCAGACTGAAAGGAGATATCTTAACCATCTTCAAATATCTCAAGGGCTGTCACATGGAAGAGGGAACAAGCTTGTTTTCTTCTGCTCTGGAGACTAGGACCTGAACCAGTGGATTCAAGTTACAAGAAAGGATATTCTGATTAAACATCAGGAAGAACTTTCTGACAAGAGCTGTTTGACAGTGGAATGGACTTCCTCAGGAAGCTGTGGACTCTCCTTCCTTGCAGGTTTTAAAGCAGAGGTTGGATGGTCATCTGTCATGAATGCTTTAATTGAGATTCCTGCATTGGAATGACCTCGAGGTCCCTTCCAACTCTACAATTCTATGATTCCCTGCATTATTTGGCTTGGCTGGTTTGTTCCAGTCATTTGGAACTCTGTGCTCTAGAAGCATTTTATTTTGCTGCAGCAGAGCTGATTGCTTGTTGGCGCATTCTATTTTAGGCTCTGTAGGCTGACATAGTGGACAGCTGATGGGTGCATTTGTTTATTTCCAGCCTTAAAAAAAACCCAACCCACATGATTTGCCTACATGGTTACTCAAAGCAAGAAATAAAAATGCACAAAACTACAGTAACTAACAATGGAAATCCTGCAATCAAAGAGAGTAAACAACTAGCAAAGAGTACTAAAATAAGTCATGCCTAAAAACAACCTCTACTGAACCAAAAACCTTATTTTATGAGGTTCGCTAGAGCTCTGAAGGTCAAAATGGAGCTGGCCAGATGGGTTAGAGAGTTCCAGATCTGTCATCAAGTTCCAGATCTGCCAGATAGTTTCTTTAAATGTGACATCCTCTGTTAAAAGGTGATGCAAGAGGTTATGGAAAGGACACTGCGTTTTTCTTATTAAGAGATGAATACTGAGGGGAAACAAGAAAGGGGAACTGTGTGTGTCCAAATGGTGTCTGAGAGTGGCCAGAGAAAAGTTCTTCTCCCTCTGTTATAACACTTGAACTGTATCAACCTCCTATGAAGATGAATGTTGGAAGATTCGGGACGGATAAACAAAAGTACTTTTTACAAGCAGTGCAAAATGGAACTTCCTCCCACTAGAGAGGAACTTAAATGTCTTTAAAAGGGGATTGGACAAATTCATGGAGGAGAGGGCTATTGATGACTGGAAACCACAGAAGGGGAGGGTGCTCTTGGGCTCAAATTCTGCTTGCTGGCTTCCCAAAGGCATCTGGTTAGACTAGATGGGCCATTGGTCTTATCTAGCAGGCTGTCCTTATGCAGGCAGCCAACCACCGAGACCCTGTAGTTGCCTCATGCTGCTGTGGCCTGTCTTCCTCTTGAGGTGGGTTGCCTGCCCAGGTCATGTGCTCCTAATCAAGCTATTCTCCCCTCGCCCTCCCCTCCCTGAACTTCTAATTAAACGTAGCAGTCTTGAGAGATCAAGCCATACATCCCCCTTTTAAAATCACACCCTGGTTTGTATTGGCTGCTGCGCAAGGCTGAGAATGGATATTACAGCTTTTTATGATATAATATCCCCTTAATTGGTGCTTCATAGGGCTGCGCCTGAAATTCTTGTCCATTTCATCCTAAAACTCCAGCCTGCGATTTTCTCCCTGACCTCAGCGTGCTGGAAAAAGCCATTCAGAGGCAACAAGGCGACTGGTATTGCACAATTCCAAAGTACCTTAATGTGTCAAAAATGTTTGGGGGAAGAAAGCGCCACTGTAAATGCAATCACCTACATTGGTGTCCCCTTTGTCAAGCGAGAGGCAAAGTATTGCTAATTGTCCTGCGTTTTAGCAGGGTTTTTAAAGCATTATGTAGTAAGTACACCGAAGGGTCAATTTGTGAAGTGAAATACTTAGCATGCAAAGCGTCATACAAGATGCTGTGTAATACTTGACCTCTCAGCATAATAAATGTAGCAGTGAAACGCTGTGCATTCAGCCGGGCCTGAATAGAGCCTCCGCAGAGGAACAAAACCAGAAAATGTTCTCTTCATTCCCTTCCCTTTTTTTCCACTAAGCGAAAATTATTCTTTATAATGGCCATTGCAGCAATTAGCCAGCATTTCGGAGGGTGGGGGGAGAGAAAGGGAGAGAGAGAAGGAGAGAGAAGGAGGGAGAGAGGGAGGGAGATGGCGAATAAATGTGCAGAAATAGCAAATTTCTTAGTGGAAACGGGAGTTTGTATGGAGGGCTGCAAATTACTTGGAGGTATGTGAATAATGGTGGCCCGAGTTCTCCCTGCTGCAGAATATGGTGTGGGTGGGTCTACAGATTTCCTCTTTGCAGCAAAATGTTTAGACATTTGACTATTTTAATTTTACTCACAGTCTGGCTCAATTGACCTTGTTTCCCCCCATTGATCATTTCTTGTGTGCCTTGGAAGCAAGCGTGCACATGACCGGGGGGGGGGGGGGCTTCCAATTAGAGCCGTGTGTGACATGCAAGTACAATCAAGGGCTGTCCACTGAAACTGCTCCAGGATTTTAAATCTGGCTTCCCAGATCAATACATTTTAATAATTCAGCATGCTTAGCGAGCAATTGCAGGTCTTTGCAACGGACTGCCTAATTAAAGTTTGATTTATATTTTTATTTTTTAAAAAAGTTTAACTTTCCGAAAGTTTACCTTCTCAACAACAACAACAACGTAAAGCCCAGCTTCTTTATCAAAAGCGTGGGAAGAGGCACTAACACCTCTCGTTAACTGTATCATCCAGACAGTGAGCAAAATTTTGGGAAGTTGCATTAAAAAAATGTTGTGCATGCACACACACTCTCAAAAGTTTGGCAAGTCCCTGGTGGTTTGGTGCAGTTTCTTTTGTCTCTGCGAAAATAAAGGAGTTTCGTGCACAGCAGCCGGAGCAAAGCATTATTGCTTCTGAACAAGGACAGATATCAAGCGTTTTCTTTAAAACCACTGCATCATTTATGTGTAAGGCATAACTTCGTTTAAAAACAGCTAGTTCTCTATTTTAATCTCTCCCTCCCCCTTCCCTAATTGCCTCTGCTAATGAGTTTCAGCAGTTGCCTCTGACAGTAGTCATGGGGTGATTGGTGTTCTTCCTTACAAGCAGTTATTTCACCTAATGCAGATGTGAGTATCTGCTTTTTCAATAATATTGAAGTCCTTATCATCTAGAGTTTAAGGATTGCATAAGATTTAATGGGCAATTCATTTAGTGTTTTCCACATGGCTATTTACAGATATGGTAGGGGTTTTTTGGTTGGTTGGTTTTTTAACAGAAGGTGGGTTTGGAATAAAGCATCTCAGTGTTATTTTTTATTATTTAAATTTTAAAAGATTCTGAACTCTTCAAAAAGACAAAGCACAAAGAAAGTTCCCACGCCTGCAAAACCACAAAATGGTTGGAAATAGTTGAAAGCAAAAATGGTTGAAAGCAATAGAGAGGTTTGATTAGGATCCTCTGCTAATATGGATTTCTGTGCATTGCATATTTTAATTGCAGCTGTCTCCAGTGAAAAGGGTTCTACGTATACTGATAAACTTGTTGTCAATTATTTGTGTTTCATTTGATTCATAATGTGTTTAAGGGTGATTTTATAAAGGATAAATGAATGGTCTGTATTACTTGGTGTAGAGAAGGTTCCCTTCATTATCAAATAATGTGAACTGTATTCAAATGCTTTAATATTTTAATTAATCAATTCCTTTCATGGCAGCAAATGCAATTAACCAAAATATTCTATGCACTAGACAATTCTACAAAAGACTGGAGAACCTTACAATCAAAATGCTTTTTCAGCTGCCTAAGGATAATCATCTTTTCTCCCTATCTAGTGTAAGTTTATTTCCAGAAGATAAAACAAGCATTGGCTATGAATGGAAGAGAATTTGGCACCGGATAGTAAGTATCAAAAAGTATGACCTAACATTTGACTTAAAGTCCCCATAGAACATGAATAGCCAGTGAATTATGAAACTTCCATAAGGTAAACATGGAACTATCTTTGCCTGAAGGTCTACAAAAGCCTAGATCTTAGCATCTTCTGAAAGAAGTGTGAAAAGGTACTGTTCTAAGTGCATTAACTTGAAAGTAAGTCTACCTATATTTCCATACAAGAGAATAGTCAAGGTGCCATACCACGGTAAGAATATACAACTAGGGAGGCCTGATGAAAAAGAGAACAGGAGTCCCACCCTCTTTTTATTTTTTATTTTTATTTTTTTGCATCTGGCTATCCTAGATGCAGCAACAGCAACAACAAAGTAGCTAAAGTAGAATCTTAAAATAACTGTGAAAACAAGCAACACCAGTAAGACGGCAACTATGTAAAAGCACCAGCAGACAGCAGCAATAAAATACATCATATGGAGCCCACAAATAGAAACTGTTTTAGTGAGAAAGGAAAGGAAAGGAAAGGAAAGAGGGAAACTTTGGAGGCTATTCCCTAAATTGGGTGCCAGCACCAATAACCACATGTCTCTCATTTCCACAACAGCTACAACAAGGGTGTTTGTTTACACATCACAAAAAAAGGTTTCCACAAAATTTGCAAATGCTAATTTATATGTAAGATGGATATTTTACAACAACAACAACAACAACAATTTATTATTTATACCCCGCCCATCTGGCTGGACCCCCCCCCACTGGGTGGCTCCCAACATAATACTAAAAACACGATAAAAGATCAAACATTAAAAACTTCCTTAAACAGGGCTGCTTTCAGATGTCTTCGAAAAGTCAGATCATTGTTTATTTCCTTGACATCTGATGGGAGGGTGTTCCACAGGGTGGGCGCCACTACCGAGATGGTCCGCTACCTGGTAACTTTGCTTCTTGCAGAGTGGGAACCACCAGAAGGCCCTTGGAGCTGGACCTCAGTGTCTGGGCTGAATGATGGGGGTGGAGACCCTTCTTCAGGCATACTGGGCTGATGCCATTTAGGGCTTTAAAGGTCAGCAGCAACACTTTGAATTGTGCTCACAAACGTACTGGGAGCCAATGTAGGTCTATCAGGACTAGAAATAGAATAAAGGTAAAGGTAAAGGGGCCCCTGACCATTAGGTCCAGTCATGGCTGACTCTGGGGTTGCGGCACTCATCTCACTTTATTGGCTGAGGGAGCCGGCGTACAGCTTCCGGGTCATGTGGCCAGCATGACTAAGCCGCTTCAGGCAAACCAGAGCAGTGCACGGAAACGCCGTTTACCTTCCTGCCAGAGGGGTACCTATTTATCTACTTGCACTTTGACGTGCTTTCGAACTCCTAGGTTGGCAGGAGCAGGGACCGAGCAACAGGAGCTCACCCCGTCAAGGGGATTCGAATCGCCGACCTTCTGATCGGCAAATCCTAGGCTCTGTGGTTTAACCCACAGCGCCACCCACGTCCCATATATAGAATACAAATAGAATACAACTCATCTAAGTGAGGAAGACGGGGACTAGGAAACCCATTGGTCTGGTGTCAAGGTGCTAATGGTTGATACAGTGGCGTAGCGTGGGGAGTGCAGGGGGGGCCGGCCGCACCGGGCGCAACATCTGGGGGGGCGCGCTCGCACTCGCAGCTCTCTGCCCCTACCTGGCTCACTCTCTCTCTCTCACTGCAGTGCTGGCTGTGCGAATCCGATCCGAGCCGCTGGGTCGCCGCCCACTGTGGAGGGGGTGGGTGCCAGGCGTGCGGTGCGGAGAGAGAGCGAGGGACTATCTGGGGGAGGGACAGTGCAGCGGCCGCCCAGCGCAGCGCTGAGCGCGGGAGAGAACCACACCAGACCAGACCAGGCAGCAGCAAGAAGAAGCTGGCAGCGGCGGCAGGTTAGGGGTTGGGGGGCGCAAATTACTTGCCTTGCCCCGGGTGCTGATAGGCAAGTTGATGCCTTCTTTAAACTTGATAGCTCTCTAATCCTTTAAACAGAGGACTGTCCACTGTAAGGTAGGCCACACGACTTCCCCAGCCATGCCTAAGTTGGTGGAGAGGCAACAAGAAAAGTCTCAAAAAATATTTTCACTGATTTTAATATATTATTATATTGTAATCTGCCCTGGGATCTTATGGTGAAGGGTGGTTAAGAAATTCTATGAACCAGCCAACCAAAGACCTGGGAAGGGGTGATACAGAATTGATTCCTGAGTTTGAATGAATCAGCAAGATTCAGCCGCTCCCTTTCCATGTGTGAGAGGGAAATATTTTGCTTCTGTATTGTGGCTGGGAGGGAAAGCATTCCATGCCTTCCATGGGCAGTGGCCTGGATGCTGAGACCAAGGCACAGCTCCAAGTCACTGGCTGCGAGCTCATGTTCCAGGCCACCAGGATCCTGCTGAGGCTCTGTGTTTTTATTGCAGCTTCTCCCTCCTGCCTGGTGAACTCAACTAGCTCCTCTGCTTGCTCCCCTCAGAAGCTGGCTCGTGCTCTGCTGCCATGTTGGCCAAGGTGTGGCTGAAGAAGATGGAGCAGCTGTTGGTGGATGGCCTGCAGCACAGAAAGAGCATCCTGAGCATGGAGTGGCTGCTGGACCTCCTGGTCAGCCTCTACAAAGAGTGCAGTTGCAACTCATTGCTGAAGAGGGAAGACTCGTCTCTCCTTCATCCAGTGGGAACGGACCTATTGATTATTGACAGCAATGTGGGTGAGTTCCTCAGCAACAGTGCCTGAGCAGGCTACCTGGAGTTCACCTTCCGACTGGTGTGAGAGCCTCACTATCTCCATCATGGCCCACAACCTGAGGACCCCAGCTGGTGCAGCTGGGTTAACAACAGGCATTATGTGTATTTTATGTGTATTTTAATGAACTGAATAAAGTTCAGTTCAGATCATGGGGGCATGGAGAGTGAACTTAACAGTTAATATAAACTTAAAAGCTTCCTTTTTTTTTAGTTGCTATTTTATTAATGTTGTTAATATTGTTTTATGGATTATAAATGCCCTACTGATTTGTTAATGATATAATATGACTTTGCTGTAATTGTGGTGTATTTTTTAGTTGCTGCTGTTAATAGTGTTTTATAGATTGTAATTGTTTTATTGATGATTTGTTAATTATTTTATATGATTTATGCTGTATTTGTGATGTTCTATTATGTTATTTTTATTTATTGTTTCTAAGTCACTTTGAGATTCCTTTGAATGAAAAGCGACATAGAAATACAATAAATCAAATAAAATATTTGAAGTTGTTGAACAATTTTTGAAAAATATGATAGAAATGCTGTTTTAAGATCTGAAGGGCTATCATGTTTTGTGATAAGGCCTACTTAATGAAATACTTCTTTTCAAAAGAGAAAGATTTTGGGACACTGCCACCACATGTGGATAAATAAGTATTCATTGTTGAAAGTTTTTATGCCACTCTATGTATTTTCTGTCATGCTGAAACTTAACAGTCTAAAATAAGTGTAATGATCGGTATCTGCTTTCTAAAATTAATAAACATTTCCCTCCACACTTACTTGTGGTTTTTAAAACTCAGTTATTGTACATTGGGTTTTAAAAGTTATATGCTCATAGCATATGAAAAATACCAAGACTTAAGAATATATTTACTTTACCACCAGTTGCTTATTAACCTAGTCCTCTGGGCAATGTGCAACAATGCTACAAAATTAAAACACAGATCTGATAATAAAATAAAATAAAATACAATAAAATAAAATAAATGAGGAAAAAAATCCCCCTATACATCATTGTGAAATTCCAGCCTGATAATGTAAATGCATTTGTTTTGAAAAATGCCATTTCCTCATATGACACACCTTTTTTTTTATTTTAGCTGATACTTACGGAGTAACCCTAGTCCCCCAGAAGGAGCAGATGGCATGACATGCTGTCTTTGCTGACTTCTGACTGGTGACATCAGTGCTGCTTACTGGGAGGTAGAGGTGGAGGGGTGAGGTGGTAGCAAGGTCAGTGCAGTGCAAATACAATGGCTGAGTCAATCCAGTACTCCCGGTGGGGCATTTGTACTGTGCTGACCTCCTCATCACCTTGTCTCTGCTCCTCTACCTCTGGGGAGCAGTGGCAACACAGGTGAGTGTGTCGTCACTTCTTGCCACCTGCAGGTGGCTTCCGAGTAGGGGCAGCTGGATCATGTACACCTCCCTCTCCACGCGTAGAGAAAAAGACCTCCACCCACAAGGCCTCCTTGCTGATGTGGTGAGAATCTCAGCTGCCACCACTCCTCTGTCAGAGGATGGTGCTCCAGAGATGGTAGGGTCTGAAAAGGAGCATGTTCTTGGCAAATTGGGGGAGGCCTTGAATCTGTGGGATCCAAAGATCTCCCATTCCCCTGCCATGCTCTGGCAGGGATACAAACTATACTGGCCCTTGAGCTGACATAGTTTTTTCCCATTCCACTGAAACCAACAGGATGTTTTTTGTTTGTTTTTTAAAGGTTCAATTGAGAAAGAAAAGAACCAAAAAGGTAAAAAGCCACATTTCTACCTGGGTCAGGGTAAGCCCAAGAGGGCTTAGGAAGTGACAGTTCCTCTGCCATGGAGTCTTCCCACTAACATCTCAGTAGGGTTGGCCTGTCAGTGTAAAACTCTATGATCCTAGGGATTCTAGGGAGTAAACCCGCCTGGATTCAGTGGTGCTTACTTCTAAGTAAACACGCTGAGGACTGCATGCAAAATAACCAGATCTTTATAAATGACAGCGATAGCATTTAGGATAGTGCATAATGATGCTCATTGTGATTGTTGGTGTATTCCCGGAACGCCAGAATATTTTGTATTAATTTAAAAATTCATCAAAAGTCCTCTCCATGTCAAGGTGATGCAGCAACCACCGACAAAAGAAGAAGGCCACATTTCTGCCTTTTCTGCCAATTATTGCTTGTTGTCATTGGGAAATGTTACAGTAAGGCTGCAAGTCTTTTCCTGTTCAATGAGTTGGAATTAAACATACTAATTTAAGGTCTCTTTCAAGTATTTTATTTAACTACTTTGGCCTTTAATTCTTTTATGCGGCATCATTTAATGTAATGTTATTTATATATATGAAGCACGTTATACTTATTAACCAATGTGCAAAAATCTAAAGTACAGATTTTATGTAATGGGCTAATTACAGGACTTTAAAGCCACCTACTGAGTTTTGCTAAGCATAACAACAGGTTCACTGAACTGGATAAATTTATTCAAACTTGTGGAAATGAGCCCCATTCTGCATGCAGCCATACTGGGAAAACACACAAATTATTCCTCAATACTAGTTTAATGGGTCAAACAGTGAACCTGAATACTGAACATATATCTGCATCTTGAAACAGTGGAGAAGCTATAGGCCCTTGAAGAGAAAAGAAAGTGCCTATTCATGGGTTCTTCCTAATGTTTGTAAATAATTTTCTCCCGAAACAAAAATAGTTGGAACAAGGACAGCACTGTTCAATAGGGTGGGTCCAAAGAACCAGGAAGTGCTGCTTTTCTGCAAGCCCTTGAGCATGAGTTTGTGGAAAGGTTCCCCAAGCACCACAGCCACTTCTGACGCTTCTGCAAGAGGTTGCACACGCTCTTGACACAAGGAGACACTGTCCACAAGCGGAAGGGCGCTTTTAGAGCCAACCCAATGCTTCCAGCACTAGAAGAACCATTTGATGGGATAAATAGTTTTATTATGCCTTGTCATAACTATAAGAAAGGAAAAGCCTGCTGAATCAGGCCATGGAGCCAGAGCATAGCCAGCATGGCTAGTAGCCATTGATACAGCAGCATAGCTAGCCACTTGGGTGCCCGGGCCCCATGTTAGGATTTTTTATCTATCCGAGCTGCTCCAGCGAGTGGTACTGTTGTACAGTGGTACCTCAGGTTACATACGTTTCAGGTTACATACGCTTCAGGTTACAGACTCCGCTAACCCAGAAATAGTACCTCGGGTTAAGAACTTTGCTTCAGGATGAGAACAGAAATTGTGCTCCGGGGACATGGCGGCAGCAGGAAGCCCCATTAGCTAAAGTGGTGCTTCAGGTTAAGAACAGTTTCAGGTTAAGAACAGACCTCCGGAACGAATTAAGTTCTTAACCTGAGGTACCACTGTACTGTGTTTTGTGTACATCATGTGAGTGTCTGAGCGAGCGTGAGAAGGAAGTCTGAGTACTGCTGGAAGTTAGTTTCACTTCTGAAAGTGTCGCAGTTTCTGTACTGGTGTTGAAAGAGCACAGACATGCTGATGGAGTCTTTGTATTATAGACTGTAAATAAAGTAGTTTTAGAGCTACTGACTGAGTCTTTCTTCTGAAATGATATGCCAGAAGACGAGTGTGCTCCTCTCAGGAGAGAGGGGTCGCTTATCACCGGTCTCTCTGGACTGAGGGAGATTTACAGCCAGGGAGGACCATCAGAGAGACACTCCAAAGACTTGGGAAGTTGGCAGCCTTCCTGGGCGTGTTTCCAAGCACAGGGTGAGCTGTCCACTGGGCACAGCGAGTCTGCGTAGGGTGTGCAGAGGCAGAGCCTGTGTGGCGTCCACTTTGCCCATCGCCCCCCCTTCAGCTGCAGGCACCGTGCTGCCTGAAAAGGTGGCATGGGGTTCACATTGCCCACCGTCTCCCCCTCAGCTGTAGGGCGGTTGAAAGGAAGGTGGTAGGTGGTGCCATTTTGGGCGGCATGGTGTCTGCAGGTGCCCGAGCCACCATGTCACTCCCAAGGAGTCACCACAACACTCCCAGGAGGTATGTGGGGTGCATATGCTACGTTAGTGCATTGATAGCATTCTCCTCCATGACTTTGTCTAATCCTCTTTCAAAGCCACCCAAGCAAGGTCACAATCAGTAGTGGTTGATGGGGCAGCACAGGCATTGTGGCATTGCACACCTGCCTTCTGAATAACAGAAGAGGGGAAAAGTTTTGTTGCGCAAGCAGAAATCCTTATGCTGATGGAACTACTTAGCAACACACATAATACACCCCCCCCATGCTTAATACAACCCCAGACTCCAAATGTTGTTGAACTGCAATTTCCATAATCTCCGGCCAGTTTAGCCAACAATCAGGGGTGATGGGAGTTGTAGTCCAACAGTATATGGGGACCCAAGGTGGAAGAAGAGGGATATTCAGTTCTTGAGGGAAGCCTTCCGGGAGGTTTTTTAGTGAGAGAGTGGAGCCACAGCCTGGCAGAGGAAGCCATTGAGAGCAGCCTGTAAGGCAGCTAATACAATACAGGCCTAAGAGAGAACAAATATTAAAAAACTACCATCTTGCTAAATCAAGGAAGTTACATTACATTGAGTACTTGGGCATCTGTCTTTATTGGCGCGTCTGAGAGAACACCCCACAACCTATTAAATTACAACAATTATAAATTCATCCCACAGCAGCTTTGATCACCGGAGCCAGACCAAATAAAAGAGATGTACAATAGTTCTGAAGGATACTCAGGCTTTGGCAAGTATCTAGGGAAAGAGGATCCTACAATGGAGGGGGTGCCAATGGCAATACTTTTCTATAGGGCCTTTGTGGTCCTAGCTTGGCAAACAAGGATTGAGCTCAAGAAGGCACCCGTATGGGAAAAAGCAGTCTCTTGAGTAGGCTGGACCTGAGCCCAGGAGATCAGCCACACTGAATGACTTGCATATTCAAAATGGTCGCCTGGGCAAAACTCTAGCGCACACAGGATGGTGAAGATGGTACATGTCACGGCTGCATATATGTAAAATAACAATAGGCGTGATCCTTCCGGATTAGAGTCACACTGTTCCCAACATGAGCAAATTAAAGGTGCGTTCAGCTCTCCCTTTGAAATCAATGGGACTAAAAGTTTGTTGCTTTGGCCAGATTGCACCTAATCTGTGTATTAAATAGATAAAATCACAGTAAGCTCAAAAGAGACTGAAGAAGATGTTAGGCTTCTGATATATTATGAACATAACATAAGAGGAGCCTGCTGGATCACGCCTATCTTGTCCAGCATCATGTTGTCAGATGCCTGTGGGGGAACCCTCAAGCTGGAACTGAGCACAAGAGCACTCTTCCTTCTCGGTGTTTCCAGCAAGTGATATTCAAAAGAATTATGTAGGCAGAGCATAGCCATCCTACGGTTGTCATACATCTGGGATTCCCTGGACACATAGTTTTTGGAGATCAGCACGCCCATCCAGGAAGATTTTTGCATTTTGGATTAAATGTCTGGGTTTTGGTTTTAAAAAAATGTTTTTGGGTTTTTTATTTTTGCGTGTGGGGCACGTGCATACTCAGAAGGCGCTGTGCCCCGGAACAGGAAGCAGGCATCAGGTGACCTGGAACGGCCTGCCGAGAGTCGCGCTAGGCATGGTGTTCTTCCTGGCCACCGCCTTGCGCGGCCTTCCTGGGGGCTCACTAGGCCCTGTGCTGGTCCTGGCAGTTGCCTGGCCTTGCGTGAGCTTCCCGGGGTCGCCCAGCCTCCCATCGTGAGCAGGAGGCTGAAGACAGCAAAGGTATGAGAGGGGAGGGAAGTAGGGGGAAGCAGGCAGGCGAGGAACGGGTTAGCAGCAGGGAGGGAGAGAGTGAGGGAGATGTGGGATGGTGTGTGGGGGTGCCCCGATGGTATGTGTGTGTCCGGGTTTTTGATCCCTGGAATATGGCAACCCTAAAAGACGCCTGCTTCTTGGGAGAAAAGCAATGACAACCCTAGATAGCATCTTAAAAAGCAGAGACATCACCTTGCCAACAAAGGTCCATATAGTTAAAGCTATGGTTTCCCAGTAGTGATGTATGGAAGTGAGAGCTGGACCATAAAGAAGGCTGATCGCCGAAGAATTGATGTTTTTGAATAATGGTGCTGGAGGAGACCCTTGAGAGTCCCATGGACTACAAGAAGATCAAACCTATCCATTCTGAAGGAAATAAGCCCTGAGTGCTCACTGGAAGGACAGATCCTGCAGCTGCGGCTCCAGTACTTTGGCCACTCATGAGAAGAGAAGACTCCCTGGAAAAGACCCTGATGTTGGGAAAGATGGAGGGCACAAGGAGAAGGGGACGACAGAGGATGAGATGGTTGGACAGTGTTCTCGAAGCTACAAACATGAGTCTGACCAAACTGCGGGAGGCAGTGGAAGACAGGAGTGCCTGGTGTGCTCTGGTCCATGGGGTCACGAAGAGTTGGACATGACTAAACGACTAAACAACAACAAAGCCATCCCATATCCTCCAATCCTCTTTTAAAGCCACCCAAGTTGGTGGCCGTCTCTGCCTCCTGTGAGACCCCTGGGTATAGGGCGGTATATAAATTCAATCAACAACAACAACAATAATAATAATTGCTTTCTTTTATCTGTTCCAAATCTTCCAACATGCAGCTTCGTTGGATGTCCGTGAATTCTAGCGTTATGAGAGAGGGTTAGAAACTTTTCTCTATCCATTCTCTCCATGCAATGCATAATTTTATAAATGTCTATCATGCCACCTCTTACTCGCTTTTTCTCTAAATATACAGGGAAACTCCATGAACCACACAAATGTACCTACTATGGGCTGTATCCAACACTGTGTTGGATTCGTGCACTGGGACATCCCCCTTCCTTTCCCTGTGCACTTTCAAAATCCTCTCCAAAGGGTCCTCCAAGCCTCTGGGCAAATTTTGAGGATGCACACAGGGGCAGTGGTGAGACGTTTTGCCTCAGGCGCCAAATTGTCTTGGGCTGCTCTAATGATGCACTAGGAGCTGACTGCCACAAAAAAACCCTGGTTCTGCAAGCAGTGCTCAACTTGAGTACTGAAATGCTGTAGCCACATATTCATGCAAGATCACAGCTCCTCTGCTGTGACATGGAAAGGCATGACTTGCAGCATATGGAAGAGACCTTGGACAAATTAGGCATTCTCATAATCTTATATTGCTCATGTAAGTAGACTGCTCATAGAAGCAAGTCTCTGTGTGGTAT